CGGCAGAAAATTTGTTAAAACCCCTTTAACTATCAGTTGATGCATGGTTATGCACTCCTCTCCTTCTCCACGTGGCTACCATACGAGAAATGGGATAAGGCTAAAAGTGAGACGGTAGAAAATACCTCAAACCCATTCCAACTACTGTTTATATCCCCCTTTTGAATTTCGCTTTCACGTTGGGGGAAATATCGTGCGGTTTACCACTTACCTATACGCATATAGTCACCATGATAGGTGTGTTGTGGGGAGGGGAGGGGGAGGGGGGAGGGGGATCGTGCGGTGGTAATTGAAAACTCGAGTCGTCCTCGACACTCCCCGGTAACGGAGAGAATAAATTAGTAGAGGAGTAATTTTACTCGGATGAAAAAGCAAAAGACATGGTTTTTTTTATCCCGGGATGATTATGAGGGCAAGGGGATATGAATCATACTGGACCTCCGGGTGGAATCGTAAATTATTTTTTTGGACGTTATTTAGTCGTTAGGAATTAGCGATGGAAGTGTTTGTTGAGGGGTAATTTGTTGCACCGTTGTTGAATGAAGTTTTTTTCATGGTTTTTTAATTTATCGCGAGAAAGATGTACTTCCTGTGAGTTCATTAATTAGTGACACACTCGATTGATGATGGGGGGTCAATTTTGCGAATGGCATTTACCGTGTTTTTTGGGAATTCGTTGATAACTCTCGGAGAAAGAGGTTTAGAGGAAAATGTGATAAAATCTTTTTTGGAGGAAATTTAATTCTGGATGAAAAAGTTCTTTTGGTGTTTTCTTGTAAACTCACGCGTTATTGGGGAACTTTGGAAATGGCTTTTTTCAGTTCTCTAAATCTTTTTTTCGGTTTTTTGAATGGAGATTAGTGATGGCGCGAGAGACTTTATGAGACATCACGAGACAATACTTTGGAGAGATGGTCCCAGTCTCAATGAACATGGAAATCTTTGGTCTCGTCTCAGTCTCAAAATATGCAGTATCGACTCCGCTTGGGATGACTGCCAGTCAATTCATCTCATCTCGATCTCAAGTTTTACGTATTTTTAATGTAAAATCTCGGTTTCTGTCTCGCTTTGTTTCGTCTGCATTTTCTACGTATAAAAAACGCAAAGAACTGGACACTGAGGTGAGATAAATTGACTTGGAGTCATCACGGGACGAGTCGATACTGCGCATTTCGTGACTGAGATGAGACAAACAATTTCCGCGTTCAGTGAGACCGAGACAATCTCTCCAAAGTATTGTCTCGTGATGGCTCGTAAAGTCTCTCGCGGCATCACTAATGGAGATTGGACCGCGTTGAGACATCTGCAGAATAAAACAGAATTCCAAAAAATGTTTTCAATTTTTTTGTCATTACTTCGTCATATCTTCGGAAAGAAAAGGTTTAGAGTGGTGATGCCGCGAGACACTTTACAAGATAAAACTTTGGAGAGATGGCATCGGTCTCAATGAACATGGAAATCATTGCTCTCATCCGAGTCTCGAAATACGCAGTATCGACTCCTCTCGTAATGACTCCGAGTCAATTTATCTCATCTCGGTCTCAAGTTTTTCGTGTTTTTTAATGTAAAGTCTCGGTTTGTCTCGTCTTGGGTCTCTACATATCAAAAACGCGAAAAATTGGAAACCGAGGTAAGATAAATTGACTTGGAGTCATCACGAGAGGAGTCACTATGGCGTATTTCGAGACTGAGTAGTGATGCCGCGAGACACTTTGCGAGACAAAACTTTGGAGAGATGATCTCGGTGTCAATGAACATGAAAATCTTTGCTCTCATCTCAGTGTTGAAATGGGCAGTATGGACTCCACTCGTCATGACTCCGAGTCAATTGTCTCGGTTTATCTCGTCTCCGAGACAAGCCGAGATGAGATAACTTGACTCCGAGTCATCACAAAAGAGGTTGATACAGCGCATTTCAAGATTGAGACGAGACCAAAAATTTCCGTGTTCACCGAGACTGAGACACTTCCTTCAAAGTATTGTCTCGTGATGTCTCGTGAAATGTCTCGCGACATTACTAAAACTGAGACGAGAGCAAAGATTTCCATGTCCATTGAGACCGAGATCATCTCTCCGAAGCTTTGTCTCGTGAAGTCTCGTGAACTGTCTCGCGGCATCACTAGTTTAGAGGAAAAAACAAACTTTTTTTTGTGTATAATAAAATTTCCAAGGACCACAAGGGTCCCTCGTTAGACGGTATCAGTGAGAATTGATAAGAGGCAATAACGAAAAGGTTTTTTCCATTGATATCATCACTAAAAACTTTTTAAATGACATGTTTCCCGGAGTTGCTTATCAGATCGATTTCAATACCGGTCCCAATTATGGGCCGTGGTCCATGGTAATGGGAGTCAGCTACCGGAAACCCTTTCTCCGCATGACTCGTCGAGTTTTCGACGAAAAGAGATGACACTTCTTCACCTTCTGAAAGAACAGTTGGACCTTTCCAATCGTCCTGAGCAGAACTGGTTCACTTAACAAAATTCCTCACCAAATGATCAACAGAAGATCCAAAAGTGCCAGGGATGGCCATCAATCATTGAATTCATCGAAATTTGAAAATAGAAAAATAATTGATAATCTAAATTTCCGATTGAAGACGAAGTAAATAATTGATAATATGGAATTGTCAATTGTGTACTGAGTAAATAATACTAAATTTCATAAAAAGGATTTTCGATTAACCAAATAATCGTCATTCTTTCCAACTAAATTATTAATTGATAAAATAATTTGAATTTTAATTGATGATTAATTTAAAAATTAAAAATTGTAAAGTAACACTAACATAGATATTAATATTAATATTATTAAAATATTATTATCAATATTAATATCAATATAAATATTGATATTAATATTGTTATTAATATTATTAAAATATTAATATCAATATTAATATTTGTTAGTAATACTAATAACTTGACAAGTTCAAAATTTAACGCCAATTCTAATTTACGATAATGGCTATCTCTGCAAAAGTGATATTTTGTCTTCTGGCACGGAGTTTTTCGGTCCAAGAGCAACGATTTTTGTTGCAGGACACAATAAGATTATACGACGTCAGCAAAATTATTCTCAGAACACGTGAATTCTGAGTACTGAGTGAATAATACTAAATTTCATAAAAAGGATTTTCGATTAAAACATAATTATTGATTGATAAAATAATTCGGAATGTGAATATTGTAATTAACGATCAATTCAATAATTAAAAATTGCAGAGTAATACTAACAAATTTAATAGTTCAAAAATTTAACGCCGATTCTAATTTACGATGATGGCTATCTCTGCAAAAGTAACATTTTGCTTTTTCCTACAGTTTTTGGGTCCAAGAGCAACGATTTTTGTTCATTGGATTCTTCAATATTAAGAGAATTGGAACCTTGCATTGATTAAGCTTTACGTATAATCATCGAAATTCGGAAATAGTAAAATGATTGATAATCTGGGATTGTCAATTATCTACTGAGTAAATGATACTAAATTTCATAAAAAGGATTTTCCATTAAAACTTAATTATTGAACAATAAATAAACAAAACTTAATTATTGATTGATAAAATAATTCGGAATGTGAATATTGTAATTAATGATCAATTCAATAATTAAAAATTGTAGAGTAATACTAACAATTTAACTAGTTCAAATTTAACGCCGATTCTAATTTACGATGATGGCTATCTCTGCAAAAGTAACATTTTGCTTTTTCCTACAGTTTTTGGGTCCAAGAGCAACGATTTTTGTTCATTGGATTCTTCAATATTAAGAGAATTGGAACCTTGCATTGATTAAGGTTTACGTATAATCATCGAAATTCGGAAATAGTAAAATGATTGATAATCTGGGATTGTCAATTGTCTACTGAGTAAATGATACTAAATTTCATAAAATGGATTTTCCATTAAAACTTAATTATTGAACAATAAATAAACAAAACTTAATTATTGATTGATAAAACAATTCGAAATGTGAATATTGTAATTAACGATCAATTCAATAATTAAAAATTGTAGACTACTACTAACAATTTAACTAGTTCGAAAATTTAACGCCGATTCTAATTTACGATAACGGCTATATCCGCAAAAGTGACATTTTGCCTTTTCCTTTAGAGTTTTCCGGTCCAAGAGCAACGATTTTTGTAGCAGGACCCAATGAGATTGTACGTCATCATCAAAATTATTCTTAAAACCCACCGATCACGAATGAATTCTCCGCCCCCATTCTAAAAATCAAAACCGAACTCCACAATCTAAAGCTCTTCAATCCAACCGCTTATCCATCTTCGCGAACTCTAAAATCACTTGATCACGCGAATCACAGGATCATCACCGCTCCCTCCACCCCTGGAATCTCAATTACCCCCATAAGTGGACAGACAAAACCCTCGAATCGATTGCGTCCGGTTAAAATAGTGCAAACGCCACAAATACCTCTTGTGCAGGGGTTATCCGTTTCGTGCAATTTCAACCATGGAAAATTGCCACATCGCTTTCCAGACGTTCCCTTTTCAAAGTGAAACGAGAATTCCTTTTGTTTATTTCTTGTTTCACCACTTCTTATCCCCCCCTCGATTTTTCTCCCCCATTTCTTGCAATCCAGAATCAGTTCCATTGGGAATAACACTCGTGACAGAGTTAATTGGCGACAACAGAGATGCTTAAAACACTAACAAAAAAAAAGCAACATTCGAATGAAGAAGCCACAAACACCTGTGAAGTATAACTCAACCAGTGATAACTGTCGGATTAAATCTCAAGGCTAATTGTCCAAAGGATACGTCAGCTTAATTACATCCACCAATTAAACGATTTTTTCATAGCATGTAAAAAATATATATCTCAACAATTTACTTTCACTTTATGAGGGCTCCATATTCCATCCTGGAATGGTTGTACATAATTTAAAACCAGTTTTCGCAGGACTTCTTTCAGCCTAAATATAACTCTGACACCATTGGAAAATTATTTGAAATATTACGACCAAGTATTTCTTACCATTAGCGAGGGCTACACTTGTAATGCAGGTCATCAGGACCAACGAACCCCAGAAGCACTTAGCACCCATTATGCAATTACTCGTAACTTGATGAAATTTCGAGCGAATGTTCTCTCTAACAATTTTCAGTCAGACATCTCATTGGGGAACGCCTGGTCCCGCGATCGCTCACTTGAAAAAAAAATTTTTTTTTCAATCCCCAGTAATTCAGTTGTTCGGTAATTACTCGCGGAAAATATTGACGAGGGGAGGGGAATTAATGGGAGGGGGGGAGGACGCGTATAGTCGCGCGAGTGCGGCACACGGGAGTTGCTGCGATGCTTGCTGGTCGAGGTCGCAACAGACACTGACTGAGTGACTGTGAACGCCTGTATTCAGCTGGCTAGGTTGGCAAGTACTAAAGTCTGGGGGGTACCGTCCTGCTGTTGCTGGAATACGAGAAAGTTTATGGAACTGAATGACAATCGTCGGTGAACAATAGTGGAATGAGAATTGTGACTGGACCGGGGACAAACAAAAGGGCCAGGGTGACGATGAAGATGAGAGAGGTGTTATGTATGCATGGGATTTTGCATCTGGTGGTATTTCACGCTCGTTAACAAGACATTTACGAGCCTCTAATAATCAGGCTATTCGTTAGAGAGACTTCCCATAGCAGTCGCTTCGGCTTTTCTCGATCCTATCGTTTACATTAGTTTTACTTTCGTCGGGGGATGCGTGGGTGGGGGTTTGGGGGGAGAAGTGGAGGAACTTTTCCGGAGGAACTCAATTGCTGTCGGTAGAAGGCGTCGGTAAAGATCTTAAATTGAAAATTTCGGAAGGCTCAGATTGATTTTAGACTTCTTCAAGTCGTAACTTCATTGTTAGAAATTTTTTTAATTTCCTGGAAGATGTATATTATATTATATTATGGTAAATCTCATGACAGTGACGTTGAATTGGCTTTAGGAAAAAAATGGTTACGAAATTTCAAGTTTCAACTAGAATTCACGGAAGTTCATGACTTTTCAGTGGGAATTAGATGGAACTTTCACAACTTGATTGAATTCTCAGTGGAACATGAATATTTGAAACAAAATTATATGAATTTTCAATTTTTCCCTGAATTTTCCTGATTTTTCTGAATTTTCACAGAATAATTGAACTGAAAAATCAAGTATTTTATTCATTTCTAAATTATTTGAACGGAAAATCAATGGAATATTTAATTTTTCAATGATAAGATTTCCTTAAATTTTAGTGGGACTTGAACACGATAAAAATTTCCGGAATTTGGTGCGGAAAATTCAGATGAAAATTTTTAACAGTGTTGAGACATTCAAAAGTCTGAGAATTTCATAGGATTTAAATTCACATTTTTGAGGATATCCAAGTATCTTTTACAGTTTGGTACAGTCCACACTATAGACTCAACCATTTTCAATCATCAAATGTGTCAATTAAATTGCATGCGAGAAATTTGAAAAAATCATGAATATTCAGCGTCATTAAAGTGACATTTTGCCCAGAATTGTTATTTTTTTAAAACATTTGTTGTTTATAAAGGAATAATTGAAATTATTTAAACTTTCGGAAACATTATTTTTCAAAAAATGCAATTTTTAAATCTTTTCATCAATCTCTCCCCAAAAAGCAGGGATCGGCATCAATATTAAATTTCAGTAATGTTACAAGAATTTAACCTTTACATTAATAAAGTTTTAAAATGCCGATCAAATTTTATAAATAGTATAATATTAATAATATGATTTTTTCCAATAATGATGAATTAAAATTTGATAATATGGAATTGTGAATTTGCCACTAAGTGAATAATTCAAATTTCTTAAAACGAGATTTTCGATTACACAAATAGTCATCAATCTTTCTACCTCAATTATTGATTGTTACAATACTTAACGGTAATTAAATATCATGGATTTGGCTATCCCTCCCCAAAACTAAACTTTTCAATTTTTTCAGATATAAAAAAAATTTTCCAACAGTTTAATATCGAGATTCAAACTTCGACTTGCAACCATTAAATAATAAAATCATGGTAAAATTCCTGGAAACTTAGGGTCAAATTGGTCTCAAGTAAAAGCTGCGGCGTTCGACTACTGCCAAAGTACTTGGATATCCTCAAGTTGAAACTTTCGGCACTCAACTTGAGACACTTTAAACTCTCACTTCGAAGCTTCCGCAAGTCTCAATTTGCGATCATAAGTGGCAAAATGAAACCCGTTTTTTACGAGCCCAATTATTTTTTCCCCGCATTCATAGCCATAAACTCGCCTTTTTGACACTCTGGTACCCGTGGGCAGTTGCCTTTTTATGGGCCTCAACCAATGGGCCCGTGACTCACAGCTCAGCAACATTGTTGAATCCCATCGGTCACTGCAACCGAAGGCCCCTTTCTCAATTTGTCATTGACGCATGAATGGGTTGAAACGTCGAATCGTACCTTTCGCAATGTATACCGTTACCATCGATACAAAGCAATGTTATTTTTTTCCTCACCCAGTTGATGAAATACAGCCTGAATGAGTGAACATCCAGTATCGAACAATGGAAGTTGCTTGAAAAGTGTGCAATTGTGCTTGGCACGTTAGTCCAGATGATACTAATCAGGTTGCCTCATTAAGGCCTTCTCTTCTTTATTTCGCGTTGTAATACACCCTAAGACTTACACGTAATTACGCCAGCCAACTAATAATGGAAATAATCTTGTCCGGGTTACCACACGCGTGAGTTTCTTCCCTGAGAATTTTTTATTATTTTTTTTTCATCCTAAACCCGGTAACAGGGTAATAATAATGTGAAGGCCTTGGGGACAACCCACGAAGTACCCAAATTAGGTGTAGATCCCACATTATATGCTTTTCTTTATCGAGACTGATCATCATGATGATGAAGCAGGAAGAAGAAACATGATATCTCAAACTCGTAGTCCCTATCAAACCCATTCTCCAGTAGAATTCTGTGATTTATTATTAATATCTCAATGATTAGACAAGCAATTGCATTAACAAGCTTGAGCGATTCTTTATTCAACAAACTACAACATAAATTATTTACATAAATTCAATGATTCATAACAATAATTATATCTTGTATTTACATCACAGCAACTATAAAAATTGTAACCAGTATGGAGGCTATGCCTGAGCATGATATCGATGTCGTTGATGATGTGACTGGCTGTTTATTTAATACCTGACACTGAGAATTTCTGAAGTGTTTGACATTGCCGATTGAGTCTCTCGCTAGTACACACAGTTCGTACATAGCTTGTGATTCCGGTATATCTCGTATCTTGTAGGATCTCTCTTTGTACACAATGTCTTTTTCAATTATCGGTTTACTTCCTCCTAGTTCACGTACGACTAGGTAAAAATCACCGATGTCACCGCGCGATGTCACGTACCAGGTGATTTTCCAAGACTTGTCTTCTTCATCACTAAAAATATTTCATATTTTTAGGTTTTTTTGTATTAAAGGTGACTTCAAGGGACCCCATCGGACCTTATATCATCCCCGTAAGTCTGTATAGACCTCACAAGACTGACAAGGCGGATTTATAAGGCACTTTAAGATTCTATAAGTCCCTATAAAATAGTATGGGATCCTATAAGGCCTATAGGACCCCTTCAGGGTCCTCACGATCCTTATGAGATTCCCATAAAGCAACGTGAGGTCCATGAAATCCATACAAGATCTCATAGGGCAACCAGAAAATTTTATAACTCCCCATCAGGCCCACAAGAGCCGATAAAACTTCATAAGATAAGTAAGGACCCATAAAACCTATAAGACCCCATCAGGCCCCTCACGACCCTTATTGGATCCCATAAAACAATGTATGGCCCACTAATACCCATATAAGACCTCATAGGACGAGCATCAGGCCCACAAGACCCTATCAAGCTCCTCACGTCCCTCATGGGATCCGTATAAAACAAGGAAGGCCCACAAAACCCTTATAAGACCTCATAGGGCGACCATAAGGTTCTATAAGACCCCATCAGGCCCGCAAGACCTGATAAGACTTTATAAGATCGATAAGGCCTCATAAAACCTATAGGACCCCATCAGGCCACACATGAGACCCACAAGACCTCTTAAGGCCCCTCACGTCCCTTACGGGATCCTATAAAACCTTGTAAGGTTCACAAAATCCATATAAGATCTCATAGGACGAGCATCAGGCCCACAAGACCCCATCAGGCCTAAAAATCCCATATAATGCAAATAATGTAAGGCTCACAAAACCCATATAAGATCTCATAGGGCGAACATAAGATTCTATAAGACCCCATCAGGCCCACAAGATTAATAAGGCCCCTAAAAACTTACAAGCCCCTGTAGAAGACTATAAGGCCCCATGAGACCCTATAAGACCCGACCAAACCCTAAATGAGCCCTATAAGACCCCTTTAGGCCCCTCACGGGATCATAAAAAACTTAAGGCCCACAAAACCCCATAAAACTTCATAAGGCCCCGTAAGACCTGAATACATTTCATCTAAAAGACCATGATATTCCTCATCTTATCATTCTTTATATATTTTTTTCGTAGAATATATCAAAGTTAAATACGACGAAAGACATTACCCTCTCCCTTTAAAAGAGGATTATTCATTTATACTTTTGATACTCACTATTCAATCTGTCGGAATTTAACATCAGGCGTTATCTGTAAATCTGTATTTTCCGCAATCTCATTCTCGTCGCAAGTCATCAACTCTTCAGTTACGAATGGAAGAGCTTTTCCGGCAATGTAATCGGGACTTGCACAGACAACATTTCTCCATTCACTTGGGACTTCTGTTAACGTTGTAATCCATCGTTTCAGGGGTCTCGCGTGGCAGTTGCAGTTCAAGGGATTCCCCTCGTATCTCAGTTCCGTGTCATTGTTGATAAGTTTCATGAAAGTCAGATCAAAATCGGAGAATTCATTGTTCTCAATGTCTAGAAGCTTCAGCTTCGGCATTGCGGTGATTTTTTTCATGGGGAGACTGGTGAAATGATTGTTGGCAAGGTGTAAATTAGTTAGATTGTCAGGTGCTGCGAAGACATCTCTCTCGGAAATATCACTTAGATCGTTGTAAGATAGATCCAGTGTGTGGACTGACGTCATGTTTCCAATTACATCTGAAAATTGATTAATTCCATCAGGTTATTTAATCTCATTGAAATTCACCATTAATTGCTACTTACGCCTTCGGATTTCGTTGATATTATTATGACTGAGATTCATGTAACCAACTTTTTTAGTTCCAATCGTAATGTCATACGTCAACACTGGCATCAAGTTGTACGACAAATCGACTTCCTTTAGTCTGTAAGGTATATAGGGATCGTTGGGAAATGTTTTCCTGGTGATGAATGAAAATTTGTTGTGACTGAGATTGATTCTCTCGAGAGATAAACAATCGTCCAACAATCCGTGTGTCTTGTTATCCAACTTCTCTATATGGTTGTGAGACAGGTCTAGGGTTCTCAAGGACACGAGACCCTGAAATGCACCGTTGGGTATATGTCCAATGTCATTGTTAGTCAAATTAAGCGTCAGAAGCTGAAGGAGTCCCTCAAATGCTCTTGGGTTGAGATTCTTGATGTTATTGTTGGCCAAGTTGAGCTCGAAGACGATTGGTAGAAGACCAAATGCTGATTTACCGAGACTCGTTAAGTGATTATCTTGCATGTAGAGGTATTGAAGACTGGTTAGAGTGCTCAGGGCTGCCCATGGGGGCACGGTAATATTGTTCCCTTGGAGATTTAGTGTTCGAAGAGTTAATAGAGGCTGAAAGCTTCCATGTTGCAGGCTATCACTCAAGCGATTCTTCGAGAGGTCGAGGGATAATAATGCATTCATGGAGGGCCAGACGTCAATTGTTGGAATTTCCTCTAAATCATTATCGGAGAAGTCCAGGTAACCCAGGGGAATTGGCAGTTGAAAGATTTTTGTCAGCTTGTTATTTCTTACGGATAGTGTCTGACAACTTGACAGACGAGCAAGACTTCCTCTTGCTATATCCGTCAATTTATTGTGACTCATGTCTAGGTGTAATAATGTCGTTAAAGGGCCGAATGTCGACGGTCTGATCTTTTCCAAGGAGTTGTGCGACAGATTCAAAAATCGCAGGCTAAACAGTGTCTGAAATATTCCGTTGTGAATCTCCGATAAATTGTTGTAAGCCAGGTCAATCGTGTGCAATTCATAAAGTTTCGGGAAAGTTTGTCGCGGAACTGATTGAATATTATTGTGAGTGACATTCAGCACTTTCAGACCAGTCATGTTGTGCAAAGGCACCTGAAAAGTTCAATTGGCAAATAGTATCATTAGCAACCGGTTTTCAAATGTCATACACTGGTTTATATTTGAATTACCTGATTGAGTGCCGTTAATAAGTTATAACTTAGCTGCAATTCTGTTGCATATGTTGAACTATCAAAAGCGTATTTCGAGATGTTGTCGAGTTTGTTGTAACTAAGATCGAGAACTGTTATGTTGGCGCAATTCTCAAAGGCACCGCCTTCGATTTTCGATATCTCATTGTGTGATAGATTCACTCTTGCTAAGAATAGATCCTTGAAGGCTAATTTCTCGATGATAGTTACCGCATTTTCAGACACATCCAGGAGTTCCGCGTACTGAAGCTGATTGAACATTTGAAAGTCGATCTTTTTTATCTGATTTCTGGCCAGATCGATCGTACCGATTCTCGTGACAGATCCAAAGGTTCCTCTGCCAACATCATTAATCTGATTGTCACTCAAGAATAATCTTCTCAGGAATCTCATTCCTCTGAAGGTATTAGAGTCCAGTTTTCTGATTTTGTTATGACTGAGGTTCAGGACTTTTAAAACAGAATTTCTGGCGAAAGTTCCTCGCTTCAACTCGCCAATCGCATTGCGTGACATATTGCACCATCCCATCTTCGTTAAATCGGCCAGATGTGATGGGTCAAGCTTGCTGATTAGATTGTCAGACAGATCTAGGAACTCAGTGTCTCTCAGGCCCTTGAACTGATTTCGCTTCAGTTCTTCAATCTTGTTTCCATGCAGATCAAGGAACTTCAGCTTCTTCAATGGCGTCAGCGCGTCTGACGGCAATGATGACAGAATTCCATTGCTGATTTCTAGCCTCTCGAGCTTGGCAGACGCCAAGCTCCCGCCAAAACCGTTGCCTGGAAGAACGTTGAGCTTATGTCCGGAGATGATCAAGTCTGACAGATTTCCCAAGATTTGGAAAGCTTCCTTTGGAAATTTCTCTAGACGACTTCGAATGATGTGGAGCTCTTGGAGAGTCCTGTTGACACCCAAAAAGCTGTGTTCTTCGATTGATTTGAGAGGAGTGTCAATGATTCTCAAAACGCGGATGTTCAGAGGGTAGAGTGCGGGTCCATACCATCTTGCTGAAAGTTAACAATGATAGTCATCGAGACCTCATCCATTAGGCTCTACCAATCTTACGAGACCCTATGACACCTATAAGGCTCTAAGGCCCATTAAGGCCCTAATAGCCCTATTAAGGCCCTAAAACCCCCATTAAAGCCCTACATGGCCTACGATATTCTTGCCTATAAGTCCCGTTAAGACCGTATAGTTACCATTAAGACCCTATGGATCTCAGTAAGGGTAAACTAAAAGCTCCATTAAGGCCCTGATCGCCCTATTAAGGCCCTAAAAGTCCCATTAAAATCCTATACGGCCTACGCTATTTGTGCCTATAAGTTCCATTGAGACCCTATAGGTCCCATTAAGACACTATAGGTCCCCGTAAAAAACTGAAAGCTCCATTAACGCCCTGAAAACCCCATTGAGGCCCTAAAAGACCCTTTAAGATCCTATATGGCCTACGATATTTTTGCCTATAAGTCCCATTAAGACCCTGTAGGTCTCAGTAAAGAACTAAAAGCTCCATTAAGGCCCTAAAAGTCCCATTGAAGTCCTACATGGCCTATGCTATTTTTGCCTACCTATATCACATTTGTATAGCGTCAACACCTCGATCGGCGCTGGTTCATTTCCCAAATTGATGAAGGCCAGACTCAAGCTCGCCAAGTTGGTATTCTCACATCTTACATACAATCCTCTATCAGTTCCTCGTTCACAGGTACATGGATAAATGTATATCGGTTCCTTGGGGCAAGTGTACCGAGGTCCTGGTGGTACATAGCCGCCCAACGCCGATAGGACAAGTCCCAACAGTAGAACGTGGAGACAAGGTATCATCCTGGTGAGTAAATAACACCTGACATCATGTTCTATTTTAGCCCATTTCGACAAACTTTTCATATTTCATAGACGTTGCCTTTTATGTTATTGTTCTCTACCTACGCGTCATGATTCACACGGGGGAATTAATATTAAAGACGGATGAGGTGAAAAAAACTTTGCAAGAAATTTCTCGGGGCCACACAATGGACTAGTTTCAGGTCTACTAATGCGGCTAATCAACCACCACTTTTTTCCCCTCTTTATTGTCTTTTCCATATTTTTTATATGAAAACAGTGGCGTTCTGCAATTTGCGCAATTGTTGCGAGTGATGGTAGGCGGATACATAGACACCAACGTGACTGTACCCGTTACGCTCGGGTGAATAAATATGTGTGGCAATTTATACGTCAGCCACTAGGCTTGACATGGAAAAAAAGATAATAAAATGCGAGTTATTTAATCTGATTTGTGCGTGAAATTGGAGTAATATTTCGTACATTAGGTACTGCGAAATGAAAAAAAAAATATATTTTTGTGTTCTACTTCCCTGCGATCATTATGAGTTCGGTATAATTGCAGGGAAATGAGAGCGCGATTAACGTCACGACAGATTTAGACATGAGATACTTTTGTTTCCGCGAGTTTTACATACTGTTTCCCCTCTGCTTTCTTTCTTTTGTTTCTTTCGTTCGCATTCTTCGGGGAGTTTTGGGTCATTCCGGACGACCTTGGGAGTACATCCGCGAAGCTGATCCGTTGATAATTTCGGAAATGCACGGAATTGAGGCAATCAGATGCAGCAAATATCTGCATTGGAATTCCCGCCGAAAAACATTTATTTTAACGCGAATAAATTTTTCTTTAAGCGCGAGTGCCGCCGGCCCCTGCATCGAAATCACCGCTCGTCTCGGATGTTCACGTGAAGTCTCCGCGGGATATCAGAGTTGAATGACACAGTTCTGACGAGTCATTTAAATATCCCGATAATTACCGATTGAAAAAAATATTACCTGATCAATATGGTTGATGTTTATCACATAGGAATGACTTCCCTGTGTCGATACCAATGAACTTAACGACAACTGTTCACATAATTATTGATGGGTTTATGGACAAATCACGATTGAATTATCATAACCGATGATTCCAGAGTGAAGCTGATGCCGCAACTGAGCGCGCCAGGAGTTGAAAGCCAGAAGGCTAAAGAGAAAGGCCGTTTTGGTGAGTCCGAGTGAGAAGGCCCATTGGCTAAACCTCGCGTCACTCTGCCTTTCTTTTTTTTCCTCCATCATTAAATTTCGAATATCAGTATTGATTATTACCCCAGAGAAACGTGGGCATTACGTCGAGAGCAATAATTTATCGGATGTATGGGTTAAAATTATAGGGGACAGAAAATTTTCTAGTCCCTCATTCGAGTGAAAGTGAATTAGAGGCATTACTCAATAAGGTAGATCGCTATCCACCGCGAGATCCAGGATCGATCAAGCGATCGAAACTTCTTGGGCAGCTGTCGGTACCGACGCTCCCTCTTTCATCCTCGATGGGTACGATCCTTTTCTGCTGAAGGCCAAAAAAAAAAAATTGTTCCCCCGGAGTTCAAGCAACTCGGGTTCAATACTCTCTCGCGTGTGCGGCAATTCTTGAAATGATTTTATTCCTCTGATGCATTGCACGCGGCGCGATAAAACAGAGTTAAAATGTAAGTAAAAAAAGGGTGAGACCTTGTGAGGTTAAGAATAAACCAATGGTGCAATTTTTGTTTACCTTGAACCATCGGGCATAAATTAAGACAACATAGGTACAACTGACTCGCTTTATTTTAATCATTAAATGCGATAAAGATACATGAATGATGAGATTTAGTGATGCCACAGGTCAAGATGAGATAAGAATCACAGTTCTCTTGTCTTGTCTGGTGATTTTGACTTTTCTCGTGTCGTTTTGTCTCAATTTACAAGAAAATAATGTTTTAATGTCTTACATCGAAATTATTCCAACCGTTTCAAGTTAGCGTTTCAAGTTTTTGAGATTTCTTTGGTTGAAGATATTTTTGTCACAACTTTTGAAGAACTGATGGGTTGATAAATAGGGATGGTTTACAATTTTATTAAGATTCGTACTGCAATAGACTTGGAAATAGAATTGGTGTTCAATAGTATTTCATGGCAAAATATTTGTTGTGTTTATATCTAGAGAATAAATGATTGTCCTGATGAAGAATACATTGTGTGTTCGAAACGTTGGCAAATAGTGGAAGAATTTTTTTTTCTCTTACGCTGCTTTTCTTTTTTAAATTCTAATTGAAATTGCTGTTATGACCGTCAATAGCTGAGGAAGTTGGAGTTGTCTCTTGTCTTGTTTCTCTCGCTCTATTACGACATCACCGATGAACATATGAGTCTACGATATGTAAGTTCCTGGAATTATATGAAATGTAATGTAACCCACCACCAAAATCCCGTATAATAAAATAAGGCCCTCGAGAATACGTGAAATGCAACCCCAATCATGAATTATCGTTACGCGCAGTTACCATTAATAACTAAATTGTGCTAAATGATAGCTCTAGATACTAAATTGCTTTAGGAGTGCGACCAACTGATACCCGGCCCGTGGCCATCGGTGTCGTAGACGTATTTGATTTTGGGATGATTTGATTGACCAAATATTGCTTGACGGACGAGACTGAACATTGCCGTTCCCATGGCCATATTACTCAGCATTGTTGCCATTGATGCAGCAGCTCTGGCGTGAGCCAATGCCATCTGCAGGATAAAAGTCATCGCGAAACCGATGCCAGGAATCATCTGGAACATGTTGTTCTTGTTCATGTGACGTGCAAGACTGGTGAGGGAATCGCTTGTCTTTCGGCTGATGATTTCATCATCCAGTTTTGGGAGATGAATTATGAGACCCGATTTGGGATTTTCCTCGCTTGTCAATCCATTAGCATCGATGTTGTCCTGTTCCTCCCGAATTTCGTTGAAAAGGTTGGATTTCTTCTCTTGAACGTCAAGGGGAATGACTCTCAGTCGTTGCGACGACTGCGATGACTCCTCCTGTTGTTCTTCATGACTGTTATGACTGTCGTTCAGGTCGATGCCGTTCTCCTGGAGCTGTAGAAGCTTTTTGACAAGTCTCGCTTTCAGCCTCGGACCGAAGAGCACTTCGAAGGCTCGATAAGCGTCCTCAGGTGTGAGTCTGCGGTTCCCGAGATGGAGATCCTCATCGGTTGCATTTGTCTTGAGCCTCTGAAGGAACATGTTGATGATATTCTCGTCGTTGTTGGATCTCTCAAAGTTTTCGTTCAGCGGAAAAATCAAGCCTCTGCCCTTACGCTTGTCCTTGCTCGTTTTGTGGCTGCCTTTGCCAGTATCAAGAACATCCTCCATGATGTCGCTAATTATTGTCAGAATGCTGGGCAAATTTTTATGGTCTTTGATTTTGGCTCGTCCTTCTCTGGCCCCCGTAAATTTAATTCCAATTTCGCCATCGCCGTAGCCCTCGAACTTGATAAAACCCAAGGTGGATTGGAATTTTTCTTGTGTCAGAGATTTGTACCAGTCGAACAATGTGTGCTCCATCTCCTCTTTTCTGTCAAGCAACTCCTTCTCGAGTTCTTCAACAGATACTCCAAACAAATCATCGGTGTCCTGGGTCGAGCGTCCAAATGGCAATTGAATACCTAGTAATGATGGCACGGTAGAGGTGATGACAGGCCACATGAATATTCCCATGCACCTGATGAAACTCAGGCCCGTTATACAACGAATCACCTGACCCATGACACCTCTACTATTCTGGACAACTAGTTTTTCTACCATCGTGAGGATGGCTAGCTGCTGGGGTGTTAGAGATTCCTTTATGGTTGAGTTGAGTGACTGTACGACGGACTCCTCAGGTGGCCCTGATGATTCAGCAGCATTGGATTTTGTCACATTAACGAGAAGCTCCAGGAGGTCTGATTCAGTGATATTCAGTGGTGCTTCGTTGATTCTCAATGGCTCGTCCTCAAGTAGGTTGATCACTTCCCTGCGTTGTCTCTCCAGTGGTTGATGCTTGGGCTCAGGGAAGGTGACACGATCTTGAGAGATATCTACAAGGATATCGGTTGGCTGGCCCGGGAAGGCTGGAACCACTGAGGCTGGCCCTGTAATATCAATCAAATTTCATGTACCAAGTATAGAGTTATCAAGATTGCTGGTATGCTAATGAGTGTTCACCTACTGACGCAGTGTATCCGGGGAGAAGAACACCATGTTGACCAGGGAATTCGGGAGGGGACTTCGGTGGCTGCTGGAATTGGGGGGTAAACTGTCCCAAGCCTTGGCCGACTTGCGAGAAGTTGGAAAGATCTGGCAACTGCTCCTGGAATGTTGAAAAGTCTGGGAGTTCTGGCAGTTCAGGCAGAAAGTTACTTATGTCTGGAAACTCAGGGACATTCGGGACGAATTGTCGGAGTGTCGGCCAGGCAACAGCCTGCGAACATATTGGGAAACCACTTTTTCGAACACAGCCCATCATCTTGACGATGAACATTGGACGAGCTTCTTCGGGAATCAGACCCTCAGCCATTTTGATAATCTTCACTTGCTTGTCGGTTATCAATGCCGATGTCAATGGGTCTTCCGTGTTCAGATAAGAAATTCCTGATTGGGTGTTGACTCTGAGTCCCGACACTGCAGCAAGGATGCCTTCGAGCTTGGACTCGAGGGTCTCTGGTAGCTGCTGGAGCTGATTGTGCTCGTGATGATTGATGCGAGGGAATTCGGCTATTGGTGCTGTTGTGTCGAGAACTGGTGGAAGGAGGGTTGGTTGCTGAGGCTTGCCTTCTGATAGGCTGGGTAAAGTTCCAAAGTTCGGGAAACTCGGGAGTCTGGGGAAGAACTGACCGATAGTCGGCCAGGCAATGTCCCTTGTGCAGTCGAGGAAACTGTTGTCTCTGACACACTCGCTCATACGCATGACGAAGATGTCCCGGATTGACTCTGGCAGGAGATTTTCTGCTACGACGAGGATATCTCCTTGTGGCTTTGTGAAGGCTGACACGTATGATGGAGATTTGGCGATTGATGAAGGTGGTGTATTTATCTGATTCAGAGAAGACGGCTGAACGCCCTTCAACATCTTCAGTATAATCTCCTCTGGGTGGTCACTGAAAATGGGAACGAATCTGGTGTCTGTTATTGTTACCACAGTGTCTCCATGATGACCAGTCTTCACATCAGTCTCTGATATACGTCGATAGTCTTCTGAAAGAGATGGGGTGTCCTGTAATGAGTTCTCTTGGAAATTTGGAAAACTTGGGATTCTTGGATAGTGCTTAGCCAAGGCTGGCCAGATGTTGTCACGTGCACAGGTTTGGAAGGCGTTGTCTATCAGACACACTAACATTTCGTTGAAAAACTCCTGACGGCTTGATTCAGGTATCAAGTATTCAGTGGCCTTCAGAATTCGTTCCTGCTCGTCATTTAATGAGGAGTTGAGCGTGGAATAGAAGGTGATGAATGCAGGTATTCTGCTTCGATAGTCCGGAGGATTAGATTGCTCCACGGAATCGGCCATGGCTGAGAGGATCTTCAGGACGACTGTGTCTGGATGATCTGTATAAATTGGGACAAATTTTGGATCGGTGACCGAAATGATTGGTTGATCATCAGCTTTCGCGGAGATTTCCGATCGCAGTGGTGACCTTCCAAGGATTTGAATTGGCTGTCTGAACAGTTGAGACAATTGATGTTGACTAATGAATGGAGCGTACGACACAGGCTCTAGAGAGTAGTGTCTTCCTGGGATAAAATCTAATTCCGCCGAGTGGTTTTCCATCAATTGAGGTTTATCGTCGGGAAATGCTGGTATGTTTGGTATGTAGAATTTCAGAAAAGGCCAGATGACATTTTTCGTGCAACCCAAGAAATTCGATCCACCTTGAAGACAGCCTACGGTCTGCGAGGCGAAATCTGGTCTCATGGGAGGGGGAATTATGCTTTTTGCGAGAGACAGAATGATCATTTGATCTTCGTTGAGTTGTGCCAATACTGCTCTTGGCCCACCCATGGGAATAGGTGTCAGCGGACTTTCCGGAATTGTGTATCGAAGGTTGTACAGAATGTCGATAATCTTTGCCTCCAGCGATTTCTGTTGGAGAGTCTCAGCCGGCGCTCTCGAGAGTGGTTTCGAAGAGCCGTCAGCTTCTTCAGGTGTGAGTAACTTATAAGGCTTTGGCTGATAGCCTCCACTGTTTCCGCTACCTGAATTTGTACTACCAGGTCTTGAAGAGCCGCTGCTATCTCCTGAATTTGAAGACCCTGGTGACCCCTCAGATGATCCACTGCCCCCGATGCCTTGTTCACCAAATCCTGGTAAATTTGGAATGGTCGTTGGGGTTCCACCCCCAACATCTGGACGGTATGACCCACTATTTCCTCCACTCCAGCTGACAGTGCCACCGCCAGGTATTGAACTGCTGACTGATTGTCCAGAACCACTGCTCGAAGATCCACTAGGGCTTCCGGGACCCTGTAAAGAGCCTGACGATCCGCCAGATGATCCACTACCCCCACCTCCTTGCTCACCAAGTCCTGGTAAGTTTGGAATGGTCGTTGGAACTCCACCCCCAACATCTGGACGATATGACCCACCATTTCCTCCACCCCAGCTGATAGTACCACCGCCAGGGATTGAACTGCTGCCTGTTTGTCCAGATCCACTGCTCGAAGATCCACTAGTACTGCTGCTACCCGACGAACCCGTACCAGATCCTTGCCCCACTCCCCATGGGATGCTCCCAATGGAAGGTATTAAATTGCCGCTCCCTTCGGATTGTCCAGATCCACTGCTCGAAGATCCACTAGTGCTGCTGCCACCTGATGAACCCGATCCTTGTCCCGTCCCCCATGGAATACCTCCGATGGAAGGTACTGAGGTGCCGCCTCCGCCAGATTGTCCAGATCCACTACTAGAGGATCCACTTGAGCTACTGCTGCCAGACGACCCCGATCCCTGTCCTCCCGCCCATGGAATGTTTCCGATAGAAGGAATTAAAGAGCCACCTCCTCCAGACTGCCCATATCCACCACTTGAAGACCCACTTGGACTACCGCTGCTAGAAGATCCCGATCCTTGTCCCCCAGTCCACGGAATGTTTCCGATAGAAGGGATTGAGGAGCCACCTCCTCCAGTCTGACCAGGTCCACTACTTGGAGACCCACTTGGGCCACTGACGGCAGACGACCCTGATCCTTGTCCTCCAGTCCATGGAATATTTCCAATAGAAGGAATTGGAGAGCCACCTCCTCCAGACTGCCCATATCCACCACTTGAAGATCCACTTGCGCCATCGCTGCCAGACGACCCCGATCCTTGTCCTCCCGTCCATGGAATGTTTCCATTAGGAGGAATTGAAGAGCCTCCTCCAGACTGCTCAGATCCGCCAGTTGAAGCCCCACTTGGGGCACCACTGCCAGACGATCCTGATCCTTGTCCTCCAGTCCATGGAATGTTTCCGATAGAAGGAATTAAAGAGCCACCTCCTCCGGACTGCCCATATCCACCACTTGAAGACCCACTTGGGCCACCGCTGCTAGACGACCCCGATCCTTGTCCTCCCGTCCATGGAATGTTTCCATTAGGAGGAATTGGAGAGCCTCCTCCAGACTGCCCAGATCCACCAGTTGAAGCCCCACTTGGGGCACCGCTACCAGACGACCCCGAACCTTGCCCTCCAGTCCATGGAATGTTTCCGATAGAAGGAATTATAGAGCCACCTCCTCCGGACTGCCCATATCCGCCACTTGAAGACCCACTTGGGCCACTGCTGCCAGACGACCCCGATTCTTGTCCTCCCGTCCATGGAATATTTCCATTAGGGGGAATTGAAGCACCTCCTCCAGACTGTCCAGATCCGCCACTTGAAGCCCCACTTGGGGCACCGCCGCTAGACGATCCCGATCCTTGTCCTCCCGTCCATGGAATGTTTCCAATAGGAGGAATCGAAGAGCCGCCTCCTCCAGGCTGCCCAGATCCGCCAGTTGAAGCCCCACTTGGGGCACCGCTACCAGACGATCCCGATCCTTGTCCTCCAGTCCATGGAATGTTTCCATTAGAAGGAATTGAAGAGCCACCTCCTCCAGATTGCCCAGATCCGCCAATTGAAGGCCCACTTGGACCACCGCTACCTGACGATCCCGATCCTTGTCCGCCCGTCCATGGAATATTTCCGATAGAAGGACCTGAAGTGCCGCCTCCACCACTTTGTCCAGACCCACCCAAGCTGCCACCGCTGGTACCAGATGAACCCGATCCCGACCCTCCACTGCTTGACGATCCACTAGGTCCACTACCTCCAGCCCCTCCCCAAGTAATAGTTCCTGGGGGCTTAATTCCTGGTATACCAGGCCATGAGAAACTACCTCCAGAGGGATTTGGTATGTTACTGCCCCCAGATCCTACGTTTGAGATATCTGGGATATGACCGCCAGATTCTCCAATTCCTGGAATATAACCTCCCGACCCTCCTACGCCTGGAATTTGCCCTCCGCCGCCTGATCCTCCTGCACCTGGAAAGCCTGGTATCTGACTTCCTCCACCTAATCCTCCAATTCCTGGAATATAACCTCCCGACCCTCCTACGCCTGGGATTTGCCCTCCGCCGCCTGATCCTCCTGTACCTGGAAAGCCTGGTATGTAACCTCCCCCACCTGATCCTCCTGCACCTGGGAAGCCTGGTATGTAACTTCCCCCACCTGATCCTGCTGCACCTGGGAAGGATGGATAGCCTGTGCCTCCAGAAGAGTCTCCGCTGCCTACTGAACCTGACCCCTGACCGCCACCGCCAGAACCTGATCCTCCCTGCGATCCGCTACCGCCAGTCCAAGCCCCAGCCCACGGCAGTCCCCCAAAAAATGCCGTCAAATTCTTCTTATTACCCGAGTCTCCGCTGAAGAAACTACCGAAATTCGGAAGTTTGCTGAATAAATTCCCGAAGGCACTTTCAAGATCGGTAAAAGCCGGTAAACGAGGCTGAAATTGTTTCAGCGTCGGCCATGTTGAATACTTAGTGCAGAACAGATAATTGTACTCTTGAATGCACTTTGTCGTCTTGTCGACAAATTCCGCACGATGGGAGACGGGTACCAATTGCTGGGCCATTTGAATCGAAGCGAGTTGCTCAGGAGTCATGGAACCGGTATCAGGAAGGGCATATATTTCCGCTGTTCCTTGGTGTCTAGGTTGCTCGTCAACAGTGTTTCTCAGAAGTTGAAAGATAATCGTCTCAGGTCTTGGGGTTCTGTGAACTAACCCATCAGCTTCGATGACCTCCGGCAGCTGTCCATTATTATCAGACAAATCCGGAAAAGGCACGATTGGATACCCTGGATAAACGCTTATGGACGACGGATACCAGGTCTGATAGTCCGGAAATTCCGGTAGAGCCGGGTAATATTGCTTCACAATGGGCCAGGTGAAGTACTTAACACAGCTGAAATACTCGAATCGCCGGACACACGAGTGCATCTTACTTGAGTACTCTTGCCGCACAGACTCCGGCAAGAACTTCTCCGCCATCTTCAGGATGTCCAACTGCCCAGGGGTCAACAATTTCGCGAAATTCTCAGGATCAATCTGGGTGGGAATATTCTCGTCGTGTGGTCCAGCAGCCAACGCGTCCTTAAGAATGTTAGCGACTACCGTTTCCGGCATGAGCAGCCGCTGCTGATGAACTCCACGAATGATCTTGGAATGTTCGCCCTGTCGGTTCGGCAAAAAATCACTCAACGATACCTCAATAGGCAGAGTTGGGAAACTCTGCATGATACGTTCAGGTACGTTTTCAGCAATGATCGGCCAGATAAAGATCCTCATGCAGTTGAGAATATCAAGCCCCCTGACGCAGTCAATTATATTCTCGGAGAAGCTCTGGCGCTGTTTCTCGGCAACCAGACCTTCAGCGCACTCAATGATCTCCAGTTGCTTGTCATTTAACCCTGAGGTGTTCAAATTCCTGATATACGAGTCCTCAGACCCCGACGATTTCCTCGACGAGATCGTCTTCAACGCCTTTAACAACTGAATCTCCGTGAATCTCGGAATGTCCGGGAGTACCTCACTCGCTTGCTCCTTCAGATATTGAAAAAACGTACGATTCTTCAATTGGCCCTGAAGCTCCATCGCCTGCTGCTTCCATTTCTGGACGATCGACTCAGCCCCCTCTCCCTCCACCTCTTCCTTCTTTTCGCTGCTCCGCTCACTCCGTACCTCCCCTTCTCCCTCGTCGTCGTCGTTTTTCTCCTCCTCATCCACAACTCCCAAGGACTTCCTAGCCGCGTCCTCACCACCGAAATTCGGTTCATACGGGCTGATATGATCGATCTTGACCGGTATCAATTCCGGAATTTGACGGACTTCAACTACCCCATTAGATCCCATCCCTTCTTTCGAAACTTCACTCTCATCGACGATCTCCTCATCGTGCTTCGAGACGGAGATCGTCTCCCCGTCAGCTTCAACTTCATCTAGCTTTCGTTTGACGGAACGCTTCCGCTGATCCGCGGTAGCGTCATCCGCCATCACTTCCGATCCCCCATCGGCGTCTTCTTTGGCACTGACCTCGCTATCGCCCGACGATCTCTGGTCCTGCCGCTCCACTTCCTTCTCCGACTCTTCGATGACCGCGTCAAATCTCCTGATGCCCTCCTCGCTCCCATCGCTGTCCGACTTATCCCCAATTCCCTCTTCCCTCACACCGCCCTCTCCTCTCTCCTCCAACACCTTCTTATCTATCACTTCTCCATCATCGCTGATACTTCTCGACGCCACAAAGTTGATATAAACTATCAGTAATACAATCGGGACGAGAGTACGAGGAGAGTTGAATGCTCTCATGGTCGCGGTCGCGAAGCGAATGTCTCGGTCAGTCGACGAAAGATGCCGAGCAACCCTCGTCTATGGTCATAACCGTGAGGTGCCTCGGTGAATAACCCACACACATAATGAAACACGTTCATGGTTGTAGAAGGGGCAAGCCATTGGCATTTCCATTTTTGCTGCACATCTGGATCTTCAGGGTTGTCGAGAGGCAGGTTCATGGCCTAGCATCATCATTTATGGAGGAGACAGAGCTTCATGCGGCAACATAATGCCACTTGTTTTTATTGATCATCGATTTATTTTCCAGCAAGTACTCTGAATTATTCGGAATAAGGTTTCAATAAATAGCCATTGAAATCGCCATAAATTCCGCGAAACTTTATCGTAATTTCTTCGACGAGGGGTGATATTTTTTTTTGCAACCTTGAGACTCCGAGAATCCTGAATATCTCGATTTTATTTTCGTCCTTGTGAGCTTATTTGGTGTGATACCTTCGATCCATCGACTTTTTCCGATTTTCCGGGAGACGCGAAGCCGCATTGAGTTCCTTTTAGAAGCATTCCATTCTCCCTGGATCGAAAGCCAGTATTTATCATGCCATTCTTTACACACCGTTATCTGTTTCTTTGAATTTTACTCTCAATAGTTTTTACGCAAAATTAATGTGCCCTGATGTGAGATGAAGGAAGGCATTGTTTTGCGGGAGTTTTGTTGGATTTTCCGGATTAGGGATAATTGAATTTTTTAATGGTTCTGATTCTAATCTAATTGGATGGAATGTCTTCTGATACGAACAGGTGGTACTTGATAAAAATGACGATGCACTCTCGGTAATCTAGTTGAAGGCTTGTCCATAATGACGGGCCTGGAAAAACTTGCTCGTTGAAATCCCCCAGTAACTACACCTTTTTCATCTTCACATACTCGTTAAACTTATTTGCGCTATTCTGTAACAATTCCGTCATTCCTCAATTATAACTGTCAAAAGAGTAAAGCGGATAACAGTTATAATGGGCAATAATTGGTGAAAAATTATGAATTTTTAAGACGTTAAATTTAATTGTCAATGAATTTTCAAATGCAGCGGGATCGCTGGAGTGTGTCTTTAGGGCCCACTGCCTGCTGTGAGGTAGGAGTATATCGCGTACGGAATACAACGCAACCAATGAGAGCTCTCAACCCACCTCCCAGGCCGTTCGCGCGGTTACCTTTAATGCTTCACCAAGTCAAAGTCGTGTTCGAATTGGGCTTCGAACGCCCGAATAACACGAGCCTCCGAAAAGTCTCTCCGGCGTTTGCCACGGGTGGATCATCTCTTTAACCTTCGCATTACTCACTCGATTGACTGCCGCCAACGACCTGTAATTTCCCGTTAATTTCGTCGGTCAGGGTTTGTTGACTTGCGCTATCGATCGTCATTCCTTGGCTCTGCGAAATTCTTAATCGCGAAAAAAGTGAATGATGAGGCGGTTTCATTGGTGCATTATCGGGGTCCTACTGGTGGGCCCGACGGTGTCAGTAATGGGAGGTGATGCGGTCGAAATGGAAAAATTCGCGGGACACAGGGACGCAAGTAGCAGTGAACAAATCACAAATCTCATTGATTTCATCTTTGGGTACAGCAGCTCTCAAGGTAAATTGATTTTACGCCCTTCTCACAGTGAATAAACATGGTAAATGAGATGAACATGATAATGAGTTGAGAGGGACGATGTTTTAAAAAACTTCCATGTTGTGAGTCGATTTTTCTGGAAAAAACATCGATCATTAAAAAAATTGATTTTAACATTTTAAATAAATTTTTTTTCTTCTCATTTTTACTGAAAAATATATTTTTAAGAAATACAATTCGAGGAATTTGGAGATCTCAGGTTTGAATCTGGAAATAGAGTTGTTGATTAATTGAAGAAATTTAAAAAATTTTAATTAAAAAAATTATAGATGACTGGACTTCACTTACCATTTATAACGTACATATTGCAGAAAATAATTACTTCTGATTGCGGATAAATTATTGTATTTTTATTCTCAATAAGTCGGCATTATTATTCGATGAAAAAATTACAAATTTTGTTAGCTTGGTTAAAACATCGAATGAAGAATATCGATGTTATGGAACGATTTTTCTGGAAAAAACATCGATAATTAAAGCAATTTATATTTGTTATCATTACACAGAAAAAAAAATTTTTTTAAATACTTCTTTTTCTTCTCGTTTTTATCGAAAAATATATATTTAAAAAATACAACCCCGAGAAATTTCAGACAACTTTTTTTTTCACCTTGCGTGAGCTCAAAAATGATGATTCGGGGTTAAGTCAGTGACATCAGTCTACTCTGTAGTTATTGCTATCTTGTAATCTAAGGGAGATTGGAGAATTTTGATAAGGACCTTTTTGTAGAGAATTTCAAGGGCTATAAAAAAGTTCATTATAAAAATTTTTCTATCTTCATTGTAAAAAAGATAATTCAAAGTTAAAAAACTGAAGAAAAATCTGATGTCTGTAAATTCAATTATAGAGTAATAGACGATTATAGATAAATAAATAAGACCTTTGGAATATTATTATTGTTCTATGAATAAATTGAATATTAAAAAAAGGTCCTATAGTTTTTGAAAACCAAAACTCACTACCGTTCCATTTTGCCCCATTCTCCCCTTTTCTTGAAAATTAATAGAAATCTGGAAAGTTAAGGTAAATAAATTTTTGAATTTTGAATTGATTGAAAATTGAAGAATACATTATATGATTTAGTATATTAAAGTTTACTAATGTTTTGATTGAAAATTCAGATGAGTTGAGGAATTCTCATCTTTCTGCTCTTCAAAAATTTCGAATTGGAATGAATTTTCGAATGAAAACCCCGAATCATCATTTTTGAGCCCACATTAGGTGAAAAAAAAGATGTCTGAATTTCGGTCTATATTCGTTTTTTGTATTGTTCCATTTTGCCCCACCTTTTCATTTTGCTCCGCGTTCCATTTTGCCCCACCCTCCCGTACTGCTGGAGAAATAAATTTTGAATCTCGAAACAAGGTTGTTGATTAATTGAAAATTTTTTTAAAATTTTAATTAAAAAAAAAACTGACGACTGGACTTGTTCACTTACCCCTTCCAATGTACATACTACAGAAAATAATTACTTCTGATTGCGAATAAATTATAATTTTTTTTATTCTCAATCGATCGACGTTATTATTCGATAAAAAAATTAAAAATTTGGTTAGCTTGGTCACGACATCGACGTTTGGAAAACAGAATCGAAAACCGATTATTCGGCCGTGAGAAACATCGAATGAAAAACATCGATGTTGTGAAACGATTTTTATGGAAAAAACATTGATTATTAAAGAAATCTAGGTTTTTTCCCATTACACAGGAAAAAAAAATTTTTTAGAAATAATTTTTTCTTCTTGTTTTTATTGCAAAATATGTATTAAAAAAAACAATAGATGAGTGGACTCCTTCACTTACCATTTTTAACGTACATACTGCAGAAAATAATTACTTCTGATTGCCAATAAATCATTATTTCTTTATTTTCAATTAATCAACATTGTTATTCGCTAAAAAAATAAAAAATTTTGTTAGCTTGGTCAAGACATCGATGTTTGGAAAAAAGAATCGAAAACTGATTATTCGGCCGTTGGAAATATCGAACGAAAAACATCGATGTTGTGAAACGATTTTTATGGAAAAAACATCAATTATTAAAGAAATCTAGGTTTTTTTCTCATTGCACAGGAAAAAAAAACAATTTTTAGAAATAATCTTTTTCTTCTCGTTTTTATTGCAAAATATGTATTTAAAAAAAAATAGATGACTGGACTTATTCACTTACCATTTCTAACGTACATACTGCAGAAAATAATTACTTCTGATTGCCAATAAATCATTATTTTTTTACTCTCAATCAATCAACATTATTATTCGATAAAAAAATTAACAATTTTGTTAGCTTCATCAAAACATCGATGTTTGGGTATGAAAAATCGCTGGTCTCAATTCATCGACAAGCATTGTTCATCCCTAATAATGAGGGCTCCTTCGCAGGTCGAACATTCGGCATGAAGAGGATACAATTTATGCTCATGCCGATGATGTATAAAATGGGAGTGATGATGACACTCCTGATTGTTCTCACTGTGATCTCCATGAAGGGCCTGATGATCGGTAAGTACTCCAAATTATCTTCAACAAGAGTGAAAGCCGTATAATAACGACTTTCCTCGCAAATGTTCCGTAAAAATCTGACGTGCAAATCATTCCCAATAGTTCAAAGCTACAACAGTATCTGTAAATTCTTCACATGGTCTCATTTTTATAACGATACAAACATAACATATAGCCATTTATATAGTTGAACATTAATTGTTCAACTATATAAATAGCTATAACAACTATATAAATAACTATATAAACTATAACTATAAACTATAACAACTATAACTATATAAACTTTAACAACTATATAAATAACTATATAAATGGTTGAAAAACGAGCAAATCATAATGGGTTAATCTCCAAATGTGGTGCGATATCAGATCAGCCTGACATTTCAATCACTCAACAGTGACCAAAACATCAAAATAACCCAATTAAAGAGGAGAAATTTCCTTAGATGTACGTGATTTGAATAATTCCTGACATCTGACATAGTTTCAAATAGTTGATGCAAATTACCAGCTTTCCACAATGGAATTTCATCACGTATCGGAAGGGCCTCAATCCCGAAATTGTTTTACCGTTAGACTTTCGCGATGATCGCAATTCCTTCTTGCATGGGCTGATAAGGTAGATAACTGCTCAGTGGAGTATTTATTAAATTCGATTTATTTATTGTTTTTAATACATACCATTTTACCTTATACAATCTTTCCGACACTTTTAGTCAGAAATTACAGACTGTGATTCAATGCGTGTCCCTTTTTATCTCATAAAAATATAATTTTGTCACATTGTTAATTCTTTTTATTATTAATAGTATTATTATTATTATTATTATTATTATTATTATTATACGTAGTTTGATTCGGTTAGTAATTAGAACTGCAATTGTTTGCGTATTTTATTCAAATAACAATGTACCGCCATGACATCATTTACATTTGTGGCATTTAACAAAGTTGATGTGGAATTAGAGAGATTCGGGTTATAAAAATTGTTGGAATTCATGCCTGAATACAAAAATTAATTTCTTAGTTTAGTTAAACATTTTCTCTTTTCCACCCAAACACTCAGGGTGACATTTAAGGCTTTTCTTAGAAAATAGAGACGTGAAGAAAAACAGTCCTCATGGTGAGCCACAAAGGAGAGGCTGAAGAAAATTGAAACAAGGGCCTTTTGTCAAATGGGTCCAGAGAGTGAAAACTCTCATGACTTTTAGTTAGTCGTCCTAGAGACTTCGTTGGAGAAAGATATACCTTCTGCGTGCGATCATTAAAGAGTTTTACTTTGAAGAATAAAACTAATGTGTTTTTATTGAGTATTCCTACACATAATCCAATAAAAATAAATTTTATTTTGAGACTTATAATCTCCAATTGAGACTTGCGAAAACTTCGAGTTGAGATTTTCAAATGCCTCAAATTCAAAAGTCAAACTGAGATTTTTACATCTGAAAAATCTCACAGAATTAGTATTTGTTTAAACATTCATTTTTTGTAAATAAATAGTTGAAATTGTTTAAACATACGGGGACCCTATTTTTTGAGGCGTGAAATCGATTTCCGGTAAATTTCTGGATATGAATAAATTTGTTACGATTCCGAGCAAATGATTTTTATGTTGAAAAATTTATTGTTTATAATGTATTTATAGAAAATGTTTGTAATTGCTATTTTTCAATCTTTCTCCAAACGTAAACTGTTTATTTTTTCAGATTTTTAAAGTGTTTTCTAACGCCTCGATATCGAGATTCAAATTCAGACCTGCAAAGTCTAAATAATAAAATCATTATAAAATGTCCGGAAACTCAGGGTAAAGTAGGGCTCAAATGAAAGCTCTGATCTTCGACTACAAAAGTAGAGAACCATTTCACTGGAGAAAAAATAGCCAAAGTCCTCGGATATCCTTCAGGAGAAATTGCTATGAGTTTTAAAAGTCGTAGGCTATTGGATAGATTGATAGACAGATAGATAGATTGACTTTATTTACTGTAAGTTTTGTCTTACAAAATGACACCGTAGGAAGTCAATAGAATATAGTGGTAATAATAGCTGTACAACAAAAATAATTAATAGTAGTTAACAAGTAACATGAGTAAGTACTGTGAGTAGAAAATAAAAATAATTAAACTAAATAAACTAAACCAGAGCTCCGAGAGCTTAACAATAACCAAAAACAAAATAACAATAGTTAACCTGTATGATTAACTGACAGAGCTGAATGCAGACCGAATGGAGTGAGATTTCTCATGCATTGAAGATCGATTATATATGACTGAAAATGAATAATTAGTGCTCTCATGCTGAAAATGTTGAAAATAGTCCAGGGCCTCCAATTTTTGAGCTACAGAGATTTTTTTTTCAAAATCTTTGAAAAAATGTGTGCAATAACAATTACTAATTAGTTTTTTGGAATTTGACTCCTACGCAGCTAATTTTGTTTTGTTTAAGGCCCGGGTGTACTATCTTTCGAATGTTATCTGGATTTTTTTTATCTTTCGTAATCCAAAATTGTCAATTGAGTCGTATATCATGTAGAAATTCCCAAAAATTATTATAGAATGGTAAAATAAATATAAAAAATTCTGAACTTTTTCAAAGAGCGCTTTTAATTGAGATTCAAAATGAGTTGAAAGAAGTGGAAATTAAAAATATCTGATTCGCTGTGGCAAATTACCTATTAGCTGTCATTTTCCATGGTGGATAACAAAACACTAACTCCTCATGGGAAGTGACAGCTAGGTATCTTATTGGAAATGGGGTAATTTTAAATAACTATACTGGTAAATAAATGAACAAAATTTTCTTTTATTTTATACGCTCGGAAGACACATCCGCTCAGTACCGTTTCCTTAGAGGAACTAACTATATCGACAAAAGGGATCCAACACCCTGGGCCTGATGATTCACATTCAAAAGGTCCCACTCATGCATTGTGTTTAGACTAGAGAAACAGAGCATAAACATCATGCCTCAAACTTCTCGGAATTTTCATCCATAAAAATGTTCTTCGATGTGAAGTGGAAATACAAGAGATGAAAGAAATATAAAACGTACAAAGACGTATTCAAACCAATTAAAGATTAATTTTTGTTAAGTATTTTCAACGAAAAATCCAACATATCTCAATTTTCAAAACAGTGGTATGTAGTCATCTGCCATTTTTATGTGATAAAAGTGTGATTCAAAAATTCTCCAAAATATTACAACTTTTTTCAAAGAACCTTTTCCATAATAAATGTCTCTGTGCAGTGTGGGAAAAGATTTACGAAATCAGTCTTCCCCCTGCATGGTATTGAGCAACAGGCCGCCATTTGTCACCGTAAATCACATACATTTTTCAATTTCTTGTTATTCAACCTATTCTGAATATAAATTAAAAGTGCTCTTTGAAAAGATGAAGAATTTTTTCTACTTTTTTTTGATTATTCATTCATAATTTTTCAAAACTTCTGCATGATGCAGGACTTAATTGACAGTTTCAGATGACGAAAGATGAACAAAAACATCGAGATAACGTTCGAAAGATAGTACACCTGGGCCTTAATATTAGTACATTAGAGTACAAGGGCACACATTTCGTTTTCGACGAATGTGAAGTTTACAGGCCGAGCCGAAGGCGAGGTCTGTATTCACATTCGTTGAAAACGAAGTTTATGCCCGAGTGGTCTATACTATTTCATGCCACATCGTGCAGAAGTCGAGTTTGAAGCACGCTGCGAAGCGGAGCGTGCGATAAACTCGACTTATTGCACGGCGTGCCATAAAAAAATTTACCCCATTCATGTAAAATAGGCAAAAAAATTATCCTTAAAATATTAAAAATATATTCTCGATTCTTTCAGAAACATTTTTCGGGCTATTTTACATGAATGGTGTAATTTTTTATTTAAAAAATAGCGAAATTAGCTGTGTAGGAGTTGAATTTCAACAAACTCATTCGTAATTGTTATTGCATTAACCCCCGCTTGTGCTTACAGGTATCATGCTGTTGGTCCTGAAGCTGAGTGCCTTCTTCGGTAAATTCTACGCCTCATTGTCGTCACACCAGCCTGCAGCATGGTCACCAGCAGCCCAACCAGTTCATCTTCACGTTCACGGAGGTCACCATCCCCCTCACTACACACCGCACTATGACCCTGGCCAATGGGAGCCAGCCAATAATCCAGGAGACGAGCACTATTATTACAAAGGATGATAGCAATGGCTCGTCCAATCTCTTCGTTCTCAACTAGATAAATTCTCATCCAGATTGCCATTCGCGATTATTAACGATTCCGAATGGCAATGATAATGGCCATAATTGTTTTCTGCGCAAGTAGGTTTTTTGTACTGCGACGTGTGCCTCAGGGACTCTCAATGGCCACACATTGACGTAGATTTAGTATTAGAAGACCAAACAGAAGAAACCAAAACTCATGTAAAATATTTGTACGATAAATACTATTTATTTGTTTACATTTATTCATCATTATCTCTCTTCCCAATTGTTTAATACGTAATAGTGGATGAGATTAGCGGTGTACAGTAGAGGCTTCGTATAAGATATCTCTCTATAAGACACCTCGCGCTCCGAGCGCTCGAGGCCTACCCCCACTCTCGGCATTTTTATCGCTTCCCGAATGTTTATGCTCCGTGGGCTTCTTATAAGATACCTTTGGCCCCGCTCATTTTTCAACGGGAAGAGAGTACTTAGAAGGATCAAACGGTGTTAAGGGTCAAACGGGAGGGACAAACGAAGTGATCATGAGGGTCTAATGACCTTAAGGGGGGGTCACACCAATTTTTGAAGTAATGGAAATATATATCGATGTTTTTTTCACTTTTCCCGTCGATAAATCGTAATCTTTCGTCTGTGATTATTCTCGAGTCCACCAACAATCTCTCAACATCAGCTGCCATTCTATCACGCGTTATGTTATGTTATGTTTAGAGAGAAAAGGGAACGCGGGCGATACAAATTCAAAACATTAAACACATACAAATTGATTAGTTATCGATATTCATTCAGTAAAAATGAAAATTTCATTGAATTCGGGCGCAACGAGCGAGGTATCTTATTTGAAATCCGCAGATCCCTATTTTTCTTCTCTCTGTGGGCGCGCGTAGTGGGGGCACAGGAGTTCTCGGAATTCCACTTTCCAACTGTCCCTAAGGTATCTTACGCGAAGCCTCTACTGTATTTATAAATCCTGGACACCGTGAATTCAAGGTTGACTGAGAGACCGGAAGCCGCAGACGGTCACTAACACTTATTCCGCGCTTATTCCACTCGCAAGATTCTTGCCTCATAGAAATTGCATTCACCTTGCTATTGAGACCCAGTTTATCATGGTGGGGTATCATGATAAACTCTAAGCTTGACCACTTGAGATCAGTCTCAATGCAGCTGTTGAGATTGGCAAGAATTCGCATAATATTTTTCAGTTTTCTCGTTTTTTGTCGGTCACTTGAAAGTAAATGTTGAACGGGTGAAATATGAGGGCAATAACAACGGATTCATGTGTTCTCATCTATATTTACACATTTCTGTGTTCAGTGTTTATAGTCAGAGGTGAAATGCCCCCGGAAAATGACTCATTAATACGTATACCGGGCATCAAACTAACAGCCATTGAGGATGGAGTGACTATTAAAATCGACGGCGAAGCGTTCTGGGGAGGTAATTATCCCATTCACGATGATGAATTATACCGTTTAATTCATCCATATCTGGTTTAGTCGGTAGAACTGGAAGTCATAATAATGACACGCCAGGTGGATCGACGCAGAAACGTCCGACGATTCTGCAGAGACTTGGCGCCATGATGATGCTGGTGCCTCTGGTGATGCAGGTATTGCTCTCGTATTATGTCAGAATACATCACGCAAATCGCTAATTAAGGCCCGGGTGGATTACCTTTCGAAGATTATCTCGATTGTTTTTCCATTCTCATAATGTAAAATATATCCATTGGATTTTAATCACGCAGGAGTTCCTAAAAATTATGATTGTGCAATAAAAAAAAGTAGAAAAAAACTGAATATTTTCAAAGAGCGTTTTTAATAAAGTCCGAGAATAAGAATAAGTCCGATAGAGAGGAAATAGTGAATAGATAATTCAGTAGCGAAGTGGGAAAACGGTTTAAGTCGACTTATATCTCAGTTGAGTTTTTGAGGAATATTTTTTTTTTTTTGTTATATTTAATAACTCAAAACTACAAGTTTATACAGCCGTGAATTATAATATAAACGTATATATCTGTATATATAAGGGAAAAAAAGAAAGAGAACAAGTGTATTACATAAATTTTGTGTATATTATGATAGCTTAAATTTCTAAAGTTTAGATTCTAATATTGCAGTTATTGAGAAATTTTATAATACTTTCAATGCACTTTGAGTCTAAGTTTTTGAGACACATGCGACTACAGTACGGAGGGAAACATTGATTGAGTTGTAGGGTGTTATATAATGTTTGTCGGTGTTGGTCGTGTCGTGGGGAGGAATATTTCTGAATTTAAGGGAGATAGCGAAATTTTCATAATTACATTTGTTGTAGCTCTTAACCGGTTCTACAAAAAAGGTTATAACAAAAATTTGGCTACCTCCCATAGATTCCGAGATATTCATTGAAAACTGGTCAATAGTCAAAATTGACGTGTATCAGATATGACAGACGTTTAACTAAGACACCAACTAATTAAAGTATAATTAAGACTAAAAAGCTATTGCAATTTATATATACTTTACTATAATGTAATGATAACTTGTAATATATTTACTGGCAGCTGAGTGAGCCCAAAAAGAGTTCGGAGGTTTAATAAAAAAAAAATTGACTTGTACCACTTTACCACTGCGCTACTGAATTTATCATGGTAACTAACGATCTGACAGCCATTGACTACTGTGACAAATGGAGACCTAACACCCATTAGATACATCGAATTATTAATTTGCAATTTCCTCCCTATTGGCTTTATTTCCCAATATTATTAAAAAACGCTGTTTGAAAATGTTCAGTTTTTTTTCAATGGTTTTTTGATTGTTCAATCACACGGACAGAAATGTTCAGTGAAAATTACGGAACTCACAGTTCGCTCACCGATTACGGAATCGACTCAGAAAATTTAAGTGACGGTATCGTAATTTTTCACAGGAAAATCAGGGAAAAATTACGGAACGCTTTGGAAAAATTCCGGGATAAGATACGCAATTTTTATTGAATATTTCTCTCTGTGCATAATTTTTGGAGACTCCAGGGCTGTGTAAAAGTGAATAGCAATTGGAGGTCATTTCAGATTATCAAAATAAAAAAGCAATCAAGATCATGTTCGAAAGATAATCCACCGGAGCCTTCAAAAAATAATTGAAGAAAGAATTTGTTGGATCAATTTCTTACACCTTTCAAACTTAGAATTCATGGGAAAAATCATCAATGATGAACAATTTCCTTTTGGCTTTTTGAATTTATTTCATCAAACAAAATTGTTCATTTATTTTTTCAAAATAAAAAAAAAAGAAGATCACGTTGGAAAGATAATTCACCCGGGCCTTAAATCATTGTTTGCAGCTACTTTCGTTGCCCGGTGCACTTGCCTCGATAAAGCTATCTCTACTGAAGAGTCTTCTCGTGGGGAAGGTGGCTCTCATCGTAATATTGTTCAATCTTTTGAAGAGTCTGCAACCGCCGGAGGTTGTGGTGGTGCATCAGCCACCCCCCGTCCACTACGATCACTACTATTCACCCTACGAGGACGATGAGGGCAACAAGGGCTGGTTCACTTGATGGAAAATATAAATCAGTAGCGAAGTGCTCAATCGGTTTAAGTCGACTTCGTCTTTAGTTGAGTTTTCCATAAATATTTCCGAATTTAAAGGAGATAGCGAAATTTTCATTATAACCTTTTTTGTAGAGCGAATTGAGTGCTACTAAAAAGGTTGTGACAAAATTTTTTCTGTCTCCCTTAAATTTCGAGATATTCATTGAAAACGGGCCAATAGCTAAAATCGACTTGAACCGTTTGACCACTTTGCTACTGAAATAACCAGTGCAATCCGTTATTGTTGGAACATGTCATTAAACATTGTGAAAATTTATTTGTCAGGTGTATCTTTTTTTTCATCGCTGAGTCATGGTATGTGTAAGCGTATCAATGTCTGACCGCCCGGCCGCAGCTGGCGTCAGTACAGATGTCCCACTTTTTCGATGCTAACGGCATTTCGGTCCAGATTACCTTAACCGGCTGAGTAGCAGGTATCACTCGAAATTTCTCTCTCGTTAAAATAATACAGGATTGAAAATGAAATCATTCGTGACGATTACTCTCTACATCAGGGGGGTAATCAATCATTGAGGAGTTCACGTATGAAAAAATTCAAGGGAAAACCGAGCGAGTTCGCTAGAAAATTCCATTGGAATTCTGTAGGAATTCTATGGGGTCTCCACAGGATTTCTATTGGAATTCTATTGAAAAATTCTATTTCTTTTTTGCGCTGATTTCATTGGATATTATTATTATTATTAAAGCTTTTTATTTATGTAAGCTGTTTATTTATGTGTGTTGTGTGATATTCGACAAGAAAAAGAATAGATTTCGAATTTCTGTTTGAATTTTTCTCGTGAGATTTTTTCTGTAAGAATGCTTGGGCAATTTTCTAAGTTTTTCCACTCGGATTCTGCAATGCAAAACAAAATGTAATCCAGCGGAAAAAACTTTGAAAATTTGTGCCCAATAATTCTAATAGAAAAAACTTAAGAAAGAAATTCAAACAGAAATTCGAAACCTATTGACGTTTTGTTATTGAATATCCAATAGAATCAGCGCAAAAAGTAAATTTAATTTTTCAATAGAATTCTAATAGAAATTCTATAGAAACTCCATAGGATTGAATTCCAATATTAGAATTTCCGGTCTAACCTTCACTGAGAGAAAAATCTGAAGTTCGATTTACAATAAGAAAATAGTTGAGGCAAACCCGGCTGTGTGGCGCACTTGGTAGCAGCATGAGATTCACAACCTCAAGCTCCCAGGTTCGAGCCCCGGCCGGGCCAAAATTCCACACCAATTTTTCATCACAATTTTCCACATAATATTCAACTGAAAATTCAACACAATTTTCAAACCGAATATTCCACGGAATTTTCAACTGAAAAATCCACTCCACATTCAACATTCCCTGGCTGAAAACCCTCGGGCGATGGCCGCGTTGGCAAGTTAACCCTTGCAACGAAAAACCGGTGAAATTTGAAATTTAGTTGAGGCATTTTGGTGAACGATACGATTTTTTTTTGTATGCGGCACATAACATTGTAGTAACTTCACAAGGGTAATTTTTGCAAATCAAAATACAGTTAAACTAACCAAAGTTCAAAAGTAACCACGACAAATCTATCGTGAGGAGAACTATAAAATAGTTGCAATGACTACATTCCATTGTAGTAATTACTTCTCCGGCCATAGTTACCGTAACCCATGAAAAATTGTTGAGGACTTTTTGACTATAATTCGATGGTGATGGAATATAGTCAGAAGAATTATATTTATTATTAAAAAGAACATACACTTAAAGTCGATAACTATCGATATCTCGCAAGTCTGTCACGCTTGTTTCTCATTGGTTCCAGTCGTCTGAGGCGGCAATTTCAATTCATGATTACCTTAAATTTGAAATTTTCAATTATGATTTTTACAATTCAGTAGCGTAGTAGTAATTCAATTTTGACTATTGACCAGTTTTCAATAAATATCTCGGAATCTAAGGGAGATAGCAAAATTTTTGTTATAACCTTTTTTGTAGAGCCGATTGAGAGCTACAACAAATATAGTTACGAAAATTTCGCGATCTCCGTTAGATTCGGAAATATTCTTCAAAAACTCAATTGGGAGATAAGTCGACTTGAACGGGTTTAACACTTCGCTACTGAATTACAGCGCGCTATAGCACGCGTTCGATCTCGTTTTCACAAATTGTACGAGTACACGCCTATTCTCAACTAGTTAATCCATTGCACATATCGCTGACGTTAACATGTTCCTAGCGCGAAAAGTGACGGTGAGTGTAATTGTTATTGAGAAAAACTTATTTTTAAAAAATCGGTGTTTTAAAAACCGCAATACATTATGCAGAGATGGAGTAGCACCTCCGGGGGCAGCGGCCACTATATATTATATCTTAACTGCACTATTCGCGTCTATCCACGGTCTCGACATGAACCTGAACAATGATTTAAATGTAGTCAATTGACCGGAATAAAATTGTTCACACCGATTCATTGGCCATTCTCACTGCATACGCGTTCCACAAACCTACCTCCAACGTTCCATTGTTTTCCTAGGTGTAGCTCATCGAATTCCTAACACCGCGCGTCCTATCGATGGTTGAGCTTCTGATCGGGCATTGTTGTAAATGTATAGCGAAATTCAATTGTCCGCTTGAGAATGAGGGAATAACGGTGAAATTGTTTATGACGAGTTTAATGTCTTTTATCCCGGATTTTCGGTGTGGGACGGGCGCATCATTTGCATGCACGGAGAGAAATGTTCAGTAAAAATTACGGAAAAATTCACGTAATCCGCAATGGGGAATCGTTTTCCGACAATTTTTATAGGAATGGAAGAGAAGAAATCTGAAACGTTCAGTGAATTTTCAGGTTCATCACCGAACAGAGTACGAAATTGTCACGTAATTTTTCCCGAAGAAGTAAAATCTTACAAAAACTTGTCGACTTGTTATGCCTCCAAAATGAAAAATTCTTGAACGTTCGACAATTTTTATGAAGCTGGTGAGTTATTTCTATGTTCCGTTCCGTAAAATTTCTCAATCGTTGCGGAAAAATTACGGAACGACTTTTTGTCCCCGCCACAGCGGTGAGTCATCATACGGGTGGTTAATTTTTACGGAACAAATCGTAGAATTTACGTGGCGATTCGTACAATTTCAGTTCCGACTCACGCGTCCCTTTTCCACACATTGTGATGAAAAATATCGTTCGATACTCGTGGGAGAAGTGTTTTTTGGCTCGTGGGATTATATCACTCGCCTTCGGCTTGTGCAATAAACCTCCCACGAGCCAAAAAACACTTTTCCGCACTCCTAACGAAATATACTATTACGTTAGAGAAATTTCATCCTGGTAAAAATAAAAATTACAGTACCGGTAAGGTAAAATTTACCAACCGTTCTAGAATTTTCGTTGTTATCTACATAAAAATTATTGGATTGGAAGGGTAAAATTTATTATGCGTCAGGATAAAATTTCTCTAACGTAGAACAAAATTTGATCATCATATATTAGTTTTTACTTTTCTATGTCGAAATTTATAAATTTCGGCATAGAAATGAGAAAACGATGACTCATGATAAACTTTTATAGAACGGTAGGGTAATTTTTATCTAAAATTTCTCTCCCTGTAGAAAACTGCAATTTCTTGAAATCAAGAAATCATTGGAATCTATTAGAAATCACGGAAATCACAAGAAACTAAAAGAAATCATGATTTTTAATGCTGATTGAGAAATCACAAAAATCCTTCGAGAAATCACAGGAAATCATCTGATTCTGAAAACCACGGAGTCACTCGATTGAGGAGGGATCAGCCCCTTGCTCGCGGATTACGTTTCGAAAAGTAATTTTTACGTTTTTTTTCTGGTAATTTTTATTGAATTTATCTCTCTGTGTGGACCTATGGACGGGATACCACTGCCCATTATAGTCTCATCCGATTACTGGACTTGTGAAATTGTTGGAAAATTCGGTTATCGCCATGACTTTGAATAATCCATAACCCTGATTTCACTTTGAAGAATATGAGGAAATGCAATCGCAAATATCAGCGAGAAACGTGACTGTTGAAATGAAAAACGAGAGATCTTGCATTTTGTCGGGCCTCAAACGCTCTCTCACTAACAGGTTTCTGTACTTTATTACCATTTTTATAACTGTACTCACTCAAAATACAGAGGGAATCGGGATGATCCGACGCGTTTTCTGTCGAAAAGTATTTCAGAGAAAACTTATCCTACATTTGGCGGGGGATAGCTCCTGAAGAGTTTCAATAAGCAAATTTTTTGCGGGTAATTATCATCAGCCATATGCCGGTAGAAAATCTGATAGTTGTCCCTCTGGGAGGTCTCGCGTAAACATATCTATTGTTGACTGGAAAATCTGTTTCATCTTTCAGTCAGTTTGAGATCCATATGATTGTGTGGTGCCTCGCGCGGGCATGATTGACGTGTTGTGACGGCTGAATCGATGATGCACAGAACGTGCCTAACGAAGTGACTGGTCAGAAGTGAATAGAGATCTACAAACAGACATTCGGTAGTCAAGTGATCTGACAAATTGACCTGTTGATCAGCTTTTCATACAAAAAAAATTCCAAACAAAAAACAACAAAGAATTTCTTGAATATTGAATTGAATTAAATTCAGTAGCGAAGTGGTAAAACGGTATCAGTCAATTTAGATTATCGATCAGTTTTCAATGAATATCTTGGAATCTAAAGGAGATAGCAAAATTCTTGTTATAACCTTTTTTGTAGAGCCGATTGAGTGCTGCAACAAATGTAATTACGAAAATTTCGCTATCTCCCTTAAATTCGGAAATATTCCTCAAAAACTCAAATGGGAGACAAGTCGACTTAAACTGTTTTACCACTTCGGTACTGAATTGAAAAAAATTGACGACCAATGATTCACAGAATAGGATATACGCTGCTGCCGAATTTTTTTTAGTTTACAAGTGTCGGCCTGTGATTTGATCCCACGCGAGTCCATCAAATTATAATGCATGGAGCACTATTGAAAATTTTCCACTGCAATTTTCGGCAGGAGTCAGGAGGACGTAAAATATTTACGGAAATTTCAATGAATTTTCTCATTGAAAATTCATAATTTCATAGAAAAATTCGTGAGAACTGTAGATTTCAATTTAATTCCGGGAAAATTAATGAAAAAGCAGGGAAATTCAGAGAAATCTCTCCTTGAATTCCAGATTCCTCGGAATTGTCGAGGAATTCCATCAGAATTTTTTAAATTCCAAGAAATTTCCTGGAATCCCAAGGAAATTTGGCATCGAATATTCATTGCAAATGTGGTACTTCACTTGAATTTCAAAATGCTTGAAATTCCAAGAATTTTAAAAGACTTCCAAGAATTCCTGAAATTTGAAGAGTATTCATTTCAAAATCGGCACCTACTTGAATTTTCCGGATTCCTCTGAATTGTCAGGGAATTCCTTCAAAATTCTTGAAACTTCAAAAATTTTAGAAGAATTCTTGAAATTCCATGAATTTTAAAAGAATTTCTGAAATTCCAAGAATTTTAAAAGAACTTATGAAATTCCAAGAATTTTGAAACAATTCCTGAAATTCCAAGAATTTTTAATGAATTTCTGAAATTCCAAAATTTTTAAAATAATTCCTGAAATTCCAAGAATTTTAAAGGAATTTTCTGAAAATTCCAGGAAATTTGGTAACGAATATTGATCTAAGAATTGGTACTATATTGGTATTATTATTGTCAGGGAATTCCTTAAAAGTTCAAGTAAATTTGGCAACGAGTATTCATCAAAAAATGTGAACTTCACCTGAATGTTCAGAAAAACTTGAAACTCCACTGACTTTTTCCCCCTAAATCGAGACCAATGTTTGTTTTGAAAAACTCAGCCAAATTTTTTAACCAGCGAATGATGATTTCCATACCCTCCCGACCACGAAAGCCGAATAAACTCGTCAACTAGAAAGCGAAAAGAATGCCAGTATCGACAGTCATGGTGCCCGAGACAAGAGTGGGGAGTAATTATTTAGATTTCGGGCCTTAAAGACCCAGTTATTGTTCCACCCATTTCCGTACACCGAAGGAAGAGTATTGAATTCGTAGAGGAGGGAGAGCTGTTCCCCATTGGCGGATTGTATATCCCAGTGAGTATACGAGTGAGACAAACACCAATATGCATCGTCCCACCGGCTTCTTCGGGATAAATAAGAAGGTCTGTGCGGGAATTAAAAACTTCTGTTGGTCTTGTATCACGCATTAGTTGGTCGGTTCTGTTCTGTTCTGTTCAGTTCTGTTGTGTTCTCTTCTGGTGATCAGAGTGTCAGCGATTGTGAGACAAGGGAATCTTGAGATGGCAAGACTACTTGCTGCAGGGCTGATAGCCCTGATGACAGTGTCCGTAAGGTCGGAGGGAATTTTTGATTGTCTTCGTGAGGATGACAGCCTTGAGTGCGGGAGGAGAACGACTGACGCGGCTCTTGATAAGATAGAGCTGGAGGTCACCGGAAGGAAGAGCCCCATCAGCTTCAGCAGGATCGTGGAGGAATCCGCGGGTCTGTTTGTTGACGGTGTGCAGGCCATTTTTGGGGCGGAAGACAGTGACTCTGAGGGTCAAGTTGACACTGGCAATCGTAAGTAGTTTTTTTCATATAATTCAGTGGCGAAACGGGAAAACGGTTCAAGTCAATTTTTTTTTATGAAGCTTCCGAACCCTTTTCGGGCTCATTCAGCTACTAGTAAATGTATTACAATTTATCATTACATAGGGGAGGTTGGGGTAAAACGGACACTTTTGACTTTTTTTCAAATGTTAATGAAGGGTTGAAATGTTGATGAAATTGATTTTTTTTTTCAATACAAAGAACCATCCTTTCCTCTTGTGACGAGCCGAAACTGAGCTCAATTGATAAATTTGTTTCTGAGTTATGAATAATTAAAAAAAAGTCTAAAGTGTCCATTTTACCCCACCCTCCCCTAGTAGTAAAATATGTAGATTGTAATAGTCTCTTAATGTTAGGTAATTAATTAGTGTCTTTGTTAAACATATTTTATATCTGAATTGAACAATTTTTGAAGAATTTTGAAATAGCTTTAATGTCTTTTCTTCTGAGAGACTTTAGGATATCTTGAATATTCAGTGGTCTGGGGTTGTTCTTGCTAATCTCTTTGCGGAGTGTTTTTCGTTCTTCGACGTGGTTGGGACAGTTCCAGAGTACATGGTCTAGATCTTGTGATTGTTAACGGCGTTCAAGTCAATTTTGACTGTTGATCAGTTTTCAAGGAATAGCTTGGAATCTGGGGCAGATGACAAAATTTTTGTTATTAACTTTCTTGTAGCTCTAAAGTCGCGCTATAAAAAAGGTCATTAAGAAAATTTCGCTGCTGAATTCAGTTTGAGGTTTTCTAAGTCAAAGAAGCTTCTAGAGAAATTCAGGGTTTAAAGAGAGTCTTTTCTCGTTTCCGAGTTGTTAGGGTCACAAAGGTCACAAGGATCACGCCTCTTCTTTTCCGTCAAAAACGGAAATTGGGGTCGAAACTAAAATTAAGGCCAGGGAACACTTTTTCGTATTTTTTCCTTTTCTTCCTGTTTTTTTATTTTTCTGAGCGTCACACGGGTTAAACATCTTTCTTTTCGTGCTTTCGAGAATTCCCCGGTCATATTTTTTAATTTTCTTTCGCTTCTCCAAGTTGAAAGGAATTGTGTAGAAACTGGATTAAAAGCAAATTCGACACAGATCGCTTCGTTACAACTAAGTTTGAGTTTTTATAAGTCGGAGAAGCTTCTAAAGCATTTCTAAGTTTAAAGATCGTCTTTTTTCGATTTCAAATTGTTAGGGTCACAAAGGTCACAAGGGTCACACCTCGTCTTTTCCGTCACGGGACACTTTTTCTTATTTTTTCCTTTTTTCCTGTTTTTAACCCTTCATTTACGGAGTCGATACCATGCATCAACCCATAAAGTTGTCCTATCGGCCGGGGTCAATGCATGGTATCAACCCTTTCCGTCAACAGTAAAAAATAATTTTCTCGAATTCTAAGAGACATATTGATATTTGGAAAAGATATTTGGAAAGTCAATGGAATTGTCTCTGCAGTGAACTATTTTGTTTCATTTTTTGTTCAATGCATTTATCATATTTTTTTCTACGAACAAAAGTAGATGAAAATTTGACATCCAACCGATTCAATCATGTTAAATCATCTCGTTTATCGACAAAATTTCCCTCAAAAATTTTGAAATTGTTACTGAAAATACTTCAATGACCCTTCTATCGAATGGCAGAAGTTAAATTTCGATTTGTTGAATAATTTGTTTCTTATAAATAAATTTAGCACGTTCGAATATCTCGGCAACTAATTGTCGGCAAACATTGAAATTGGTGTCAAAAATTAGGAAATTCTCTAGGAGTCTATTTCAAAGTTCAATACAGCCAATGCATTTTATTTTAATTTTTTTCGTTCGACTGTTTTCAAGTTATCGTTCATTGAATAACGGAGTTGACGCGTTATATGGGCGCCGTACGTGAGGGGTCAATTTTCTGAGGGTCACGAGGATTAAACGGCTTTCCATGCTTTTGAGAACTCCGGGGGCATATTTTTCAATTTTCTTTCGCGTCTCCAAATTGAAAGAAATGGAAAGAAATTGTTGAAACTCGATTCAGATCGCCTCATCACAACTAAATTAATCCCACAATAGCGCAATTTTCCCCAGATCTCCCACGTGATTTGTCACTGCAATGATTATCAAATTATCAGAAGTAGCGCAGGGAAAATAACTCAATGAGAGTTCAGGTTTCTGGGTCGAATGTCAATTTTACATACACATTGATTTTGTTTATGCTAACCAGATCCATTACCGTCAATTATGAGAAATAATCGCCCATAAACTGCGGACTTTCGATGCGGTGAGACAAAAGAATACAAAAGATCCTCGGTAAATAGCCGGAAGTGGTTGGTCTTTGGTTTTTTTACGATGGTAGATGCGTATGAGTGTGAAGGGACAATGGAAATTGGTTCAAGTTGAGAAGAAAGCCCTCGGGCCGCGTGCCAAATTATCCCTAATTAGAGGATTTTTCTAAATTTATTTCATTTAAGGCCCGGGTGTACTATCTTTCGAATGTTATCTGGATTTTTTTCATCTTTCGTAATCAAAAATTGTCAATTGAGTGGTACATCATGTTGAAATTCCCAAAAATTATGATAGAATGATAAAAAAAAATAGAAAAAATTCTGAACTTTTTCAATGAGCGTTTCTAATTAGGATTCAGAATGAGTTGAAAAAAGTGGAAATTACAAATATCTGATTCGCTGTGGCAAATTATCTATTAGCTGTCATTTTCCATAGTGGATAATAAAACACTAACTCCTCATGGGAAGTGACAGCTAGGTATCTCAATTTTCAAAACAGTGGTATGTAGTCATCTGCCACTTTTATGTGATAAAAGTGTGATTAAAAAATTCTCCAAAATATTACAACTTTTTTCAAAGAGCCTTTTCCGTAATAAGTGTGTCTGTGCAATGTGGGAAAAGATTTACGAAATCAGTCTTCCCCCTGCATGATATTGGGTGACAGGCCCCCATTTGTCACCGTAAATCATATGCATTTTTCAATTTTTCGTTATTCAACTTATTCTGAATATAAATTAAAAATGCTCTTTGAAAAAATTAAGAATGTTTTCTACTTTTTTTTTGATTATTCATTCATAATTTTGCAAAACTTCTGCGTGGGGCAGGACTTAAGTGACAATTTCAGATGATGAAAGATGAAATAAACATCGAGATAACGTTCGAAAGATAGTACACCCGGGCCTTAAGGTACTTCCTCAGTGAGTTATACTTGGTGAAAACTCCGCAATGAACTGAGGACCTAAAATTTGGATCATATGTTGTTGAGGACATGTAAAAACGACTCCTAAAATTTCATGTATTTTTTCCATGCGAATTTTTTAAATATCCAAACATTCAAAGTCAAACATTCAATTTTTGTCTTTTTTAAGTTTTTGTCGATGCATATCTCAACAATTCGCGTGAAAAAAATGCTTGAAATTTTAGGAATCGTTTTCACATGTGCTCAACAACATATGGTCCAAATTTTTGGTCTTCAGTTCATTGCGAAATTTTCACCAAGTATAACTCACTGAGGAAGTACCTTAAGGTCGCTGGATAAAAACTGAGGTCTAAGTGACTTGGTGGAAAATGTAGAAATTATTATAAAAAGTATTCCAGTTATTTATATAAATTCGTAATCAGTAAAAAAATCTTGAAACCAAAATTTATGACTAATATAATTGGTTTTTTTTTGCTTTATGAACCTATTTTTACACTCAACGAGTCAACTGGAGTCTATTCATATTACTTTACGCGTCTTATTACATCCTTCTTCAGTATTCAGCATCTTATCTAGTTCTTGTGGTAGTGACACTGCTGTCCTTTCTGGGTGGAAGTGGTGGAGATGTCGTCATTACATCTCAGGTACATTTTCGATTTGTGAATGAAAGGGAAGGGTGTTTAATTGCATCTGTTCTGACTTTATGGTGTCTGCACTGAGAGAAAACCGACAAAGTTCTCAAACAAGTCTTAGGGGACGTTTGGGTAAAATGGACACTTTTGACTTTTTTAAAAATATTAGTGGCGGATTGAAATGTTGATGAAATTTAATCATTTTTTTTCAATACAAAGAACAATTTTTTCCCTTTGTGATGAGCCTAAGCTGAGCTCTATTGATACATTTGTTTCTGAGTTATGAATAATTATAAAAAAATCTAAAGTGTCCATTTTTCCCTACCCTCCCCTACTTGTGGCAAGAAAATAGTTTTTTGAAAATTATCAAAAAAGGATTTTTCGTGCCAAACATGCAGAGTGGGCCGGAATGAAAAATTTTTGTCGTAAAAATAGATTTATTAGTTCAAAAAAATTGTATTCTCTGTACACGCAAGAAATGTCATTTCTAGCACTACTCCTTCGTTATTCGATACTTCCATAAACAAAGGATAGTAGTTTTTCGTTTCGACTGTCTAATAATCACAGACAAGAAATGAACCCTTAAATGAAACAATAATAATGATATGATAGCAATCTTGTAACTTAGGGATAAAAAATTAATTGATAAATTTTCCTCTATATGAGATATTTTCATCCTGCAAAGGCACCGTCTGGTGTGAATTATCCGTCTCTTGAGTCAAATATTTCGTTGCTGTCGAAAGCAGAGCAATTATTCATGTTTGAGACTCGCAAATTCGAACCAAACAAATTCTTTTTAGGCAATTTCCAACTAGCGATTTTGTTGGCCCAAACAAGACTTGTTTGACAACCTGTTTGTTTTTCTCTCAGTGTAGTTTACTAAGCTTTTGCTTCAACTATTTTATCCGTGTAGAGCGATTATGGCTCGGAAAGGAGTGTCACCACGTATAATCCTTCTTTCCAGGTGAATCACGGCACAAGTTGTTCCTAAAGAAGAAGAAGAAGAAGTTGACGAAGCTGTTCAAGAAGATGATACCTTTCCTCATGCTGATCAAGGCGAAAATTTCACTGATGCTTCAGATGATCTCAACCCACTTTCAATTTAAATTCTTCATAATCGGTGTCCTCAGCATCATCATCAACGGTGTACGGCTTTTTCTAGACTTGAAGAAGAATCACAATCCCCACAAGGTCATCTACTACACAAACGCAGAGCATCAGCATCATTATGAACAAGATGATGAAGCCTACTGGAGACGATCCGCCGAGAATGTGGATTATAATCCACAGGAGAGGGCCTACGGTGCTTATGCACCCAAGCACTGAGACCCTTGGACAGTAGGGAACTTGCATGAAGCTTAATTCTTTCCAATTCCCCTATTCCCGCATTCCTCCATACACTGACAAAAGCAAAGGTTTTTGACAATTACGTCTTAACATCTCCCATTTTAATTACGTCTTTACTTACATCAAGAAACTTCTGACTTGAAAATTTTTAGGAATAAAATATCTTGCACTAAGAGAATAAAAAATTTCGCCAAGTAATTTTGTACTTGTCCTAAAGACGAGGACAATTTCTTGGTGACGAGAATGCGATTTCTCAAACCGAGTAAAATTGAATTAATTCATTTAATAGTTTTTTAGGCCTCAATTCTAGAATATCTTAATGCAAAAACCACTTTAATTGATTTGAGAACTCGTTTTTTTGATATGAAGAAATTATTCTCATTTTTTGGAGAAGTATAAAATTTCTTGGCGTAAGATTTTTTTTTCTTAGTGTGATATATTGTGCGCTTGGTAATTTTCAAGCCCTGAATTTCTTGATACAAGTAAGGAAGTACTTCTCAAAAAACACTCGTTTTCTCAGTGTAACATGAATAGCTCAACGGCGAAAATTGTGGAGAAATATTGTCTACACTTTTAGAAATTTCTTGACGTTTCAATCACAGAGTCATTTGAATTTTCGATGTTGTGAAGTTGAATTCAATTTCAAATGAAAGCGTTCACTAAATTTCTCATTCAACTTGAAAATTCAAGGAAATTGGATTCTTCATGTTAAACATTGATTTTTCAGTGAAAGCTTGAAACTTATTGCCTGAATTTTCAACATTTTTAAGGTTTTTCAGTCTCGTATGGGCCCTGAAAGTCGAGAATTACTTGAATATTCAGGAAATTAACTGATTTGTCATGAAAAAATATACAGAAATTTCATGTAACTTTGTAGTTGTTAAAAATTTCGAGCTTTTTCACTTGAAATTTTAAGAATAATTTTCTAACAGTGTAAATATCTTATGATAACTGAAAATCAGTCGTTTTCGAGATCAATTCTTCGGTCATGACGTCACAAAGACGGCCACGTAACGCTTCATTGGTTGAGCGTGAAGAGAGTAGGGAGTTGTCGTCCCCCATTGGCCGAGGCGCACCTCAAGATTGGGTTAGGTCGGCTGAAGCCATTCTGTGATTGGTCCAGCATTCGACCGTCTGTGTGACGTCATTAGCGATTACAAAGCGTTTGAAATCTTCGACTTTAACCAATTAATTCAGTAGCAAAGCAGTAAAACGGTTTAAGTCGATTTTGATTATTCTCCAGTTTTCAAAGAATATCTTCGAATCTAAGGGAGATAGCAATATTTTTGACAAAACCTTTTCTATAGCACTCAATTTGCTCTACAAAAAAGGTTATTACAAAAATTTCGTTATCTCCCTTAGATTTGGAGATATTCCTCCAAAACTCAGATGGGAGCTAAGTTCACTTAAACCGTTTTACCGCTTCGCTACTGAATTATTAATTAACGAGTAATATTTCGAGCGTTTGTGAATGAAAAATGAATTATTCCAAAACGTGATATTAGAGAATTGAAACAAAATCACGCAAGTTCCCTATTGTTCCTATCATCATGTGTAAATACTTCACGAAGATACCTTCATCTCAAGTAGCTGAACGATCGAGGAATGTCAACTCAACGGAGAAGGCTGTCCCACTTTTTTATGTGAAAAAATTAAAATTCCGTGTGTCGCCTATCGAATTCGAACAACCGTTATGCCAATGTTGCGGGCACGTGGTATTTCTACATCACCAAAATTATCGGCATTTCGTTTAATCTTCTGGGTTTTCTAATCCGGCACCATAAAAGCTCAATAGCTATGAGATTGGTTTTATTTATTTTAATTATTTATTGTAGAAACGTTTGAAATAAATATTTATTAGTAAGCAATATATATGTTAATATCTGGATTTTTGGTCTGAGAATCGTTTGCTCGACCTCAATTGGAGAATCCAATGACGGAGGGATTTCTTAGCATTTAGAATAATTTCACGCTAATATAATATGTTAATAATTTCCTGTACAGAAAACAATATAATTATTCTGGAGAAAAATCCATTGGTTGTGGAAGGCTATACGTTTTGGGTATTATAATTTAAAGAAGATGCCACTATGGAAAGATAAGGATCCAAAAATTTCCAGATCATCCCAACGGAAACACCGTAGCCGTGAAATGTTGATATTTGAATTTTTGGTCGGATGATCGTTTGCTCGACCTCAATTAGGGAATCCAATTATATTTTAACGCAGATATAATATTATATGTTAAGGTAGTATATACATAACTTCAATTTTGAAGGTAAAAATCTGAAATAAATTCTAAACGGAAGTTAATATGAATAAAAACATGAATGAAGTCTAGTATTATTGATTATAATTAATTTAGAAGTGCCAAAATACCACAGAGAATATTTAGAGGTTAAAGAGAAGATTACAATGTAGAAAAAATCTTGAAAAATAAAAAATAAATAAATAAAAATTCCATGCCTAATCCGAAAATTGTCGTCAGTGTCAAACTTTTAGGATAAATAAGTTATGCTTCTGGGTACCTCGAAAGTATAGGATGCCCTAGTCAAACGAGCAACTACTGTTTGAGACAATAATTATAGAGAGAATTTGATGGATTAATTTTTTTATTCTCGTCAACGCTAGCATTCACGTAAGAAATTGCCAATGATGAATAATTTTTTTCGGGTATTTTAAATTTATTTTTCTATCGACATACGCGGTAGCGTATCGGCCAAGGAAACGTTTTGAAATCTCTCAATCAACATCATATACTACTTCAATCGTTTCCTGGACAGAAAACTCAGAAAACTGTATGATACATGACAAAAATCTTCAAATTGCTATATACCAGCTATATTCCAGAAATAATATGCACCAGAAATTTGATATGTGGAAATGGCTAGGAGTCAAATAGCTCAGTTGGGAGAGCACCCGATGCATAATCGAAAGGTATCACTATCCATTTTTTTCAGTAAAATTTTTCTAATTATTCATATTGATAATAATCCCGATTCCCCTCCTACCTCATCCAAATCCCATCGAACCATTTCTTATGACGTCACGAAGATGTGAAACGCTATATAAATTTCCTTCTTTAATGCAAAAATGAATGCTGTAAGAAGGACAGCGCCAGAAATTTGAAATGAAGAAATGGCTAGGAGTCGGATAGCTCAGTTGATCTGGACTATCCATTTTTTTCAGTAAAAATTTTCTAGTTATTAATATTGATAATAATCCCGATTCCCCTCCTACCTCATCCAAATCCCATCCAATCATTTCCTATGACGTCACGAAGATGTGGAACCGAAGGGCTGGTCACGCCTCAATCGAACGACTCAGTGATTTCCAGTAACAGATGATTTCCTGTGATTTCTTGTTGATTTCTGTGATTTCTCGAATGATTTTTGTGATTTCTCAATCAGCATTAGAAATCATGATTTCTTTTGATTGTTTGTGATTTCCATGATTTCTAGTAGATTCCACTGATTTCTTGCTTTCATGAAATCACTGGAGAAATCATGATTTCGGGACCAGAGTGGGGCATCTGTCGATAATGGCAGTTTTCCACATGACGTTACAATACGTAAAGATGTCAAAAATGTCATAGCGTCACATTTCGGGATTGGGTGATTTCGAACCCACCGATACCATAACAAAAATTGTAGAGTTGAAGCTGCAAAATCAATTTTCGGAAATGACTTCTGATTTCTTTATGATTGCTATTGATTTCCGATGATTTCCAGAAATTCTACTTCTGGTGATGTCTTCCTTGATTTCCAGTCGAGTGGTCCAGTGATTTCCTAAGTGGCCAGCCCCTCGTGTGGAACGCTATATAAATTCCCTTCTTCAATGTAATCGTAGGCATCTAAATTTTTATTTATTAGGCATCATGACTTCGCATAAGATGCCGTTTTGAAAAGATAGATATCTTTCCCAAGGGCGCAATACTAGAATTTCTGCTCCACACACCTTTCGTGTCTAGCCCTAGACGACTCATCCCGTTGTCATCCCGCGTGTCATTTCCACGAATCATCCCAACGGAAAAAACGTAACCGTGAGATGAATCCTGTTAACGATGACTTATCTGTCATACTTTCATACGAAGGATCATTTGAAATTCTCATGGTCAATGCCCCGTCAACTTGCTCATTCATCGTTGGTCCCATCGAGTCACCGACAACCCGAGATTGACCTCCACACGCCGTGACCTGCCCTCGTCTCTCATCTGACGCTTATGGAGACAAAAAGGGAACACCGAGTTTTCGGCAATGTGCAATTGGCAATGCTCCAAGGTGCCTCATCCAGACCGATGAATTAGCATTGATGGTCCTTGATGGTTGTACGCTTTGGTTATTAAGAGTCGTGGAGAAAGCCTCAACCGAAAATTCCACTGCATTTTTTGCATCGTTTTGCCTTCGTCAGGTGCATAGATGATGATGATGGAACAGACTGTCTGCTGATGGTCATTGGTTGAGACCAAACGTGATTACGTTTTTAATTCAGATATTGTGGAAGTCCAACCATTCATACATGATTCAAGAACCTTTACGCGAGATTCCTATATAACACCCTGCGGTGGAGGAAAATATCAGTTTGTGCAGAATCCTCGGTGTCTCAACAAAGGAATAAACTCTCTACGAAATGATTCGGTTTGTCGTGATGGTTGTCAGTGCTTTTGCAACGATTTCTGCTGACCCAGAAGCGCAGAGGAATAGGCGACCCATTCCCATATTCAGAGTGAGTAGAGTAATCCGGATTTTGGGAATGAGATTCGTGATTTGAAGTTTTTTTTCAAGGAAACACCAGCCGCTGGACTGAAACTGCCCAACAATGCCACCGCCATTCGGGAAAATATTGTGGATACGTTCTCTTGTGAGGGGAGGATTTATGGGTATTATGCTGATGTGGATAATGAGTGCCAGATATTTCATGTCTGCATGCCACAGAATAAGGGGGCCATCAGGTGGAGCTTCATATGTCCGGAGAGCACGGTTTTCAACCAGGCAGGTTTTCCCTTTAATTTTTCAAATCAGAAATGAGTTTTTATTGGGACTGATTTGGATCCTGCAATCTTTTTGGCTTCCACATGGAAGATTTATAACCGTTCAAATTTAAATTTTGGATTTTTTTAATTGCACACTAATGAATGGATGGAATTGATTTTCTTTAAATGTAGGTATTGCTGAGCCCTATTGATCGCCATTGATTAAAATTTAATTTATCGATTAGTTTTTTAATTTTTGATTTTGTTCGAAAATCGGTTGGCCCACGATAACTAAAAAAATTGTTTGAATTGATTGAATGATGGCTTAAGAAATTTGTTTGGATGTCCTTTTGACCGAGTTCGAAGATGAAGGCCATAGTAGTAATCGCTATTTTGATTTATTTGAAAATTTGCAAAAATTTTGTATTTTTTGAAAATCAGAATTCCGGGGATATCTTTGAATATTATGCTTCACATGAATTCAATCATAGCTTAAAATGTTTGTTTTAATGCCATTAAGTCGAAATTGAAAGATGATTACGATAGCTATACTGGTTGATTTGATTTTTATGATGATTGTTGAAAATATCGAATTTTTCATGAATTTCCCTGAAAGTGAGCTTTCTGATGGTTTCTTCAAATGTGATCTTTCAAATTCATTCAAGTATGCGTAAATAAAATTTTTCTATTAACATTTTATCGAAGGGCTGAGGGGAGAGACAGAACCGTAAAATAGTCAATCGGTTGTATAGAAGAAAGGGATAATGAGAATAATGATGATGATAACATTCAACTAAGTTGAAAATCGGACAAAATTAGTTGGAAAGAAATCTTATTCAGTTTAATAAAATAAAATAAACAATGAATCATACGCGATGGAAGGAAATGATGTGCAAAATAACCATTCGGAAGCATATTGCTAATTTATTAGCAAAAATCACTATACTGTGTTTGGTTGGAGAGGAAGTCGGTCCATGAAACCGCAAAAATTGCAAGCGGCTGTATCTTCGATACAGCTGTAATTGTACGTAGATATGTCCGTGGTCTTTCCTTCTTTCTCGAATTTCCTTCAAACTCCTTGCATTCCCTCGAATTTCCTGGAAACTCTTGAGTTCTCTTTGAATTCTCTCGAATTTTCTAGAAACTCCCTGAATTTCCTCAAAATTTCAAAAAAAACTTCTCAAATCACCTCGAAATATCTAGAATTTTCTAGAATTCCAATAGATGGCGCTGCACATAAGGATCGTTTCCCAAAATGACCCCCCCTCTATTGAAACCATAGACGTATCCACGTAAAAAAATATGTAAAAACTCGAATAGGGTATATATCGCAAGGAAAATGAAATTGGAATCTGAATTTTCTGGAAATTCTTTGAATTCTCTCGAATTTTCTAGGAACGTCCTGAATTTCCTTGAAATTTCTAGAAACTCCTTAAATTTATTCGAAATTTCAAGAAACTTCTCAAATTGCCTCGAAATGTCTAGAATTTTCTAGAACTTCGATAGATGGCGCTGCACGTAAGGACCGTTTTCCAAAATGACATTTTATTAATCATAAAATGACATTTTATGGTTTCAATATCCCCCATATAATGGGGGACCTATGTCTATGGTTTCAATATCCCCGATTATATGGGGGATATTGAAACCATAGACATATCCACGTCAAAAAATATGTAAAAACTCGAATAGGGTATATATGGCAAGGAAAATAAATAAAACTGTACTACGGTGCAATACAACAGCAATTTTCCACTTGTTTCTCGATCTACCAGGCCACATTCGTCTGTACATGGGAGGACGACTCAATCCCCTGCGCCGAGTCAGACCAATATTACGGTCTCAACGAAGAATTCGGAAGAGAGGACCCAGAACAAGAAAACACTGAAAATCCGCACAATCCGGAGGACGTGACCTACAACCCTTCCAATTATCCAACCAACAACGAAGTACCAGTGACCCCGTTCTACGGAAACACTCGAGGAAGAGGTAGATCGAATCGAGGAGGCAAGAGTTATCCCACAGATGACACAACAGAAACTCCTTCGTCCACAGAAACTAAAACCCAATAAGTACAATAAATTTATTTTCCACAAATAATTTCACATGATATCCGAATTAATCTCATCGTTAAATCATCCAGTTAATACTGTTTAACAAGAAAGCAAAAGCAGATAGCTTACACAGAATGTCCCAATGCCTCTGAATATGTACAATAATTTTCTAATCAATCGCTTAATCAGTGTAAATAATAAAGTATAATTTCGAAAATCATGATATGTACAATAAATTGATATGTCTGCGATAATTGGTTGAAAACGAATGTCCATTACATTTTCATTAACTATAAATAATTTTATTTTAAGCCTGTTCCTTTGTAAATAAACACATAATCCATTCTGGCTGTTAGCAAAATGAAGGAAGAGTTTGAGAGTTCAGTGACTCTCTTTAATCAGTATCTTTGGATAACTAGCCATTAGTGTGCGGAGACACATCTGCTCATTCGTCGAAAAGAACAAGTTACAGGTAATGAAGATAAAGATAAATCAACAATAATTTTGGGGGAATATTTACAGGGTTGGGAATATCGAGTTGATAGCTTAGTTTTGTTGATGTGATTCAGTAGTGAAGGGTGCATTAAGGTGAGTCAATTTTAGATGATAATTTCTGTTGTCTTTTGGATTTAACTAGACCTGTGCACGCGCTTATCTATTCGTTGTGAAAATGAAGAAGTCGAATTTATTAAACTTTATATACTCATAGATGTTTTATCAATGTGGACGTCCACATGAAAAGGGGCCACTTTGTCGATTCTAGTTTCCGAGATATTTACGTTTTTGTGTCAGCAACTCCCATTTGCACTAATGTTGAATTGTTTTTCCCATTTTCTCAAACGATGTCATTTTTGACCTTATGAAGATCATTTTGGACTTAAAATGTGTGGAATGTTATCAATATCAGAGTATACATAAAACTATATTGACAAAGTGGTCCCTTTTCATGCGAACATTCATAAATATTGATAATGACTTGAAGAGAATTAAGAGAATGAAGAGTGAAACATCAATGAATGATTTTAAATGTTCGATTAATTCTTTTTTTTTTACTTTTTAAAATAATCTGATTGAAATCTGTAATTGTTGAAAAATGAGGGGAGGGTTATTAATTGATTTCCTAGAAAACTGAAAAAATGTCTTGAATTCTTCGGAAAATTTCACCGTTTTCCAGATAACCGTAGACCTTCAAAGATTTTTCCTGAATTATTCGGGAAACCGAAGAATTTTCATGAATTTTGTAGTTTAGAATTTATGTATGAAAATATGAGAAGCAAGAATTGATCATTTTTGCGTATGATAAATATGAACAAATTCAAATTTGGGAAGTGAAGAATAATTTGTGAGTTGAAAAAATTTAGAAATACTGTTTTTTTTCTCATGATCAACAATTAGGCAATTTAGATATGTTTTGATGAGGATAAACTTCACACATGAAAAAATGATAAATATGACGCAGAACAAATTTTTGGCATTTGAAGAATTTGAAAATACTGGGGATTTTTTTCAACGACTACTTTACGCGACTCATTGACCAATGAGAATCGAGGATTAGCGGTCAGACAGTTTCGAGATATTTCGATATAAAACAATTTCGCGTTTCTTTCATCTTTAGTAAATAGGAAAATGGTCAACCAAAACTTAAAACAATTTGGAAAGCAGCATTTTCCAAAAATGTTGGTACACTGAGAGAAAAATCGTCATAATATGACAAAAATAATTTCTTGAGTGGAAAACATCGCATGTATATTTCATCAATTGATGGTAGCCTCCAGACAAGAAATCGGTGCTCTTTGGCCAAAGGAGGATGATACTGATTGAAAAAATAATATTTTTTTCTGAAAATTGGATAATATTCCTGAAGAGGCAATGTAAGTTTGAGAGAAAAAAAAGATGCTATTGCTTTTCTTCAAACTCATTGCGAAATTCTGTATTTATTCAATATGAAAGTCCCTAATTCATGAGTCACTGAATCTAAGCTTTTAGTATTTTTAGTAATTTCCTCATCTTTTGACACAAAATAAACGATTTCTTGAGGCAAGAAATTGTCACTTTATCGCCAAGTGTTCGTGTTCAAGTCATAAACATTTCACAGGATTCTTACACGGTCCGACTCATTACGCGGAATTCTTATCCCAACCGTTTTATCCTTAAGAGCTGAGATATTTGACCCAAGAAATTAGTTTTGTGATACACTGTCGCCATTTCTCTCAGTGGTTATCTCTAAAATTCCACGATGCTTAGCCGAAAGTAAATCCAAGTCAAACCACCTCATCCTGTCCCACACCTTCACTACTGACTCCATCATTATAAAAATCTCATGTACATAAAATCTCAGATGTTCATAAAATCTGCAGACATTAGGCTTCCGAATCTCTCGCCAAATCAGTTTCAATCTCATCAGGTGTTCTCAAATCAATCGCGAAACGTTTTTTGACATTCGCCGAGGCATCCTCAGCCTTTCCCAACGCCTTAACCATCTGAGAATAAATCTGGAAGGCTGTGGCCAGAGCGTACGTCAGCTGTCTGGCGTGATGTTTCGATTCGCAGACGAAGGCGTGACATTCAAAGGGTGAGACCTTGCGGAAATTCCCGGAGTCCCTCACCACGATCATCGAGAAGACCCTCGTGTAGACCAGGTCCTGCACACCGTAAGAGATGGTCTCAATGGGATACGTCTTGGCGATAGCAGGCTCGCCTTTTATTTTACCCAGGGGCAACAGGGCAACCCCCTCCTTGGAGACGACAAGCTTCACCAGAGGTAGGATTGTGTCGGTTGGCAGGGATTTGGCAGCTGCGACCATGTTATCGACGGGCTTTCGCGTGTGCTTGATACCCCAAAGGCCTCTCGCGTCGTGGGAGCCCAGGTACTTGACCTGGAACACCTGTGGCAGATCGTTCGAACCCTCAAACACGTTGTTGTCGATTGATAGGCGTGATAATTTCGAGAGAACCGTCTTCTCGCGGGACGAGAGTGGGGTGGAGATGTCTGTGCGCATTTCGTTGGTTTGTTTCTGGAAGAAATGAAAAATTAGATTTTCTGATAGGTTTAAAGTAGCCCTTACGGTAGTCTACCCTTACGGTAAATTCAAAGATTATTGAAAACTGCAAAAAAATTGCAGAAAACTCGATTAGATTCGGAATTCCAATTTTTTTCTCAATTTTGTGACGTTTGGAGTTTTACCCGGAGGTAAAACTCAATGAAATTTTCTTTTTCCACTGTGCACTGTAATCCTTTTGGATTTGATTTGGTTGTCACTCCGACCTCGACTAGCTTCGGTGGTGAGCTCGAGGGGGATTCGCTCACTCGGACGGATGTTATGAAGGATATGAAGGGTTAAGGTGTTATTATTAATCACTCGCCCAAATACGAGGTCATATATTAAATAAACGATGGCAATACATGATAATGATTAATGGGTTGGTATAGCGCGTTGCTATTTTTCCGACTTGACCGGGACTTTGACTCGTTTCTTTTATTGTATGGCGAAAGGCCTGAGCTCAGAGATCCGCTCTGTGTAGCTCCTGATCGTACTCTGCTCTCTGGTGAGTCCAGAAAACTCGTCAAAGCTCGTCAAGGGCCCAAGTTGCTTAGCTAAGCAGTCTCACGGTTTTCTGTACTAATATTGTCTTGTGCCATCATTGACACAGACTAACACAGTCAAACAGTTCAGTCAAACAGTTCAGCACCTGAACCGGACTTGCACAAACCGTGGGACTGCTTACCATGATGTCTACATGACACCATGGGATTGCTGACCAATGTCTGGGTGCCAGGAAAGAAAAATCACATTTCTCGTTCCCACCATCCAGCATTATATTATTATTTAATACAATTATTAACTAAATCGGCGTATTGATCGATCCCAATACGTCACAATTTAATTATCGTTTTGGTTTTTCAAAGGAGAAATGTTTAAAAATCAGGATTTAACCTGGTGTCTTATGTGAAAATCAACATTTTCATTGCAATCAAAGATGAAAATCTGATTTGTTTTTCATTAGATGCGAAAAAATCAAGAATTTTTTTGACACCTCATTAAAAATAATCCACCGTTTTGCAAACAAATTTTATTATTTATTTATAAGAGGGAAATGTTTGAAAAAATATCAATATTTTGTGAAATTTAATTTAGATAATACTGACTGGGTGTGAATTTTTTTAAAATTTTTTCCATACAGTTTAGTTGAAAAATTGAAAAACTGAAAATATCCAAAAGTACAGCGTAGTCCGGCCGAAGGGTAGAGCTACTTTAAGTGGAATGAAAGGGGTTCATTTCTTCAAAAGTTGTAGCTTTTTTTAAGACAACTCAATGACCACGATTTCTCTCAAATTCGGTCATTTTCGAAAAATGAAATCGCGGAAAATTTGTCGATCTGCTATTTTGAAAATTGTTCAATTGTGTTTGACTGCTTGATTGATAACAATAACAACCAGGTGGAAAAAAATCCAATTTTAATATTCTAAGCTAAGGTGACAATTTTTTTCGTATTCTTGGCGAAATCGTAGAATCTTGAAAACAATTCACCATCGTTCCTCAGTTCATGATGATTTTGAAAAAAAAAGAATGAAGAAAGTACAATAAGTAATCCATCGAGATCAAATAAAACAATTTCGACATGTATAAAAATTGAATGAGTTAGCAGCAAAATTTAATGTATATAAACAGATCGAATGAATCAAGAAATAAAAATGAAATTAGATAAATTACCAAACTTGCAATGATTTCTGCGAATATTTACGGATTTACTGTAAAGTCATGAACAAAAATATCACTTTTTTATTTGGAATTATACAATCATTGTACTTCGTATAAAAATCTAACCGATCCTATCAATTCCTGAGGCAGGTAATGCAGATAATACGCGTACATTCTTCGTAAATACCATACATAAAATTCTGTAACTCGAGCAAAGCCGAACATGCCACTAAACAACAAATTCCAAATCACAATCCAAACAAATAAAATAAAATCGTAAATGTCAAATTATTCCATTGACTCAAGGGAAATGATGAATCCACTCACGTTAATACTCTTCTTCACACTAGACGACTGAACTTTCAGGTGATACTCAACGACGTTAGGTATGTCCGGAGTTTGTCGAGCGACTGAGGATCCAGAGGACTCGGTGCGACTGTTGGCCAGCCGGTGGCTTCCGGTTTCCGGTGACGTTGTACCTCCCTCAGCCACGCCTTTTGTTACTTCCCCGACGGGGGAGACTCTAGGGTTGCCCACAGTTAGCTCATCCACCACCTCGTGCCCCTCACTTTTCACTAATTTTTTTACACGATCGAGGGCCCTATCATTGCGCTTGGTAAAACCAAATTCATCATCCTCCATGGCATCTAGGTGATCACCTGAGACATCACAATAATTTCTCATATTTTTAATAAAAACTAGAATTTTTTTTACAAAAAAATTGAAAAGGAATTTTTTACAAATAATTTTTTTTCGCTTCCGAATGAAAGTTTTGTAGTAGTTTAAATGTGAGTTTTGTTTTTTTGTGTTGTATCAACCCATTGTGATTCACCAAGTGCAAAAGTGCAACTTTTAGAACTTAATTTTTTTTCAGTTTTCCATTTTTTTCAAAAATCGATTGGCCCACGATAACTAACAACAAATGTTCTGAATTCATCGCATGCCGGCTTATAATTAGTATATTGTGTTACTAGTGCGTAAAGTTCCATTTTTTCGCACGCATGTGTGAGACATTCTATTTTTCATCAATTGTGCGTAAAGTGAAATTTTCCGCGCGCTCCGCTACACACCTCCAACGAGTCAAAAAACACTTTTACGCACTTGTAGTAAAATAGTATATTATGTCATCAGGCGATAGAAGTATTATCTGACTCATGAGTCAGATAATTCTTTTATCGCCGTATGACATTGGTATATTGTGTTACTAGTGCGTAAAGTTTCACTTTTTCGCACGCACGTGTAACACACCCTATTTTTGTGGTACTACGAGAATTCACTTTATGTACGCTCGTGAATTTTACGCATGCCGTGCGGAAAACAACCGCTTTACACACACTAAACCATTTTTAAAAGTGCACTTTTGAGGCAGGTATCACAAAAACAATATTTTATGTCGCTGGGCTCGAAGATCGCGATGTACTCGAGCGAAGCGAGGTTAGAATCGCGGTTTATCGGGCCTAGTGACGAAAAAGTATTTTTTGCGGAGCGCGCGTAAAATTTCACTTTCCGCACAAGTCATAAAAAAAAATTTTCATTGTCTCTTTGAACGACTTCGATGACGAAGGCGACAGTGGTAATCGTTGTTTTAATGTATAAAATAATTTCTAAAAATTTCGGATCCTTTAAAAAATAGAAATCCGAAGGTGGCTTTGAATATCGAAAAGCATCACTCGATAACTGTCCAATCTGGTGAATTCTCCAGTTACATAAGTAATTGTAAGTCCTTACCGCCCGCACTCTGTAATTACAATTAATTCTTCATCTCTTCCTGAAGATGAGAATGAGAATTAAAATCAAAACCGTTAAAATCCGGGATTTCTTTGGCCGAGGCTAGGATTTAATGCCCATCTAGTATTAACTGAGGCGTCAAGTGGTCACCTGGAACGTACATTGAATACGTAATGAGTGTTTTAATTCCCGTATGAACCTGCCAACTCTACCTGGCCCCCACGACTTCTGCACCTGACTCACTTCCTGTGTCCGCACTATACCCACTCCCTAACCTCCCTTCATCCGGATATTATGTATGTAAGAGAATTTTTAAAATACGTGATTCCATCTCAACCGACAATCAGAACCGTTTCGAAAATGAATGGAATTTTTTCGTATTTTTTAGTTATTTGGGGTAGGAGTGACTAGAGGGGATTTTTTATAAACGTCCGCTTGTGTATAGTTTTATAATTTTCTATTTTTAAAATTTTTCCATTTTATATAAATAAAAAGTCATTTAATTTCCTGTTTTTTCCGAAATGTGAAATCAATCAATTCAGGGAACTGTGAAAAATCGCCACAGGTCGGGTTTGAAATTTTTTTAAAATATTTGTTTTGTTTTGTTTGTTTATTTTAAAACCTGCTGCACAGGGATATCCTTATAGCATAACAATTCAAGATGTAGTGGATTGGCTTTTTAATTGATTTTATATTTTCTTTTTTAGTTAATCTTTTTGAAAAAGTCCTTCTCAATTTCTTGTTGAGTCTGAGGTATTTTCGGATCCAACTGACTCAACAGAGGTTCAACTCAATGAGCTCATTGGCCCTTTCACAGGGAATAAAAGGCAACGTAATGGACTCGGGGGATGGGGTCAGGTGCAAGATGCGGAGAGCACGTGCGCCCTGCTCGACAGCTGTTTTCCGGTGCCTACGACGTCCAAATACCCTTTCTCCTATTTTTTTTTGACTCAATTCTCGAATGTTTGTCGTAGATCGGCATCAATCATTAATTGAGTAATACTATGAGAAGTTGCACCTTACAATAATTGAGATTTACTTATCTTCATTTATAATAAAAAAAACTTATCTTCATTGAAATTTGAAAAATAATATAATAATTGGTAATTTAATTTCTCAATTATGGGTTGATAAAATGATTCGGAATTTGAATATTTAAATTGCTGGTTATTTTAATAAAACAAAAATTGATGAGTGTCAATCCACCCGGGCCTTAATTCAAAATTACAATTATGTCGTTGTCTGATTTTCGTAATAAAAAGGCAAGATTAATCATTTCATTTAATCGGGCAAGGTGATAATTCTGATGAATCTAGAGATTATGAGTGATAATCTACAATAATATCCTGACGTCATAGTCATGCTGATAAACAATTGTACGAATATCACCAGCAGGCGCGTCGTACTGCTGTTTGGAATGAGAATAACTATAACCAATTAATTGAAAAAAGAAATATCGAATGACAGAAATAGGGCGTACTGAAGGGCATCGACACCCCGGGGGCAAACAGAAAAAAACCGAAACTAAAATTTAAACGTCAACGAAACTTGCAGTCGGAAGGAAAAAAAAATTCTCGATGATCCGCCGGAAGTGGAAGAAAGCCCATTACATTATTTCGTCGAAAAAGAAGAGGGACATGATAAAAATGACGGTAACGACCGTGTGCCATCGAGCGTGCAACATTTTCGCATTGGGGGGTTAAAATAGCCATCCTCATTTTTTTCCATTTTCACTATTGTCAGAACTACGTTTAATTTATATCCGTGACTATTTCCGATGCGAGAGCATCAACAATGCAGCCGCACATATGATATTCACCTTTTCATTTTCGATCGTCCGAATCGGAGAGGAGTGAGTAACAATAAAGAGAAATGAGGAGTTATGGAGACAATTGGCGGGATGCAGGAAGTGACGCTTATAAACAGTGTTTATAACAAACGGTTGGGCAGGAAGTACACGGCCTCCGGTACTGTAACGTCCAAAATCACTCGGGCGTGCACCAAAATAAACATCTAAATAAATAGAGGATGGAGGGGGGTTTCAGAATAATTTTTTTAATCGCTAGATTAGTCCGCGCACTCCGTGCGCATAATTCCTACGCCATGGGGCTTAATGTATGTCAATTATAGTGAATAATCTTATATTAGATTTCTGAAGTTAATATCAAAGTTCTCGAAGGAAAAGTTTCAGGAGTGTATTCTATTTTTTTTACATATAATACATCCAGTGCGACTTTTTTTGGAGCCAATCTATCCGGCGTATTGTGTCATTAGATTTTTTATAAATGATGATAGAATACATTAAAGATATTACGATAATACTATTGGGATCTCTTGCAAATCCACACGCGCTCTAGCGGTTCAATCGACTACTAGTTCGGGCAGGTCGCAGAGCTGTCTGCTAGCCGGTTGAACTCGGAGCCAGAACTGTTCTGAAAAAATAAACATTATTTCGCTCAATGTTTTTACGATCTTATTACGATATTTTCCAATAATCGAAGCTAATTGATTCAGTCAAATATTGACAATAATTACATTTTATTGATCATGGAGTGTGCGGAGAGGAAAAACAAGAATGAAACGTTTTGCAGTGTGTATGGATGAACTACAAAGTTTGTCGTAATTCAAAAGTTAGATTTTATCGTTTTCCTCGCCAAAACGTGGATTTAGTTACAATAATTAATAAGTTTGGTGAAGAAGAAATTATTGATAGACGTACGGCTTGGATTAAAATATTGAGAATGGCCAAAAAGTGTCGAATTCCATAAGAGTTTGTTCTTTCCATTTCACTGAAGAAGATTTCTTTTTGCCATGTAAGTAAAAAAGCGATTTCCAATATTAGCTTGGCAATTTATGAATTGAAAAAAATATGACGAAATATATTACTGATTTCTTGAATTACAGCTAGAGCTCAATACGACAATTCAGTAATTACTCACCTGAAGAGAACAAGTGTTCCTTCACTCAATCTGCCTCCTCAATCACCCACAAACAATCGGAATTGTGGAGAGAAATTTTTGTAAATCTTCTCCACCACGAAAACTCTTGGCTCTTGGATGTGTATCAGCCAATTTACAAATCTCATGAATAGAAACTCATTTTATCACAGTCAATTTAATAACAGTAATATATAAAAATGAGGGCTAGCTGTAACTCCGTGTGCATCTGGCCGTTCGACCTGCTCATGCTAGTTCTCTATTTCACCACGAGACGGCTTTATATTAAGCCACGCCTCCGTCAGAGATCTCAATACTATATTATATATACTATGTACTATGTATAGAATATAATGTACATAATGAAAAAAATGAAATAATAAACTGATAATAATAATATGCATACTGTATTATAATATAGTATAGAATATGATATAATAAAGTATTATCGTAATATCTTTAATGTATACTATCATCATTTATCAAAAATCTAATGACACTATACGCCGAATAGATTGGCTTCAAAAAACGTTACACTGGATTTTTTATTAAAGGAATAGAGAACTTGCGTGGAGCTCAGTTTTCCCAAATTTCCCGATTCATTTTTCTGCATAACCCACAGATAGCTGAACGAAAAAAATTATGGAGAAATATTGCCTAGATTTTTTATAATGATTGATTGAAAATCAGACGTTTGGGAGAAGCGGGGAACCCCGCCCCGCGCCATTTTTTAAAAATTACAATTGATTGGCTAACCGGAAAAAATAAAATAAAAATTGACTTTGTCAATTGAAGTGTCTAAAAAATTATAGTAGTTTTTAGAACAACATATTTTCAACAGATGAGTTATTTTCTCTCATGTTCAATGAAATTGCCTATAACGCGACGTTGCCGGAAATTCGCTAAACGCGCCCGGGCAGTGTAGAGTGAATTCGGCAACGCTCGAGTCTCAATAACATGGCAGCGAATCCCCGCGGAGGTGACCAAGTCGCAGGGTCGCGTTTAGGGACCAGATTAGGGTTAACTAGGTCCTGACGAAATTGTTTCGTTATTTTGTTAGTTCGGCAGGTTTTGGAGTTTTACTTTTGTCTCGAAAATGATGGATTTTAGAAGAATATGTGATAAGACTTTTTCGTATAACAGGAAATTTTCTACAAACAAAATTTATTCAAATTTTCTTCTAGAATTGATAATTACGGAGAAAATCAGCCCCCAATTTTTACGAGTGTTTATTCCAGAAAATTTTTTTTTTTAGGTAAAAAAATCTCCAGAACACGTGGTTTTAAGAAAAAACTTCAAAAAAACCTTTTTTACAGCTGAGAAAATTTCTTATGAAAAATGTCTTGTGACATTTTCTTCTCACTTCACTCAATATTGAGATAATTTACAAAATAGAAAGTAGAGAATTCTTGAAAACCCGTTAGGAATTACGTTTGAATTAATGCCAAGACTCCAGTAAAAATTGCAATATTTTGAGTGAAAATTCTATCATCTTGTGAGAATAATACTTAGCACAAAGAAATGTCACCAGATTTATTGAATTTGCAACCAGAATTTTTGTAAAAATTCGTGAAAGATCAATTATACTTTATAAAGATAAAAGATACTTGGATATCCTTATAGGGAGACTACTATGAGTTTTGAAAGTCGTGGGATATTGGAGTGAGATTTCTCATGCACTGAAGATCGATTATATATGTCAAAAAACGAATAATTAGTGCAAATAATTAATTGTTCGTTTGCTCCGCAGATGCTTAAAATGTTAAAAATAGTCCAGGTCCCTCAATTTTTGAGCAAAATTTTTGAAGAATTGTGTACAATAACAATTATGAATTCGTTTTTTGAAATTCAACTCCTACACAGCTAATTTCGTTTTGTTTAATATAAAAATTTGCGCCATTCATGTAAAATAGGCCGAAAAATTATCCTTAAAAGGTTAAAAATATATTCTCGATTTTTTCAGAAATATTTTTCGGGCTATTTTACGTAAATGGTGCAATTTTTTATTAAAAAATAACGGAATTAGCTGTGTAGGAGTTGAATCTCAAAAAACTACTTCGGAATTGTTATTGCTGACATTTTTCAAAAATTTTAAAAACAAAAACCTCTGTAGCTCAAAAATTGGAGGCCCTGGATTATTTTTAACATTTTAAGCGTTTGAGGGGTAAACGAACAATAAACAATTAATTTTTTTACACTAATTATTCGTTTTTAGACATACAGAATCGATCTTCAATGTATGAGAAATCTCATTCCACAATCCGCGACTTTTGAAACTCATAGTAGTATCCCGTTAAATAAATTAAGATCAACCCCGGGACATTTAAATCGTAAAGTCTGGATTTTCATCACCTTGAGCGACCTCAGCCTATCATGTCCACAACTCAGCCACCAGGTGCACGAAATTCCATTCCCATAAACACCTGTTGGCCTCTCCCGCAGACGTAATCCCCGATAACACTCCAAATCAATCAACCGAAGGGAAAAAAATACGAAAGAAAAGGAGTCACTGCACAAAGGAAAATCACAAAAATGAATAAAAACCTTTCGTCCTGTCCGAACGAGCACCAAACAGTCCCTCCAATGCCCACCTGTAACACGAGCCGACTTCCTGGTGATAATAAATTCCGTTTCTGCTGACGGAGTTGGAATAAAATTCAAATGAGGTGAGTAAAAAAAATATGTATTTGCGTGCGTCGCTCAGTGAGTCGCAACGGCCACTGCTGGTAAATGTGGAACACTTTGAGCACTGGCAGTCTGATTCGAAAAAAAGTACCTCCTGACTCTGTGTCACTGATAAACGGTTTTATACCGGTGTACGTTGCCGTGTGACTGCGACAAGTCGTAAAGCATTTTTGAGATTAGACGGTATTGAATTTACCGGCGTCGATTGAATTGCTCTGTGCTTTTTTTAAAATAAATATATGAGGGTTTTTTCAATTTTTTTGATGAGCCTATTTGGCTTTAAGATATTTCGAAGGCGATGAGAGCATAATTTTTGGCGAGGGAAATTTTTGTTGCTGTTTAACGGTAATTATCTTGGTAGTCGTTAATGTTAGAAGGAAATGTGATAAATGGACTCTGTCGGAAATTTAATTTTGTACGAAAAAGGTCTTCTGATATTTTTTCGTAAATTTACGCGTGTCAGGGATTTTTGGAATCGAACAAAAACGGAATATTTCCTCAGAATTAATTTTCGGATGATAACTTGGAAAATGAAATGATTATAATATTATCTCAATAATTATCATTTCTATAGAAAAATGTTTGGGATAGACTTTGTAGAGAATTCAATTTTCTACAAAAAAGTCCTTTTGCGTTTTCTTCTGAATTAAATAATTAGATAAATAAACAATTGTTCAACGTGTTGCATTCTTCTTAATTAAAAACAGCAAAATTTTCTGAAAAATTTCTGTTACTGAATTTACCGGCGTTGATTCCGTTGCTCTAGGCTCTTTTTTTCATGAATATTTGAGGGTTTTTTACATTTTTTTGATGAGTCTATTTGGCTTTGAGATATTTCAAAGGCGATGAAAGCATAATTTTTGGTGAGATAAATTTTTGTAGATGTTGAACGGTAATTATCTCGGTAGTCGTTGATATTAGAAGAAAATTTGATAAGTGCACTTTGTCGGAAATTTAATTTTGTACAAAAAAGGTCTTCTGATATTTTTTCGTAAATTTACGCGTTTCAGGGATTTTTGGAATCGAACAAAAACGGAATTTTTTATCGGAATTAATTCTTGAATGACAACTTAAAAAATTAAATGATTATTATCTCAATAATAATCATTCAATTTGTAAACTTTGTACAAAATTCGATTTTCTACAAAAAAATCCTTCGGTGTTTTCTTCCAAATTGACTAATTACTGAGATAAATAAAAAATTGCTCCAAGTGTTGCATTCGTCTTACTTAATCTCCTGAAAAAATTCCAGATTAACTTACCTCTCTCTTCGTCTCTCCCTCGCAAATTTCACACACCTTAATTAATAACTTAATTAATCAGTATAAGCCCGTAAACAGTCACTCTACATCAGGAAATACCTGAATTTATCCATAATTTTTCACCCAAGATTTCATAACCCTCGCGTTATTTATTTATTTATTTAACCCTCATAATTAATTATTTAATAGCCACGGATCAACGAAACTCCCGCAAACGGATACGTGAGAAAATTCCGCGACAGCTACGACAGGAACGATGCCTCGGAAGTCGTCACAGTTACGACATCAAATTGTGTGTAACAATTCCCCTCAAATTCACAATTATTTAATTTCAAATATTCTTTTCGTACAAGGAGAGCCTGGGATGAGCCTCTGCGTCGCCTCAACCTCGTCGGTTTCCACAAATCGTTGATCATTCCTCGGGAATCATCCTCGGCAATGATCAACCATTAGACATTCCACTCAGCTAAACTCAACGAGCAATAATTACAGCAACAATTATCTCGGACGAAATTATAAGGTCTCGATGAAATTCATGTGAGAATTTTATTTTCCAAGTTTGAGATAATGGAAATGGATGGTCTAGCAGATGATTAAAACTACTTGAAAAACACAAATACGTTTTGAGTGTTTTTTCCTTCCGAATGGAAGTTTTGTAATCGGTAAAATTTATGTTTTGGATTTTATATTCATTGTTGACCTCTATCAATCGCCATTAATTAAAATTTAATTCATCGATCAGTTTTTGTAATTTTGGAATTTTTTCGAAAATCGGTTGTTCCACAATGGCTAAACAAATGTTCTGAATTGATTGAATGATGGCTTAAAAAATTTATTTGCATGTCCTTTTGATCGAGTTTGAAGGTGAAGGCGATAGGAATAACCGTTATTTTGATTTATTTGAACATTTGCAGAAATTTTGTATTTTTTGAAAATTAGAATTCCGGGGATATGTTTGAATATCATGCTTCAAATGAATTCAATCATAGCTTAGAATATTCGTCTAAGTTAAAAGATGATTACGATAGCTATATTAGTTGATTTGATTTTTATGATGATTGTTGAAAATTTCGAATTTTTCATGAATTTCCCTAAAAGTGAGCTTTCCGATGGTTTCTTCGAATGTGATGTTTCAAATTCATTCAAGTATGTGTAAATAACATTTTTCTATTAGCATTTATCGAAGGGCTGAGGAGAGATAGAACTGTAAGAAAGACAATCGGTCAGAAGAAAGAAATAATGAGAATAATGATGATGATAACATTCAACTAAATTGAAAATTCGAGAAAATTAGTTGAAAAGAGTTCTTACTCAATTTAAAGGGAGACTACTATGAGTTTTAAAAGTCGCGGGATATTGGTATGAGATTTCTCATACATTTAAGATTGATTATATATGTCTAAAAACGAATAATTAGTGCAAAAAAAACTAGCTGTGTATTGAAAATGTTAAAATGTTAAAAATAGCCCAGTGCCTCCAAATTTTGAGAAACAGAGATTTTTTTTTTGCGAAATTTTTGGAAAAATGTGCAATAACAACTACGAATTAGTTTTTTGAAATTCAACTCTTACACAGCTAATTTCATTATTATTTTAATAAAAAATTGTACCATTCATGTAAAATATCCCGAAAAATATTTCTGAAAGAATCGAGAATATATTTTTAATATTTTAAGGCTAATTTTGCTGCATATTTACATGAATGGCACAAATTTTATATTAAACAAAATGAAATTAGCTGTGTGGGGGTCGATTTTCAAAAAGCTAATTCGTAATTGTTATTGTACACATTTTTTCAAAAATTTTCAATAAACAATTAATTTTTTTCACTAATTATTCATTTTTAGACATATATAATTGATCGTCAATGCATAGGAAATCTCACTCCAATATCCCATGACTTTGAAAACTCATAGTAGTCTTTCCTTAATAAAATGAAATAGACAATGGATTATATATGATAGAAGGAAATGACGTGCACCATCTTGTATTTATATCTCATGTACATATGGGATATTCCATGTGAACTCACCCAGGTCAAAACCCTCACCATCGCCAATCATATTGCCGATTTTTCCTGTGGTTGTATATGGAAAAATATGACTTCTCAAATTTTTTCAGATTTTTTGAGGCATCCTGTGGGCAGCCATGTTTTTTTGCAAGTTTTATCTTCAAATCCCTGTAACTTCCGTAAAAATCAACCGATTTGAGTTTTTTTTTTTACAAAATATGCGTCTTCGACTACACTTTCCATATAAAAATATGCCAATTTTTTTCAATTCGTTCTTCCATCGATTTCCTCAGAAAAACCTCAAAAAACTTCAAAGAACGAGTCGTTTTCAAAGTTGGACCCTTTTTATATTTTTCAAAAAATTTCATTTAACTCTGACTTTGCGCCTACGCCGAGACGGAAAATCGCGTTCTAACCACGGGAAGTAAAATAAAGGACCCTCAGCCGCGTGCTTACTAACCTCGCCTTCGGCTCGGCTGGTAATTCACTGGCAGCTGAGGATCCTTTATTTTTCCTCCCTAGGTTAGAAATATACTATTTCAGGATGCCGAGGTTTGTGCACACGCTCTCTCAGAAACTGAAGGGCCGAGGTTACTCATTGAAACAAATGATAACGTCTCGAGAATAGTAATGCCTCGAGATAAAAATAAAAAGTCATTTTTTTCATCACAGCAAACTCCTCGATGTTTATCGAAATACTTCGAGCGAAAGTGTAAAATATACGACTGTCACACATAGTCCAGACAGTTGACTTCCTTGACTATTGTCAAAATGTTTAATAGCATCTGACAATAAAATACCAGTCCCCGTTTTTGTAATAGTTGTTCGAAAACCACAATTCATTCAGAGAAAATGTAATGCGTCGTTGATTACACACAACGTCAAGAATACTAATTGGTAATCCTGTGCTGCGACCTTGATGATCGAGAATACTGATATAAACGCCCTGTAATTTCGGTTGTGATGATTTACATCTATGACAAGGATTTTCCGTTCGAGTGAGAATTAAAGCCAAACAATTTTAATCTCTTCATCTACCATTCATATCAAGAGAAAAATACCACTGGAAAAATATACTCTTGGGAGTAAAAAAATGTCCGAAAAAGTGACGTTATCGAGAGTTGTGAATGCTAAAATTTTATAACCTCTGGTTTCTTATATTTTCCTCGCCCTCGGCTCGGGCTGCAGACTCATACTCGCTAGAAAGTTTTTTTCCGTAGTGATTTCTACTTTTCCCAGTTCGAGGATTGGTATTGACCCTTCCCTGAACTGGCAAAAGTGAAAGTCACTACGGAAAAATATTGTTCGCACCTAGTGCCACAGGGGTTTTCGGCTCGTGTGATTGGAACACCTCGCCTTCGGCTCGGCGCGCTAATCTCGGACGAGCCGAAAACCCCAGTGACACTCGATACGAAATATACTATTTCGACCTAATGCCGAAATATATTATTTTTCACCACGCTATGCGCAAAAGTAACTTTTTAGGCGTACCTAAAACGTCCCTTTTCCACACATTGTGATGAAAAATATCGTTCGATACTCATGGGAAAAGTGTTTTTTGGCTCGTGGGATCGTACCACTCGCTTTCGACTCGTGCTATAAGCCTCCCACAAGCCAAAAAATATGTTTCATCACGCTGTGTGTAAAGTGACATTTTATGCACCCTCCGCGTGCGCAAAACCCCACTTCCCACACATTGTGATGAAAAATAGGGTTCGGTACTCGTGGGAAAAGTGTTTTTAGACTCGTGGGATTATACCACTCGCCTTTGGCTCGTATAAACCTCCCACGAGCCCAAAAACACTTGACCGCAAACGTATCAAAATATACTATTTCCGCACTCGTATCGAAATATACTATTGTGATACCTGCCTGAAAAGTACACTTTTCGAAACTGTTTTGTCTGCATAAAACGATAAACGTGTGTAACGTGAATTGTCGTACGTAAAGTTTCGCTTTACGCACTCAAAATTCACTTCAAGCACATTCTTCAACTTTACGCACTCGCGCGCAAAAATAACCATTCCACCCCCTCTACCGTTCCGAACAGTGACCTCGGCAGGTACCATAAAAAATAAAATGTGTTACACATGCGTGCGAAAAAGTGGAACTTTACCTACTAGTAAGACAATATACTATAAAGCGTGTTTTCTAACTTTACGCACTCGTGCGAAAAAACCTCGACAGTTGTCACTAAAAATGTGATGTGTTACACGTGCGTGCGCTAAAGCGGAATTAAACGCACTAGTCACACAATATACTATTCTGTGATACTCGCCTGAAAAGTTCACTTCTGAAAACGGTTTAGTGTGCGTAAAGCGGTTGTTTTCTGCACGCCGTGCGTAAAGTGAATTTCGAGTGCGTAAACTGAAGCTTTACACACGAGAAATAAAACAGTGAATTCGTTTTGCCGAATTGTCTTGAAATTTACACACTCGGGCACAAAAACAACCCCAACCCCAAAATTTCACTTTACGCGCATGTGATGAAATAGTATATTATGTCACTCGATGGAAGAAAGCGCGATTCTAACCTCACTTCGTTCGGTTAGATCGCGCTTTTCGGGCCTACCGACATAAAATTACGTTCGCCCCCCAGCCTGACAGCATTTTCAGGCCTAGGATCGAAAATTACTATTTCGATGCAAGTGCGGAAAAGTGTTTTTTGGCTCGTGAGAGGTTTATAGCACCAGCCGAAGACGAGCGACATAATCCCACGAGCCAGAAAACACTTTTTCCATGAGTATCGAACAATATTTTTCATCACAATGTTTGAAAAGTGGGATTTTGCGCACGCGGAGCGTGCGTAAAATTTCACTTTACGCACCAGTGATGAAAAATTGAAAAAAAATTCACCCAAGTTCCCTATTCTCCCCGATGCTGAATCCCTTGACCCCTGACACTGCCCGACTATTACATCTCCTCTTCTGTTGAACGATAGCTCCGAAGATGACTGTTACGAAATAGAGACCCCAGCCGTGCGCAACAACGATCATCGTACCAAAACAATTCAGAGACTTCACAGAATTTATTTAGCGATGGAATCGCATGGCCAGTCCGCTGGGGAGGGGGTGGGATACACTTGTAAGAGGGGCTCTCAGAACATCCCCTCTTCTTCAATGTGTCTTCACCTGAGAGCATATATATACCAACTGTACTGGAGCATCTTGGAATTGAGGAAGAGACAGGGAATTCGTTTTACGAATTGTCTCTTAGAAGAATAAAAACAAATTTTATAAATGAGAGTTGAGATTTTTCGTTGAAGGTTTGAGACAGTGATTATTCTCGTGATTTTTAAAAACTTTTAAAGTGGCTTTTTTTCATCTTAAACGTCTTTAAAGAAAATAACTTGATTTTTTTATACAGATTTTTCAAACTCTTGTGGTTTTTAACACGTGATTTTGTTTTATTTCAAGTAAATTTAATCAATTTTTTAGATGATTTTTTTTACTTTTTCGTTTTGTTTCAAGAGTTTTTTTATTGTAAATTTTTAGATGATTTCGAGGCAGTGAATTCGTTTTACGAATTGTCTCTCAGAAAAATAGAAATATAAATTTTATAAATGACAGTTCAGATCTTTAGTTGAAGGTTTGAGACAGTGATTATTCTCGTGATTTTTAAAAACTTTTAAAGTGGCTTCTTTCCATCTAAAACATCTTTAAAGAAAATAACTTGATTTTTTTCATACCGATTTTTCAAACTCTTTTGTGATTTATAACACGTGATTTTGTTTTATTTCAATTGAATTTAATAAATTTTTTAACTGATTTTTTTTTACTTTTTCATTTTGTTTCAAGAGTTTTTTTATTGTAAATTTTTGGATGATATCGACGCAATGAATTCGTTTTACGAATTGTCTCTCAGAAAAATGACAACAAATTTTATAAATGACAGTTGATATTTTTCGTTGAAGGTTTCAAACAGTGATTATTCTTGTGATATTAAGAAAATTTCAAAGTGACCTTTTTGCATCTTTAGCAATTTTTTTATATAACAAAACGACTTGATTTTTTTTCATACAGATTTTTCAAATTATTTTGCGATTTATACCACGTGATTTTGTGTTATTTACATAGAATTTAATCGATTTTTTTTTCGATTTTTTTAGCTTCTTCATTTTGTTTCAAGATTTTTTTTTTATTGTCAATTTTTAGATGATTTCGAGGTTGATTTGTGGTCTCGCGCTCTTCGCCGGGGCCCTCCTGTATCAGTCAACAATGGCGGTGAGTTAAAAAAATTAATTGATACGTGAGCGTAAATTGATCTGGGGAAACATGCGAATTCTGTTAATTTGATTTTCTAATTTACATAGAGTCAGAAAAAATTACTGTGAATGAGTGCAATTCGAGTGAGATATCTCACGATTTCGTAACAGGGACAATTGTATCGTGTACTTCATCAGTCTACCCACACCTAATTAATTAATTGAATCTTGCGCGCTTGGAATTTCGTAAATTTTCACTTTTACCAACTTCTTCTCATGATTTTCTGTCATTCAGCAATTATCTCGTAACACGAGTGAATTATCCCTTCCAACGATGAAATTCTTTTTTTTTTGTTCAACGGAGGGGAATAAAATGTAAATGAGAAATATAAGAAATCAGAGGTGATTAATAATACCTCCAATTTTTTATATTTTTTATTTTTTCTTCATTTTTGTTTTTTTTTTATTTTTCTTCTTCATTTTTTAGTTTTTAGTTTTAATATAAAAAATATATGAAAAACGCAAAAAATATAAGAAATCAAAATATAAGAAATGAGAGGTCGCGTTGCTACAATCTGAATCGCGTTCTCGAGAAAAATGATGTTTAAAAAAAATTAAATTTCGTAATATCCATTTTTGTCTGCAATCTCGATCAAAATTAGAATTATGAAATGTTGACGTGAATATTGAACAAAGGAAGGGCCTGCGTCATAAAAAAAAAGGGGAGTTAGTCGTGTATGAAGACTGCGCAATCCATTCATTTTCACCGGAAGGTGAATACGACAGGGGGAACAATAAAGTTGCTCCAATCGAATTGAGATCAATGTTAGCATCACACGTTGGATGATGAATTGTTGTTATAACGTGAAGTCATGTAGAATGAATACAACTTGGGTATCCGCTTGGAGAGCAGTGTTTTCCGGTCACTATGTAGAATTCCAGTGAATAGATTGAAGTTCAAATTTAGAGTGAATGCAGACCTTGATAGGCGATACTTATCGAGCCTAATTGGAAGTCAATCCATTGAATAGTTTTCGTCAGACAGTTAGAACCGTTCGCATGATGAGATTTTTGCTTCCGAGTGGAAGCTTTGTAATCGCAATTTTTTTCGATTCTCTAATTTTGCTTGGATATGACTCAGGGTGATCTGAAACGTCGACATTTGATATTTTTAGCAAATGTATGTATGTATGTGTGTGCGTGTGTGTGTGTGCATGCGCATTTGTCCAGAAAGTCATCAATAACTCTGAAACTGTCTTTACGAAAAATCTGAAATTTTGGCTCATAATAGGTCCTAATGGGAGACAGACATGTGCAAAATTTCAGCCTGATCGACTAAGTGGTTCCTGAGATATAGCATTTTCTCAAAAATGGTTTTTCACGAATATCTCATCAACGGCTTTATCAATTAAAATTTTTTTTATCCGAAAATCTTTGTTTTGATAATACCTATCTTTTTGTATCAAAACCTAATGAATCCACTACGGAGAATGGTTTTTTTTTCTATTTTTTCACTTTTTTCAAAAAATCGCTTGTATCCACGATAACTCAAAAAATAATTGAGATAAAAACTTCGAACTTTGTATGATTATAGCGCCGTTGGTAAGGAAGGCTGGTATTGTCGGTGGGCGGAATCGGCCCAGTAGTTCATGAGATATTTAACTTTATAATCGAAAATTCTTCCTTTAATATCTCAAAAACTACTGGACCAAATGCATTCTGCTTGCTCTCAAAATTTTCGTCTGAGTGGTGGCTATCGATGCAAATCAAAATATAGGTACCATTCAATTGAAAGTTTTCGAGATATTTCAATTTTTCTTTTTTTGAGATCAGATTCCTATTTTTGACTGTGAAGTGGTTTAGACTTCTATTAACGCTGTCAAATTCATCATTCATATCAGGTTGGTGTCTGGTTATTGAATTATATGGTCCTGATCATGAATGTAACGCGTGGTCAAGACAGGCCCTGAACCGGGCACCCGTGTGGGATCTTATACGGAGATCCTAGCCCCGACCTGATCCGGGGAACTACATCAGGTCCATGCTGAGTTAACTTATACGGTCCTAATTGAAAATGTAATGTGTTCAAGGGAGTTCGATCCATCACAGAAGTGGAATTGGATTTTGGAATGGAATAACTACGGATCCATTCGGAAGCATACTACCAATGGAATTGGTAGAAATTAAAAACGAGAGAAAGTAGTATCACAAAAAGCGACAGTAAAAAAGCTTCGGTAGAATAGGCTTCTACCTCTGCTTGTTTTTATTTTTTTTCTTCCATTAGAGTATATTTAAAAATAAACCTTTTTACGAAACATTTCAGCGGGAAAGGAGTGAAACGATTGAAGCTGATTTTGACTATTGTCCAGTTTTCAATGAATATCTCGGAACCTAAGGGAGATAGAGAATTTTTTGTTACGATCTTTTTTGTAGAGAAAAATAAGGGCTACAAAAAAGGTTATTACGAAAATTTCGTTATCTCCATTAGATTCAGACATATTGCTCGAAAATTCTGATATTGTACACTGAGAGGAAAGTCAATGTAATATGACAAAAATAATTTCTTCAGTGGAGAACCTCGCATGCATATTCGATCAATTCATGATAGTTTTCAGACAGGAAATCGGTGCTCTTTGAAGAAAAGGAAAATAATACTGAATAAAAAAATCATCTTTTTTTCTGGAAATTAGATAATATTCCTGAAGACATAAAATAAGTTTGAGAGAAGGAAAAGATTTTATTGCTTTCCTTCAAACTCATTACGATTGAGACCTAGTGACGGTTATACTTTAGAAATATATGAAGGTTCTCCCCTATATAAATTCTGTATTTATTCAATATGAAAGTCTCTGATCCATGATTCACAGAATCTAAGCTTTTAGGATTTTTAGTAATTTTCTCATTTTTTTACACGAAATAAACGATTTCTTGAGGCAAGTGTTCGTGTTCAAGTCATGAACATTTCACAGGATTCTTATCCCAAGCGTTTAGAGATATTTGACCCAAGAAACAGACATCGGCATAATCGAAATTTTGAATTACAGTTAAATTTGGAATAAGTCAATTGTTAACATTACTCACCAATTTTTTATTCTAAAAATAACCATCAATCTAAATTTTCAAATTGCGAATTATTTTATCAACCAATAATTGAGAAATTGAATTACCGATTATTAGATTATTTTTCAAATTTCAATAACGATAAATAAATCTAAATTACTGTAAGGTGCAACTTCTCATAATATTACTAACGTAATGATTGATGCCGATCTATGCCAAGAAATTAGTTTTGTGATATGTCCATATTTCTCTCAGTGTAACGATGAAAAATACATTCAAACAGTCTAAAGAAAATTATTCACCATAGACAATTGTTCCCATGAACTATTTCTTTAAATGATTTTTTTAAACAATAGTCGAGTAATAATTTATGTGTTTATTTAGGTCATTAATATTTTATTTCGTGAAATCAGATGAATTCTAGTTCGCTTTTGATACTTTTGCCCCAACTAAATTTTTATTTTGTAGTTTCAATATTATGCAATTTGTATATAAAAATTTATATTCCTTAAATCTTAACGGGAGAAACTATTATGTGAAATGAATAAATAAATATAATTTGCTCAATGCTTCCAAATACAATTAAATGGACAAATACAAAGAGTAAAGAGTGAACGAACCGTGCACGGTAAAGGTCGGGAAGCAAGAGAGCCAGTTCAATTGAGTAAGGTACGAAGTGACTCGCCAAATCACGAGTGCCACAATTGGAGCAATTAAAGTAGCTCTATCCTTCGGCCGTGCCATACTGTACTTTTGGATATTTTCAGTTTTTAAATTTTTCAACTAAATTGCATGGAAATTTTTTTAAAAAATTCATACCCAGTCAGCATTATCTAAATTAAATTTCGCAAAATATTGATATTTTTTCAAACATTTCCTTCTTATAAATAAACAATAAAACTTGTTTGCAAAACGGTGGATTATTTTTTATGAGGTGTCAACAAAATTCTTGATTTTTTCACATCTAATGAAAAAAAATTCAGATTTTAATCTTTCATTACAATGGAAATATTGATTTTCACATAAGACACTGGGTTAAATCCTGATTTTTAAACATTTCTTCGTTGAAAAATCAAAATGATAGTTCAATTGAGAAAAAAATTAGAATTCCGAATCTAATCGAGTTTTCTGCAATTTTTTTGCAGTTTTCAATAATCTTTGAATTTACCGTAAGGGTAGAGCTACTTTAATAAATTCTTCCACTCGTCCAGATCAATTGACGCGGGACTTTCAAAGGACAATTGAAACATTACAGTCGCTCAATTTCCTCATAAGACTGCATTATGTTTGAGCTTCTAAACTTTGGTTTAGAATTTGTCTCAGATTTCAATTTTCAAAATTCAAGTTACGTATTTTCTGATGTTAATTATTTCAGCAAATTGATGGGTATCGACCAGGAGTGGACTACCCAATTTACAATTCCGTTCCGTTCGGACTCGGTTTCAACTGCAGAAATAAATTGCCCGGCTATTATGCAGATCCCGAAGCGAGATGTCAGGTCTGGCACTGGTGCCTTCCCAACGGCCGAATGTACAGCTTTCTGTGCCCCAATGGCACGGTCTTCAGTCAGACCACTCGCGTCTGCGATTGGTGGTTCAAGGTTTCAACGATCGATTAATTATTAAATGATTTTTTTTCGTTTTTCGTTTTTGTCACTTACACCGTGAATCGAATTTTAATTCCCAGGTGGACTGCATCGATTCGCCGAGGCTCTACGGTATCAATGACGATTTGTACAGAGATGCCAATGGAAACAGAATATAAATTATGATGTATTGTAACTTCTATTTATGCACTTGATAAAAACTGTGAAAACAAAAATTGTTTTTTTTTTCCGTTCTGTTCAATCGGTTCATTTACCCGCGGACATCGGTCGAATGGAGAGTTTCTCTATTCACCGTCGATAATGATAATTTCTCAATGAGAAATAAAAATGCAATTTTGTAAAACAAATGAATTATTCTAATAGAATCGTATTCCCTGCATGCGCAGTCATCAATTTTGGTTTTGTGTTACATGAGATTCTCCAGGAATTACTCTACCACAAAATATCGATGAAGAGAGACAATTTCATGAGATGAATCGTGATGAAATAGTATATTTCGTTACTGGGCCGAAATAGTATATTTCAGGACGAGTGCCATGCGGTTTTTTAGAGCGGAGTTGGCGTCCGAGCGGAAGGCGACGACTGGATAACCACGCGAGTAAAAAAATCCCATGGCACTAGTCGTGAACTATATTTTTTCGTAGTGATTTTCACTTTTACGAGTTTGGGGAACGGCCAATACCAACCCCCGGACGAGGAAAAGTGAAGGTCAGCATGGAAAAAACACTTTTCCCATGAGTATCGAACGATATTTTTAATACCATGTGTGGAAAAGGAACGTTGGAAGCACGCGACCGTTGTGTGTGCCTAAAAATTTACTTTTTCTTTTTTTTTATATATTTTATGAAAATATATATTGGATATATGAGTCATTTACTTGTCCTATATGAAATCGCATATAATTCTTCATCTATAATTCACATCAGTAGTGAAGTGGTAAAACGGTTTCCGTCCCGGCGGGCGCAAAGTTACATTTCCCTCCCGCTTCGCGGGAGGGAACTCTGACTTTACGCCTACGCCGAGACGGAAAATCGCGTTCTAACCACGGGAGGTAAAATAAAGGACCCTCAGCCGCGTGCTTACCAACCTCGCCTTCGGCTCGGCTGGTAATTGCACTGGCGGCTGAGGATCCTTTCCCTCCCTAGGTTAGAAATATACTATTAAGTCGATTTTGACTATTGGCCAGTTTTTAGTGAATATCTCGGAACTCAAGGAAGATAGCTAAATTTTTATGAAGACCTTTTTTGTAGCATTCAATTTGCTCTAGAAAAAAGGTTATTACAAAAATTCCATTATCTCCTTTAAATTCGGAGATATTCTTCAAAAACTCAACTAAGAGATAAGTCGACTTAAACCGTTTTACAACTTCGCTACTGATATACAATCCTGGGCCAGTTTACCATATTTTCACACATACCGGATATAGGATATATGTCTTATATTTTGGCTTATATTCTCTTTTCACATAGGGATGGGTGGGGTAAAAGGGACCTCCTAACATAAATGATCTGCGTAAGCTACTACTTTTAGTAGTATGTGGAATCAGTGAATATGTGTGTGTATTGTGGTTTGAATAAAGAATTCTTTGAAATGGTATGGAGGAATGAGAAGAAGCTGTGTCGCCAGATATTTAGAGTAAGAATTCATTATAGCCTAAATATTAGAGACAACAAGTCCTTTGGAAAATACTGCGTTGAAAAGAAAAGTTTCTGTGAAGATGTAGAGCAACTTAGTTCATTTGACGGTGTATCTTTATAAGTCAAATATACGTTCATTTATTCCATTAAAATAAATATCCTGTGTCCTCATGATTATAATCCTACAAGTATCAGTATCTAATTACCTCAAAAATAATTATGACACCACTGCAAATTAAATCCAGACCTATTTTTTTTACTGAAGGGGGGTAAAACGAACTTTTCTTGAAATAAAAATGTATTGAAAAAAAATTGTTTTTTTCAAGAAAAGGGGTCCGTTTTACCCTACTGGTTAATTTTTTCCAAGAGTGTCCCTTTTACCCCACCCACCCCTACATATTTGTCCACAGCGGTGGGTAACCATCATTAAACCATTAAACATAATTCCAAAAAACAAAGTGACAAAATCTCCATCAAATTCCTCAAAAAAAAAAAAATGAAATCGATGTGAATGTTGATCGAGGTCGTATTGTACAGTATAATGTATATCCCCCCTTCAATGTTGGCGATTTCTTGGCATGATTGGGCAATAGAAAGTGAGTGGCCCAACGGGCGACTCGGAGCTAAGTGATCGGGTCGCCTCGCCCCGGCGTTCAGAACCGAAACCTCTCCTGTTCGCTACACTTTCCGTTCGAGTCTCGCTATGTGTTTTACATGCGCCATTTGTTACGCCGATACACTCCCCCCCCTGCCCGTCCCCCAGAGATCAATCACAGTGAAAGTCTTTTTCCCGAAGCGGTAAAAAATGTCAAGACACTTTTCGGCACATCGAGATTCCATCGATCCAAATAATCGATTGATCGGATTTATCCTGTCGATAAGGCAGGGGGGGATCTTATCCGAAGACGCGGCGGATTTGTCTGGACGTTTAAAACCCTCTCCGTAATTTCAGTCACGTAGTGTCTGCGAGAGCTGTCATTGACAGCTGCGAGTGAGAAGGGAATGTCAATGAATGTGAATCGCGATGAGAAAAAAAAAAGTTGTGAATATTTTCGGGAATTTCCACTTGATGATAAATGATCCTCTCCGAGAAATTCTTTCTCAATGTCGGGTGTAAAATCTCCGGGACGGGTCTTCTCCCAGTGGCCTTGACAACTCCCACAAAGAGTCAATCGTGAAAAATAAGAGTTATGAAAAAAAAAGGACTCGGCGTCCTTTGGAGGCCAAAGGCACTGGAAGAAAGTCGAGTGGTCGATAAAAACAGGATGTCAGCACTTTTTACTCATTTCTCACGATAATATCGAACATTAGTGAAGCTCACGATAATCATATACGCACATTTCGTAATACGATGTTTCTGTATTTTTTTTTTCATCCATAAATTTTGTTAAAAGTCAGTTGACAAGAACCTTTCTCTTTTCATTCTGAAATTAATTAGAAATTCAAAGTCGTTTTAAAATGCTCCATTGTGACATTTCCAACGAAATATTATTCAAGAATTGATAAGTGCTGATATTCTAGGCTGTAACCTAGTTGCATTATGGGTATTTACGTAGGTAGATTGTTATGTGGAATTCTCAGTGCCTCGGGGCACGTCATAATTCGCCACATCTTCTTGGATATGTCGACTGCATCATCCGGTGTCATGCATTTGGACGGGGGAGAGGAGGTTCTTGGGTTTACTTTCACTTTTAATGATTGGATGGGACGGGGGGTCTATTGGGGTAGTTGGGTCACGGAGGGGTTGGAGATGGTGATGGGACAGTCAGATTTTTTGACATTTTTCTTAGTTTTTCACTCGATTCCACGAGAAACGGGGAAATGTCTCGGAAACGAGTGGTTTTAGGGGAAAATGTCATAAGAACTTTCCTGTAGGGAATTTAATTCTGCATGAAAAAGGTTTTCTTGTGTTTTTTTGTAACGCCACCCGTTGCCGAGTTAATCTGAAAGTTAGGGAGGGATATATTATTGATTCGTTAGGATAAGTCACAGAGAATTCATCGTAACTCAAAAAGTACTAGAGTTATTGAAAAATATGCAAAAACCTTTCTCATAGAACATTAAACTCCCCGTAAAAAAGATTTTATAGTCTTTTCTCCTAACATCACCCATTACCAAGGTAATCAAGAAATTGCGAAAATACAACTCAAAAATCGATGTCCGTACTATTTCCAAAAAATCTCAAAAACCACTAGGCTTATCAAAAAATCTCAAAATATCTTTTTTGTAGCCCACAAAATTCCCCACAAAAGACCCTCCCCCCACAATCTCTCCTGCCACCCTTCATCACCCCAGAAAAATACCCCAGAAATACCAGAGATTCATTGATTCGTTCTAAAACCTTCAGAATATCTCCAAAACTACTAGATTTATAAATAAATAAATATGACAAAATCTTTCTTATAGAACATCAAATCCCCCGCAAAAACGATTTTATAGTCTTTTTTCCTAACATCACCCATTACTGAGATAATAAAAAAACTGCGAAAATACAACTCAAAAATCGATGTCCGCACTAATTCCAAAAAATCTCAAAAACCACTAGGGTTATCAAAAAATCTCTGAATATTTTTTTGTAGCCTATAAAATTCGCCATAAAAAGGCGCCCTCACAACCTCCCCTACGCCCCTTCATTGCGGAGATATTCGTCAATCCGAGGAGTCCACTCATCTCTACGAAATACCCCAGATTCATTGATTCGTTCTAAAAACCTCAGAATATCTCCAAAACCACTAGATTTACCAAAAAATATGAAAAAACCTTTCTTATAGAACATCGAAACCCCTAGAAAAAAGATTTCATACTCTTTTCNCGAATGGATTCCTTCACATACTGGAATTGAGGGCAATGAGGAAGCCGATCGTTTGGCTGGAGAGGCCACCGAAAACCTACCAAACGCTCAATTGTTAATTCCATTTTCCGATTATCCAGAGGACATAAAAAAAAGATCCTTTGACGCCACTCTAGAGGTTTGCTTAGAGGAGGGGAGAGATGATAGTGATCATGGCAAGGGCAAAGAATTCTTCAAAGAATTCTACAGAAAGAGTCGTAAGCCGTGGTTTTACAATAAAAATCTCTCCCGACGTTCAATAGTCTGGGTCAATAGAGCTAGATCCAACCACTATCATCTCTCAGCCTCCCTGAAAAGAAAAAATATAATTGATTCAGCCCAGTGCGAATGTGGACATCCCAGCGAAGATCTTGATCATGTCCTCTGGGATTGTCCACGACATGATCAACCTCGACAAATAATGTATAACTCCTTCCGGTTGAATCAATTTCCTCCCCCACTGAATTGTCGAGTTATTCTAAAAGACCTAGACTCTAAGATCATAGACATTATAACAAAATTCCTCAAGGATAGCAACTTAAATGTGTAAACCTCATTATCAACAAATGTATAAACTCGTTGTCACCAGTAAGACCTATATAGAATTTCTCAACACATGTATTTACGTAAGTATATAGATTAATTTAGTTATTTTTATTATTACTATTATTATTTTTTCTAATGCTGTATAGACGTGTAGTCTCGAGCAAATAAATATAACAAAAAAAAAAAAAGGTAATCAAGAAACTGCGAAAAGATAACTCAAAGATCGATATCCGCACTATTTCCAAAAAATCTCAAAAACCACTAGGTTTATCAAAAAATCTCAGAATATCTTTTTTGTAGCCCACAAAATTCCCCATAAAAAGACTCCCTCACACCTCCCGTGCGCCCCTTCATCGCGGAGATATTCCCCAGAGCAACCACCGAATTCCTTCATCTCCTCTCATTTCCAATCCCTCACTCAATCACTGAACCTCTCATCCTTCGAACCCCCTGAAAATTCCGTCTCTCCATCATCCCCCCATCCCGAGGACCAGGGACACCCCCAGCCCCCGACAACCCAACCTCCCAACACCTCCCAAAAGCTCGTGCCTCCAAGAATACCCCGCGTCTCTACGCTATTGCTCAGCTCCTCTAGACCCTCTACCACACGAGAGAAAGGCACCTCGTAGCCCAACAGAGATACAAAAGATGTTGAAATACGCCAATGCTGTTTCTTTATCCCCACTACAGTGACTTCTCTTGAATCCGTCGTCGTAGAAAGCTCTCAAGTGGTAGTTGGATACCCAACGGAGGGGGACAAGTGCTCCTGGTGTTTTCCACTTCCACTTGTTCAGTCCCAGAGCCGGCCCCAGACGGCGAATAATCATCCAAGAAATTTTCTAAACACTCTTTCATGATTCATCTAATAATTCATTCAGTGACTCCGTCGACCAATTCCTAATTATTCCTGTGGTGATTGAAAAAGTGATTTTTTTTTCATCCCCTGGTACCGTTGGAGATTGTGAAAATAGTGGTGGTTGTGAACAAGTGCGGATTCATGTAAGCTTTGGAGTACAACAGGAGGAGAAGACCTCGGCGGGATTTTCATTCGACGGTAAAAAAAAACGTTCAGAGGTTTTTTCTGTAATTTATTTCTCAGGGCCTTTCTTGTATCGTGACATTTGTTTGGAGATATAAGGAAATCTATGGTTTCTTGGGAAAGTTGACAGAGCCCAATGGTCACGTGAAGAGTTAGTCAATTGGAGAAGGTGAAATTAAGTCATGGAAAAATGATTATGAGTTTCATTTCTTCGGGCATTTGGTTATTCACATATTTTTCCAGTAATGGATTTTGATTGAGAACTCGGTGATGGAGATGATGATCACTATTTTCGTGTGTTTTTAGGTTGTGAAGAATATTTAGGGATATCCAAGTATTTTTTACAGCTTGTAGAACATCCAGCAATTAAAAATTATTAAATTATTTTATGGATCTTCCTACAAAAGTAAACTTTCTATTTTTTGTTTCACATTTAAATTTGTTTTCTAACGGTTTATATTGAAATTCAAATTCAGACCTGCGAAGTTTAAATAACAAAATCATTCGAAAATATCAGGAACATAGGGTCGAATGGGTAGTACTTGGAGATTATTAATCCGTTAATTGCCCAATTTTAGCCAGAGGCGTTTCCAGAAAAAAATATTAATGAAAAAAAACTTTCGTTTTGTCCTACTTATCGGCTACTAGCCGATTGATTCGTGGAGATGACCAAATAATGTTGGCTTATCACAAATAATAGCAATTTGGTGAATGAGGAAAAGAAAGGTCTCCGCTCGCGCGACATCCAATTGATTCTAGATCTGGTAAAGCATCTCGTCGGGCTTCACCATTCAATGAGGCAGTGCAATTAAAGAGACTCGCTGCCACACCAGTATGCGTATTCTAATGGGCTCACGTTCACTTTCAATGATCAATTCTTGAATTATTTTTTTAGTCGTTTGAGTATCGAGGGGTGGATATTATTTTTACTGGGCATTACGTGACATGCGGCATTCCGGTCTCGACATGTTGGATCGCCTGAGGGCACGGGGACTCGCTCGATCAGTCCATCCAAAGATTCCAATTGACATAATTTCTTTTTTTTGTGGATGAGTTTGGAGAAAAATATCGTGCGCAGAGAATATGGCTGAATTTTTTCGAGACAAAAGGAATTTGCAGCTTGTCATTTTCACATCTGCAGATATCTCCGCAGGGAAGCTGTTTAGCGAATAATAATGAAAGACATTTTTTACGGTGAATTTTACGAGCAGCACAAATGGTTTTTTGTGATTTTCCGATAAACCCAATGGTTGTGGAGATATTTTCAAAATAATAAAAGTGAAATTTTTCGGTGTGAAAAAATTCCCCGTACATTGCTGTGCAAATATCTCTTACACAACGAGATTTGGATGAAAATATCATAAGACATTTTTTGTGCAGTATTTCATAAGCTACAAAAATGGTTTTTTGATGTTTTTTGATAAACTGAGCCGTTTTGGAGATATGCACAAAATACGAAAAATCCATTCTTGACCCCATCCGCCAATCCCCTCTGGAATTACTATAATCGTTGAATAATGACCCACCCCCCATTGATTAATGATACCTTTCTCGCTCCCGAAACAGCAATTAGAAGCGACCCCAATCAAATCAACGCGCAAATTGCCAATGCTCAACACATCACCAGCACGACAAACACGAAGGAAAACATCCGGAAGACATACTGTACCCGGATAATTATTCGTGCTTGACTGAAGAAAGGAAGTAGCTAAGTAGTTCTCGCACAGTACTCGGTACATTGACCACCGAAGCCTCCACTCATCCCTCGAAATGAGAGATGAATGTCCGGAAAAATCTGTGAGGAAAGGAACAAAAAAAATTATAAAAATCAACATGACGTATTCGCTCTGTTGCAATGGCCCTTACACAATGAAATCCCAGGATCAACATAAACCAACAGTTATGGTTGAGCGACTGTCGTTCACAATCGAGAGTGAAAATACATTTAATCGTTCGACTACACTGGATATCAATTTCTACAATTCACGAGTGAATGACTTCACATAGAGAAAATTTTTCACTCATTGAGAACCTGAAGTGCATCATTTAATCGAATAGAACGAGAAGTTTTAATTTTTTTCCCTCCTTCAACTTTCAAGTACTTTGGCAATTTTTTTGAAACGCTTTTCTACTTTTGTCGTCGAACATCAGAACTTTCATTTGAGCCCCACTTGACCCTAATTTTTCGGAGTTTTACAATGATTTTATTATTTTGACGCTCCAGATCTGAATTTGAATTTCGATGTTGAACCGTTTGAAAACATTTTAAAAATCTGAAAAAAAATTCAGTGCAAAATGTCATTTTAATGAGGCTGAATATTCTTGATTTTTTTTTTCAAATTTTTCTCACGTAATTTAATTAACGGGAAGTTTCAATTTTTTGCTCCCTGCAACTTCACCTGAAATGTTACCGGCTTCGTGTTGTCCTGAATTTAGTTGTGAAGCGGAAAAACAGTGGGATATCCAAGTACTTTGGCTATTTTTTTGCAACGCTTTTCTACTTTTGTAGTCGAACATCAGAGCTTTCATTTGAGCCCCACTTGATCCTAAGTTTTCGGACATTTTACAATTATTTTATTATTTTGACGTTTCAGATCTGAATTTGAATTTCAATATTGAGACGTTTGAAAACATTTTAAAAATCTAAAAAAAAAAAAATCAGTGCAAAATGTAATTTTAATGGCGCTAAATATTCTTGATTTTTTTTTAAATTTTTGCAAAAGATATTTGGCTATCCTTTTTTTTTTATTGAAGCTGCCGGATCCAACTATTCTCGGATCCATTCAGCAACCAGAAAGAGAGTTAAATAAAAAAAACAGATTTCAGTTCCAGTTTGTGATTGCATTATAGTACAGTGTGTGAATTTGTAAATTGATATTCTTTGTGGTTCTTCTCTTGTTAAACTTGATTTAGATCTGAATTGCACATTTTTCTAAGAATGTTGTAATTGCCTTAATGTTTCTTATCCTTAGAATTGTCAAAATTTCACGAATTTTCAATGGCCTGGTGTTACTTGGCTATTCTTAAATCGGTTTTAACTATTAGCCAGTTTTCAATTAATATCTCGAAACCGAAGAGAAATATCAAGATTTTTGTAATGACCTTGTTTGGTGAGGAATCTGAATTTTGGGTGGATGCAGGTTAGGCGTGGGATNTCTTATCCTTAGAATTGTCAAAATTTCACGAATTTTCAATGGCCTGGTGTTACTTGGCTATTCTTAAATCGGTTTTAACTATTAGCCAGTTTTCAATTAATATCTCGAAACCGAAGAGAAATATCAAAATTTTTGTAATGACCTTGTTTGGTGAGGAATCTGAATTTTGGGTGGATGCAGGTTAGGCGTGGGATTAGTGGAAGAGAGTCGAGCCGGTGAATAACTGATCAAAATGTTTTATAAAACCACTAAATTTATTGCGTGCTAGAAGCACCAAAGTCACGGACTCTATGTACACTGTTGAAGATCTGGTTAACTAATTGATAATTGTCTGTGAAGTAAATTGATAATTTGCTGAACACAATTGAATTGTAACTGAACAAATGAAATTGGTTGATGTACTGAACTCAAAGTAATTTTGCCTAAAGGCGTGAATTTAACTGACTTAGACCATGTCTCAAATAATACTGACTGGTGGGTGACTCTTTCGGGTCAGTGGCTCGCTGACCGTTGACCCGAAAGTTCACGGAGATTTCCGAAATAGTTCATTGAAGTAGTTGATGTCTAGCTGCGTTTCAAACAGACCTTTTTCGCAGCCCTCAATTCGCTCTACAAAAAAGGTAACTGCAAAAATTTCGTTATCTCCCTTAGATTCGGAGATATTCCTCGAAAAGCTATGCTAAGTCGACTTGAACCGTTTCACCACTTCGCTGCTGAATCGAAAACACCCACTGAAAACTATCGACAAGCGAAAAAAAAAAAATTATTCTGCAAATTAGCATGTACCCCACGGTTCAATGCACTCGGCTACGTCTCGGCACGTCGAGCACAATATTCTGCATCAAACATGAAGCAGTCCATAAAAAAAGCCTCTATAATCCCCAGGATCAAGCCAGTAAAAGAAATGGAGGAAAAATCCAGCATTTTACGATTTCACGTGGCGTGCAATTTCCGGCGGACATCAGAAACGAAAACGAATCATAGAATGCAGCATCGAGGAAAAGGAAAAGAATTAAAATCTCTCACCGTACTGAGGCCTCACGAACGTCCTTAATATCCGTTAATCATCTCGCCTTGACACAAAAAGTCATAAACTAGAATAAAGTGAGAGTTAACGAGCCAAAGAATTTCGCGCAATTCCCGAAAATTGAATTTACGCGAATGAATTCTCGATGCTAACACTTACACAACATACTCACATGGGTAATGCTCAATACGTTTGACCTTTAGAGACTGATGGGTACCGCTACGTACAAGACGTAACGTAATGAACAGTGAGGTAACCAATCAGCATAAAGCCATCAACGGTAATGCCACTTCCTCATATTTTTTTTACACCCAAATTGATTCATATGTCACACACGCGACGGGCATCACGTTTCGGAATAACGGCCCTTTGATGCAGTGGAAAATATAACGGAAGATGATGATGAACTATTTCGGAAACCGTTCATCGAAAGGATTACGAATATGTTTTTGGGACGATTACGTTAAAAGAAATGATTTTAAAGTGGTAACAAAATGGATAAAATTTACGAATACACTGTTGAAAATTTTTGTCGGACAATTTTCGGGGTACTTTTCGGAAATTTTCATGGAACTTAATTACCACTGAAATTTTAAGGAATTTCGTCATTGAAAACTCAGAATTGCGCGGAAAAATCAAAGAGAACTGTCAATTTCAGTTCCATTTTTTCCGAAAATGAATAGAAAACCATAAAATTCCGGTAAATATATTCTTGAATGTTCAGGACAGTGACACTAAATGCGATTTAAGGGGGAAAAAATCATGAAATTTTAGATTTCACTGAAAATTCAATGTAATTGGGCCCTGAATATTCATATTAGATTGAAAATTCAAATAAATTACCGAATTCTCGTCTTTATGCCGCTTAAAATTCTGGAATTCTACGAAATTTCAGTGAAACCTGAAATTTCATAATTATTTTTCACCTAAACTGCATTCAGTGTCAGTACCCTGAAAATTAGTAGTCAACTGTTCATGAAATTCCATTTTTTTTTCTAATAGTGTAGCATTAAATGAAAAATAATAATAAAAATCATTCGATCAGTCACAACAAATTGATCAGCCTATCTGTCCGATATTCCAATAACCAACAGACATAGAAAAACTTCGAAAGAATATTTTTAAAAATCACTCACAGTTAAAGTTCGAGTTTATTCGAAATTAATCAAAAGACCACTTAACAAATGATTAAATAGAAATTCTCAATACAATTCTGAACGAGATTTGAATATTCCTCTAAATTAAATATCTACTCATTGAAAATATTTTCATAATCTCTGTCACATGCGTCTCAGTCATAATATAATGGAAAATTCTCACAAACGCAATTCATGCGAACTTATTCGGTAGTCAAATTATTCCTCAGTGAATAGAACGAGATCTAATTAATTATGAAATTTCATAGATCAATCGCACACACACTTAAAAAAAACATTATATTGAATAATCCCCTTCAATATTTGTCTCTACTGAGTCGTCACTCGTGGATTATGAAAATAACCACAAAAAAATTTGCTTCTTTCGTCCAGATGATAAAACGAAAATTGTCTAATTGAGACTACACTGTAATATAACTGGCTAATCCCACTGAAATAAGTTCGAGATGCCGTAAAATAAAGTGGGCACCCAAAATCAATATTTAAGGGTATTATGGTGGGGTCCATAGCTTGAAAAAAAAGTAGAGAATTCAATGAAAATTTCTGAACAGATTATTCAATCCATTTGAAAGCCGCGTGCAAAATGTCAAGATCCCTACTTAAACAATAATAATGGGAATAATTTTTGAAGTTGCTACTTTTACACGCGGTTGACTGGGGCATCGGTAATTTTAGTGCTTTTCCTACGTTATTGATCTATCGATAACGTAGGAAATTTACAAAAATTACCGATGCCCCATTCAACTGCGTGTATAAGTAGCAACTTCAAAAATTATTCCCATTATTATTGTTTAAGTAGGGATCTTGACATTTTGCACACGGCTTTCAAATGGATCGAATAATCTATTCAGCAATTTTCATTGAATTCTCTGCTTTTTTTTCAGCTATGGACCCCGCCATAATACCCTTAAAGTGTACTTATCTATTCTGTGGCGACGAGAGGAAAGAGGCCGAGAGTCCTCCCTGATTTGTCTCGAGGCTCATCACTTGAATCCCGCGACTCATCAATTTTTATTTGCCCGATAATTCAGTTTTCTGTTTACTTCTTATCAATATTTCAGTTTCTCTTTATTCCGAACACTGACAAACGAAATTCCCAATTTCCCTACAAGTTATATCACATTTTTATTTTAAAAATATTCTAAAAAAAGAAGATATCAGTAGCGAAGTGATAAAACGGTTTAAGTCGACTTATCTCTCAGTTGAGTTTTTAAAGAATATTTCCGAATCTAAGAGAAATAGCGAAATTTTCGTAACAATATTTGTTATAACTCTCAATGGGCTCTACAAAAAGGGTTACAACAAAAAATTTTCTGTCTCCTTTAGATTCCGAGATATTCATTGAAAACTGGCAAATATTCAAAATTGACTTATACCGTTTTACCACTTCGCTACTGATATGATATATATTCTTTTTCTTTGCGTAAAACTTTTCAAAATGAAATTTGAAAAAACCCATTTGGAGTCAGCACGCGGCGCCATTTCTTTGACCCATCAATAATTTCAGAAAACAATCATCTGATCACACTATTTCTAATCATTTGTCAACCCCAGAAGATTAACATGTTAAAAAAAATGTGTCTAAACTATCACTACCTGACAACGTCGCGTTGCGCCCATATGATCACACCGAAAAACTCCTTTCCCTAAATTGACAGTTTGATTAGTACAATTCTAGTTTGTCCATTGGCTAGAAATAAATACACCGCAGGGATAAAAATATATGCCGCTTGTCTGCAAGGTTACTTTCACCATTGACTACACCAGCCAGCACAGTTAGGGAGGTACACTGTACACTCGGTCTGCATTCATTTCGGATGTTAAAAAGGCGCCTGATCAACTGTCGTAATGCGGAAGTGGATGAAAATTGCGCTTCAACATTTATATCTCGTATGTCGTGCGTGTCTCGGCGGTTCGATTAAATTCCGAGACAAGGCCACTGAAAACCCGTCTATCTAGATTGTCCCAACATCATCATCATCATCATCATCATTGCCAGATATCTCTCCACGATCAAGAATAAATCCAATACAATCCCCAGGGTAGAACCACCCAACTTATCCTCAAGTTATTGAGACAAATGATAAATCCGGTCGAAAAATCAATCCGAAGTAACGCCCGTGTATTACGTGATATCAGGTTTTATATAACACCCACATTATCCTTTTGCATTATATGGTTAGCAGTGGTGACAGCACCAGAGAAAGTTTTCACCTATTCCCTCGGTTCGGCCATTGGTGGATATAGCTTCGGGAATCACCAGTTACTTGTGCACATTTTTTATTTAACAGCCCTCTCCCCCTCCCCCCCTGTCCAGGCCGCATCCAACGGCTCATTATACCGTACTGCTGGTTACATACATGTCTGAATGTTGTATCGAGCTGAAACGGCCATTAAATATCACGTATCGGTAATCCTATTCATCTTCTTCAAAGCGTGGGTTATAACATCATCTCGGTCTATTGCGGTGGATGAATAATTTAGTGACTTGAGGTGTGCAGTTTTCGTCATTTAGTCGCATCGATTTTATCATCAGGTCTAGACATTTTTCACTGATTTATATTCACCACAAGCATTTACGTAAAAATCGGCGGTTTCTTCATGGAGTGAGAGTGGGGAAAGCAATATTTTGGTTGTAGCGACCAGTAAATAGACATGAGTGTACGATGTTGAAAATTTTTGTCTGAAATTTGCGGTACAATTTGTGAAAATTTTTATCGAATTTAGTTACCACTGAAATTTCAAGGAATTTCGTCATTGAAAATTCAAAATTTCGTGGAAAAATCAAAGAGAACTGTCAATTTCAGTTCCATTTTTCCCTGAAAATGAATAGAAAACCAGAAAATTTCGATAAATATATCCTTGAATTTTCAGGATAGTAACACTGAATGTGATTTAGGGGGAAAAAAATGTAATTTGGCACTGAGTATTCATATTAGATTGGAAGTTCAAGTAAGTTAAGGAATTCTCGTCTTTATTCTGCTTAAAATTCTGGAATTTTACTGAATTTTCAGTAAAACATGAAATTTCATGATCTTTTTTTCCCTAAATCGCATTCAGTGTCACTGTCCTAAAAATTAGTAGTCAACTGTCCATGAAATTTCAATTTTTTTCTAACAATGTACCCAAAAGTAGTTAAATATAACTATTTTTTACGCACGCTGTTTACGCACATTGTGAAGAAATAGTATATTTCGATACGAGTGAGGCAGAATTTTCACGGGTGTGAAGTTGACGACCCGAGGCGAAACCGAGGGCTGCGAATCACGCAAGGTAAAAATTCCCGTCTCACATGTGTCGAACAATATGTTTTGACAGTAATGTTACATTCAGCGAGTGGCTGAACTGTGTGTTTTCATTTACAAGTAGACGAAAAAACTTTTCGTTTACTCGGAAACAAAAAGTAAACGAAAAGGCTCTTTTCGGCAAGAGGTGAACGTAGCACTGTTAAAAAAAATATTAGAAAAATATTTCGAACGCAAAAATGATCGAAATAGATTGCAAATTTGCAATTGAAATATCATTTTTTTGTGCAGCGACTGGTTTTCTGCAAGAGAACAATAGATTCCCCTCCGTCTCACCATCATCATTTTGTTGTATACCAATTGCAGACATAATTGTCTTTTAATAATTAATACACAATATTATCTCAAATTAAATTCCAAAACATAAAATAAACTTGAGAGTCACTAATGGGCCAAATGTTTATACAAAGTAAACAACATATTTCATAAAAGTTTTTTTATACTGGTTTTTGAGACATTTATATATGTAAATAATGACTTTTTAAAATGAAAAATTTGTTGAACAAACAAATCCTCTGGATGTGGACTGAACCCAAACCTCCGGCGATTTATTCTCACTCTCTAAAATTGATGATTCGTACTATTTCGTCCGAAATTGAAAAACAAAATAACTATTTTATTTGCATTTTTTTCAGAAGCTCCAAACATGCTCGAGAGGAGATGGCTACTGCTCACACTCTACGGTAAATACAAATTCCAATGAGTTTTATTCATTTTTGCTTTGTCCCTTGTGTCGGCTGCGAAGGTCAACAGTTCCCCCGGAACGCAGTGCACTTTGCATAAATAAGAAACCTCCTGGGCATACTAAAATGCAGTTTTTTTCTCCCTCTCACAAGTTGTTTATAAAAAAAAATCAAGGGTGGGAGGGGGTTTAGCAATTGACCGATGCGAAAGGTACATTTCTTGTTTCACCGACACGCCCATATCGTAACAAACTTCTTGTTATTGCCCACTGCATTGCAAGGCGTCGGCATTTTTTTTTATTAATTTTTTTTCTTTTTCATTTAATTCTCTCCCGTGCACTATGAGTGCACCAACATTTATGTGGCTTATCGCCTCGAACCTCGTGGCGAGATAAAAATGAAAACATTTAAAACATGATCCCGTTACAAGAGCCGACAAAACTTGTGAACGTGTTTTTCATTCGAGGCCGTCCGCTCACCCGACTCCCAGCCTTCGCGCATTGCCTTTTATTTTTCACGCGCTGTATCTTTTTCCGAAACTTTGAAAAACAATAAAAGAAAGATTGTATCAAGTGGTTGGACTTGTTCTGGAGAATGAAGATGGTGATTACAGTGGTGATGACTCTCACATTGGGTGATGAGTTTTTATAGGTTTCTTGATTTATCGAGGATGTGGAGTACGGATGTGGATTGAAACAGAAAGCTGGGGTTTTTGTTCAATATTAGTCTATATTTATTATAAAATAGTTTAGTAGCGAAGTGGTAAAATGGTTTGCAGGGAATATCTCGAGGTATAAGGGAAAAGTTTTGTTGTGACCTTTTTTGTAGCCATCAACTGAAAAAGCTTGAAATTTTTAACAAAGACAAAGTTACATGACATTTCTATATATTTCTTCATTGACGAATCAGTTAATTTCTTGAGAAATTTAAAAACTGAAAGTATCCAAAAGTACAGCGTAGCCCGGCCGAAGGGTAGAGCTACTTGAATCGAAAACATCGATGTTTCTGACCAAGTTAACAAAATTTTTCATTCTTTTGTCGAAGAATAATGTTGATTGATTGAGAATAAATAAAATAATAACTTATCCGCAATCAAAAGTAATTATTTTCTACAGTATGTATGTTATAAATGATAAGTGAACAAGTTCAGTGGTCTAGTGGTTTTTTAAATTAAAAAAAAAAAAAAAAATTTTTATTTATATTTATAAATAAAAATTTTTAATTCTCCAGCAGTACTTATAATTGAAACGTAAGTCCCTCGAGAAGAAAAAAAATTATTTAAAAAAAATTGTTTTTTCTCCTGTGTAATGAGAAAACCATCGATTTTTTAAATAATCGATGTTTTTTCCTGAAAAATCGATTCACAACATCGATGTTTTTTAAAACATCGCCCGTCCCTAGGTCCAAACGGCACTGAAAAATATTGAAAATTTTGAAAATTCTAGCAACAACTTCTGTGAATTCTCAATCTAGTGAAAATGATATTCAATTTTCCCAATGAGTTTGGAAATTCAAGTTTTCATTGAAAAATCAATGATTGTTCTACATGAAAAACGTAATTTTCTTGAATTGTCGAGATGCACGGAGAGAAATGTTCAGCAAAAATTCCGGAACTCACAATTCACTCACCGATTACGGAATCGACTCAAAAAATTTAAGTGACAGTATCGTAATTTTTCACAGGAAATTCAGATAAAAATGACTTTACGCTCTAGAAAAATTCCGTGACAGTTCCGTAAAATTTTCTACAACCACATTTCGCTCCGGAATTACGGAAAAGATACGTCATTTTTATTGAATATTTCTCTCCGTGCGAATGAGAACTTTTATGAACACTTTTCTTTGAAATTGAATTCAAACTCAACATGGAAAATTGAGATGACGCTGTGTCTGAAATTTCAAGAAATTTCTAACAGTGCACTCTATAAAAACAGTCATTACGAAAATTTAGTTATTTCCCTTAGATTTGGGGATATTCCTCGAAAACTCAGATAAGGGATTAATCGACATGAACTGTTTTACCGCTTCGCTAATTTTGTAGAAAAAACCTCGCGAATTCAATAGAATGTCCAATCATAACTATTTTATAGAAAAAAAAAATCAATAGAATTTCATTTTTCTATACAACTTGTTCAAAAGAAATTCCTCGCCCTGAATTTTCCAACTTTTTTCCACTTTATGCTTCTCATCTTTTCACCAAAAGAATGAAACGATAAAATTTGGAAAATTTGTGGCGAAAAATTTGGATAGAAAATGTCCCAATAGAATAAATTGTATAAAAAAATGCGCAGACAAAGTGAAAACAGAAACTCATTAAATTCATGAAGGGGATACGTCGGTGAAATATAAAAGTCGTCACTAGTCCTTGGGACCTATTGAACAGTTTGTGATACATGATGAAATATGGAAATAACTAGGAAAAATGGTAAACCCTATCGATTTTGCCCCGTATAACCACGAAAAACTCATTTTTTTTCTATTTTCACCTTCAAAATGCTCCTTACGCCGTAGTTTTCATACGATTTTAGCTTTTTTTTGTTTAAATGTTCGTTAAACTCCAAAGAATAAAGTTAATCATCCCTTTTACTTTATTCGCAATAGATCATGAATAAATAAATTGTGAATTTCATAAATTTTTCGTGTCTCTAGGGTAGACTAAAATTTATGAAATTCAAAATTGATTTATTAAATGAGTCCCAAGACCCAGTGAAGATTTGAATTTCATCGACGTATCCCCTTAATTTTTTTCCGCACATACCATATGGTAGAAAATAGTGAGAACGATTTTGTCGGCAGTCTTTCACGTAATGTCAAAGTTAGATGCACTCAGCCTTGATCCGATTTTCATACAATTACCCAACGGATTTTCTAAACTCTCCGCCTCCCCCCCCCACCAACTTTTTCCTTCCTCTTCCCGAGACAAGTTGCATCATTAGTGCCTTCTAACTCTGATTTTGCAATAGACGCTTCTCCAGACTTTTCGCAATTACCCAGCGAGATACACTCAGCATTATTTCCCATTCCTGAATGCAATTTAACCACGAATTCAATGAAACGATTGTCGAAATTTTTCCATTCAAGGGATTTTCTTGGCCTTCGCTGTGTCAGATGCTGTGAAAGCAAGCAGACAAAAATTCAAAATAGCAACAACCAGCACAACAACTGAAGAGCCTAATAATGGCGAAGACGTTGAGGTGAGTAATTTCACAAATAAAATTGAATAATAGATTTCACTTTCGCTCTCGTGTTGCAAATATAATTCACAAGATTAAACTGATACCTAGACGAGAAGATTGAAAAAAAAAATCAGTGACACGTGTTCCACCGATGGAAAGTCTTCCATCGGAATAAATTGTGATTCAAGTATTGACTGGACAAATTGAATGTTTCAATATGTCATGGTCATCTTTAATGAATCTGAAGATGTAACAAACTGGTTATTCAACGTTTGATGAGTCCCTGAATAATTAATATCAATGAAATATTTAATCTGTCAATAGGCAACAACTCTGTCGGGAGATGTTAATGCAACAACTGGTCACACCTTGACTGGTATACCACAGATTGATTACATATGGGATCCAAATTTACCACGTGAACTCAATGGTTACAATCTCAGTGAATATCCATTCTACGATAGTATACCCAAGGAAATTGACTTCAAGTGTGACGGATTGCATGATGGTTTTTATGCCAGTGTGCCACACAAGTGCCAGGTAATTGAAGAGTACACTCATGCGTCATTGATTTAGAAATTCGGCAAGATATACTTTCCATAGGTCGTAAAATCGGGAAGAACCGTTCAGCCATCGATTCCAGATGATTTCAAAACGATGAATTCCATTCCATAACAATAATCATGAATTTCAAAAGGGTAAAACGACTCAATATCTCCGAATCTAAGGGAGCTAGCCAAATTTTTGTAATTACCTTTTTTGCAGTTCATGATTATCTCTACAAAAAAAGTCATTACAAAAATTTCGCCATCTGCCTTAGATTCCGAGATAATCATTGAAAACTGAGCAACCGTCAAAATCTACATGAGCCGTTTAACCGCTTCGCTACTGAATTCATAAGTGAGATTTTCTAAAACCAAGAATTCCTTTCAACTCGGTATTATTACTGGACGCGCTCTGAATGCCTTCGCATACCAAAACACCGCAAGGTACTTTTCGTACACGCACTTCTGGTATTCCGTAGGGAAAAAAAGAATTCTCAACAGTAACCATGCACGAAAGGAACAATATGTGTTATACTATGTGCAATTACCGTGAGGCCTCGGCAAACGCCAGTGTGAAAGCTATATACCAGAGTGAAAAGTGTGTTGAAATCCCTCTCTTTTGTTCGTTACGCATTTTTCCCTTCTCCGTTATTTTTTTCGCAAATAATCTCGCACAAATATACACATTCTATTTTTAAAAATCCTATTGTTTTCAGGTGTATCACCATTGTCTCTATGGCACGCGCTATGACTTCCTCTGCGCGAACTTTACCGCGTTCGATCAGAAGACATTCATATGTCATTTTGCGTCAGAGGTTGACTGCGCCAATTCCAAGAAGTACTGGCACAGGAATGATGCCCTTTATAAAGCAGCTAGTACCACCCCACCGCCCACGCCCTCAACAACAACGACCGTGAGAACAACAACGACGACATTACCACCACCATCGGGTGAAGGTAATCGTCCAACAAGAAGGAGACGACCCTTCCGAAGACGCCCGGCATATGACTACTACGAGGAGGATTACTACGATGATGAGTTTGATCGTCCAAGGGGCCGAGGCAGTTACGACAGACGAGACGATTACGATTACGAGGATCGCAAGTACATGAGAAGAGATCGTGATCGCGATCGTGAGTTCAGAGATCGTGACAGGGAGTACCGAGAAAGAGATGTGCCACGCAGAGAGAATGATCGGCCCGAGAGACCGGCGAGGGACGAGAGGGATCCAGCGATGGTCAGCCCTCGGGAGAGATTTCACATGAAGAATAATAGGAGGGAGCCAGCGAGACCGTTGAGGGATCCCATTCACGAGGACATTAGGCCCATCAGGACACGTGACCCTGACGACGTCGAGGACGACAGACGAGTCGACGAGCGTCGGTACGAAAAAGTGTAAGTGTATTAATTTTTAAACAAGTGGTAAATTGATTTTGTCAAAATGTAGTCCATATATTTTCGCTAAGAACTTGGCAATTTTCTTCCGAATGTAATTTCTACGATGTATTTCAAATTGAATTCAATGATTCACTGCCAACATTGACCCAGCGCTGTGCCAACGTTGGTGGCCAGTATTACCCAGCGTTGGCAGCTAACACTGTCCCAACGTTGCTCCAACATTGGTAGACAACATTGCTCCACCGTTGGCTGCCAGTACTACCCCAGTGTTGGCAGCCAACATTATCCCAACCTTGACAGTCAATATTGTTCCAACATTGGTAGCCAACATTATCCCAACGTTGGCAACCTGCATTATCTCAACGTTGGCAGCCAATATTGTCCTAACGTTGACAGTCTACATTATCTCAACATTGATAGCTAACGTTGCTCCAACATTGGTAGGCAACATGGGTCCAACGTTGGCGGCCAGTATTACCCCAGCGTCGGCAGCCAACATTGTCGCATCACTGGCAGCAAACATTGCCCCAACGTTAAAATTTTTCACCTTTCTGAAATCAATTTTTTTTTGTTCTTTACATGTTTGCTTTCCAGAAGCCTTAGAAAGCGTAAATTACAAACAAAACGTCGGAAATATACAATAATCTACTACGCTCCATCATTTTCTCCTCATGCCCCATGAATTTACTTCCTTTATAATAACAACAGTGAACATGAATACTTAATTTCATTAGCGACTTTGTACTTTCAACTGATGCAAGATGAATCATTTTTATGTGCTTTCCAGTCCCATTAAAGATGATTACGACGAAGATCCACCGACAGCACCATCCGGCCCAACTTCCGTAGATAGCCTGGTGAAGCCAGCAGCGCCAGCAGCTTCTGTCTACTCACGTCCACGAACACCTCCAAAGATCCGAAGACCTGTACCACTATCTGAACAAGATAGATTCGCGTACAAAGCAACATCAGTTCAACCACCCGCTGGTAACGATTAACGATTTTCCATTTCTCGATTACCAAAATTTCCACAAATTAAGATCTAATGTTGATGTGACAAGCAGGCGAAGCCCGAAAGCGTCCGACCGAAGCACCACTCCCCGATGATGACTACTACGATGACGAACTAGAAGACATTCGTCCGAGACGACCGATGCGACCGAGAAGACCGTACAGAGAGCGAGAGAGAACATTCTACGATGCGCCGAGGGACATGCGAGACCGCGAACGTGATCGACCCTTCAGGTAAGGTAACGTACACACGAAAAAAAAACACAGAGAAAGAGAAATCAGCTAAATCCATTTAACATCAGGACAGACACCAAGACACATCACGAATGAATCATGCTTTAACTCAGTATCAAATTGGAATCAAATGAATGGGATATTTTTGCTTTACCTTTTCGAAGGAGTCGATATCGCGACGAGGACGACGAGATCAGACCGAGGAAGCATCAGGAACGCCCGAGGGATAGATACTACGAGCGCAGCAGAGATAGAGCATTGGATAGAGGTAAAGATAGGGCAGCTGAACGAGAATTGAGACCGGTGGGAAGACGTCCGCTGGACAGAGAGGAGAAGGAGGATCGCGTGACGACTGGAAGGGACAAAGATATCCCAGAAGAGATCAAAGAGCCTAGGAAATCTTACAAGCAAGGGGAGACAACCACAACAACAAGTACAACAACGACAACTACGACTACAACAGTGCGACCGGAAACTACGAGACCACCTGCAGAGCCTGAGAAGCATCTCTTGGACGATGATTACACCCTGAGAGCAATCCCTCCAAAAGCTGAGAAGCCGTCGTCTGATCATCAAGCGAAAACAGGACGTGTGAAAACCGAGGACTACTCCGATGACTACTACGATGAGCCAGAGTACCCACCTTCCCCACCGCCAAGGACAGCTGTGAGAATCGTGAAACGTCCGTTCCTACCGTCACGTGGAGGTAATCCGAATCCTAGAGGATTGTACCCGGTAGGTGGGAAGGCACCTGAACTTAGGAAGGAGGTGAATCACTCGAAGTCTGAGAAGACAGGGGATGACCAGCGGAATTCAGGAGTCGATGACAAGCGAGTTTACGATGCTTACAAGGTGATTCAGGCTGATGCGCAGCAGAAGAGGCCTGACTTTGAGAGAACTGTCGTTAGAAGACCTGTTGAGGCTGCCAGGGAGGGGGATGCTATTCAGGTTGATAATGCTGGCTTCAACGGTGTACAGAGAAGGCCTGATGAGGACGACAGCGAGAGGAAGCCAGCGGTGCCTTGGAACGGAGAGGAAGTTCATCGAGGCCACACAGAGAGTTCCAGCTCTTACGGGTCTTCTTACACTACTGAAGCGAACAGGGTTGACGTCACTGGACCAAGTGGACCTGGAGGCAAGCAGAGGATCAATGAAGTGTCCCATCAACTTCAGGACATCCCTGAGAGCGAATACGATGTGACCCTCAATGAAGCACTGACACCGGCATTCAATCAGGAGTCGAGTCTTCCGAGTGGTTTCGTTCTGCCACTTCATAGACAGCTGAATCGAGATCCTGTTATTCAGTCTTCGGAGAATAATTACAAGATTTCGAGGCCTTATAATGCACAGGGGGCGCAACAGGGTCAGAAGAGCTTTGTTCCTAGCTCGCAGTTTCTTCCGCTTGCCAGGATTCCGGGTAATGACGAGAGGTCTGGGTCTGTACAATACTACAGGACTCCTGAGGCTGTTCATGGGGCGAGCCAGTACAGACCGTCCAGGGCACCGTGGCACGATTACACTGGATACTGAGGACAATTACGCATCCTTTGATTGATTGATTCATTAAATCGCTTGGAGACCTAGGTGTAAGTGGAACTATCAGAGCAGATGGGGGATTTTGCGCTGAAGTGGAGGATTTGGAAATCATAATTGTGGATAGCAGCTGATGTTGCTTGCACTACACTTTGCGAATAAATCATTACGATCCTTTCTCCTTCTAAAGTGAAAACACTATCAGTGATAATTATTTTCGACTTCTAGTTGATAAGTTCTTAAGGTCTGTCTCATTAATGATTAGATTTTTTTTAAAACTCCTTTCAAAGTATCAACTTTTGGGGGGGGGGGGATGAATCCTTGTAAATACTCAATCATCTGATGATTAATGATTAGTTTTCTATCCTTTCTGTCTCCTTTTTCTTCTCGTTTAAATTATTTTACATCTCCTTGGTCCGCGAATGAGAGCGTCGTCATGATGTATGTCATTTTACTTTATGTAAATTATGTCAATATGATAATAAAGTTTAGTGTTGTCTTGAACGTTGGATTACTTCATTCTTTAGAACTTAGGAACTCAGGAACTCAACGGAAAATGGGAGACTTGCATGAATTATTTTCAATTTTCTAATCTCAAGATTGGGAGTTGAATAATTCATTTTTCATTCACAAACTTTTGAAATATTGCTCATTAATCAATAATTCAGTAGCGAAGAGGTGAAACGGTTTGAGTCAACTCATCTCCCAGTTGAGTTTTGGAGGAATATTTCGGGATGTAAGGGAGATAGCGAAATTTTCGTAATTACATTTGTTATAGCTCTCAATTGGCCCTACAAAAAGATTATAACAAAAATTTTGCTATCTCCCTTGGATTCCGAGATATTCATTGAAAACTGGTCAATAGTCAAAATTGACTTGTACCGTTTTACCACTTCGCTACTGAATTAATTGTTGAAAGTTGAAGATTTCAAACGCTTTGAAATTGCTAATGACGTCAGACAGACTTTCGAGTGCTGGACCAATCACAGAAGGGGTCGGGCTGACCTAACCCAATCTTGAGGTGTGCCTCGGCCAATGGGGGACGACAACTTTCCACTCCCTTCTTTTTCGACCAATGAAGCGTTACCTGACCGTCTTCGTGACATCATGATCGAAAAATTGACCTCAAATACGACTGATTTTCAATTAATTATCATTAGACATGTAGGCAATATTTCTCGATAACTTTGACCGGTTAGCTATCCATATGTTATGAGAAATGTGTGAATAGGGGAATTAGAAAAAATTGAGGTTCATGGAAGCTCCCTATTATCTATGGAAATAAGGAATACTGTATCTATTACCATTTTACCAGTCAACAATTGATAAAAGTGAATCATTAAGACACGATAACGACTGAAAATAAATGTGTGGAAATTCTGTTGACAATGCTCTCATAAAACCACTCGTCGGTGAACCTATTAACAGTCCTGTTTCCTACAGAAGTGTTTGAAAATAATCGAAGAATCAATATGAAGAAATTACTCAATCGTGTCATATTTCTACTCGCATTATGTTTTCAATGTGATCTGCACAATTCGCTTAGAATTCTCGGAGTATTTCCGTTGCCGGCTAAAAGTCACTTCCGAATGTATGGAAGACTGATGCGAGAATTGGCCCTACGGGAGCACCAGGTTGACGTGATTGGAAGGTTTCCTCTAAAAAAACCGATACCCAATTATCGGGATATTGTCATCAACTTGCATCCGCCACAGGTAGCTGTCAATAATATTAGCTACACTCATACAATGCGAATGAGCAATTTGCGAGTGAAGCATTTCGCGAGAACTCTTGGAGTTGAAATTTGTGATTTATTGAGTCATCCTAATATGCAAGATGTAATGCACACCAAGAAGGGAGCGTATGATGTCATTATCGTGGAGGTAAGACCATTGTTTGTCAGTTCTTTGCGCTGCCACGTATGAAAAAATCGTATAGAAATGTTCTATACGGATTGCGTATAGGATTTCTATAGGATTTTCGTATATGATAACCGGATATTTCTATACGGATATTTTTTATACAAATTATTTCTATACGATTTCTATAGGTTTGATCCAGGGATAGCCAAATTTGTAATATTTTATTACGATTACTTTTGTAGCCCTTAAATAGATGACATCACCCTTGAAATTTTTTGAGTACTTAAATATCATGAATTCAAATATTCAAATTTTTAACTATTTTATCAATGAATAATTTGAGGTAGGAAGATTGACGATTACTTGTGTAATCGAAAATCCCCTTTCAAGAAATTTGAATTACTTAGTAGTAAATTTACAGTTTTACATGATAAAATTTTAAATATTTCATTATTCGTAAAAAATCAGATTGTTAATATTATATTATTTGAAAAATGGAATCAACATATTTTAACCCTTTAATAATGTAGGGGTCAAATTCTTGCAATATTACAGAAATTTAATATTGATGGGGATCCCTGGTTTGATCCTATACGACTAGGGATGTGAGTGACAAAAATGACCGGTCAAATGACGGTCAATTACCGCGGCCATGACGGGTAATTACCTTGTCCATAAATCTGACGATTCGGTCAGGAATTCGAAAAATGACCAATTTAATTCTGACGGTCAATTCTCATCTATATAGATGACACACAGAAATTTTTATTCGGTTACTCGGTGTCGGCAAGGTTGCTGGCGATTATAGGAACCCTACGTCGCCACTAGGGGTCTATGCGACACTAGATAACTAAATTCGTTCAGCAAGCAATTCAGGTGAAGAGCTGAGCGAGCTATAGATGAGGAAGCCGGTGGCAATTATGAATTAACGGGAGAAGGACTGAAGATGAGCCTCATCCAGCATCCTCCTAATTTAGTATGAAGTTTTTGACCAAAAACATAATATATACAGAGATATATATTTAATTAATTTTGTTGACGTTCATTAAGTTCATGAGTTTATCATGAATGATCCCGAGTATTGAATTTATGATTGTTTTGTAATTCGTTCCAATAAACATTAACTTTAAATTATGAAATGCGCTTCAATTCCTAACTAATGAAATAAAATAACCAAAAATCTGACCGAAAAAATTACCAAAAAGAAAATGACCGTCAATTTGCATCTATATAGAGGAATTTTGGTCATTTTCTCAAATTTTTGACGCTGGTTGTTCATGACGGTCATTTTGCATGGGGAATTATCTCGGTGTCAGAAAATGGTCAGAAAACGGTCAATTTTGCCTGACCTAACCGAATGGAAAAATGACGGCCATTTCACATCCCTATATACAACCCGCTACCACATATATAGAATCATTTCGTATGGAGTTGTGACATTTATCTACGTTTTTCTCTGGAGCGTTCTTTTGTATGAAGACAAAAATTTATATAAAAAATTATGTATAGAAATAATTCGTATAGAAAATATTGGTATAGAAATATCCGAATATCGTATACGGAAATCCTATAGAATTTCTATACGATTTTTTCATACGTGTGGTCGTTACATTGGTTCGATGGAAATTGGAAGAATTGATAAAGTCCACTGATCACGTCTGAAAGAATGCTGGAATTCTCCATAGAATTTACAGTAGGAAATCCTATAGTAAGCAGAAAAAAAGTGGATTAGCTTTAGAAATTAGTTTCTAGATTTTAGAAACTCCTGTTCTTAAGGGGTAACAGAATGCCGCTAATTTGCCAAATTTTTGAACAAATTTCCTGCTGAAAGTTATCGGTATTTTTACAAATCAAAGCACATTATTCTCCAGGAAGCGATGATGAAGATCATTGTGCTTTGGGTTCAAAAAATATTGATAACTTTGTGCGGGAAATTTGTTTGAAAATTTCGAGGAAACGGTGGCCTTCTGTTACCCCTTAAGATTTATCCTTGGTGAAATAATAAAAACCAACGAATTTGGGGAGTGTTTTTAAGAACAAATATTTTCTAAAACCAACGTAAAAAATCATTTTTGATTTTATATGTAAGAAGGGTTTATACACAGGAGAAGGATGATCCAGATTTTGATGCTTTGAAAAAAATTTTCTAGATTTTAGAAAATATTTTTTTCTAATGCAAATCCATTTTTTTCCCTGTGTATTTTCTATATGACAGTCTATAGGATTTGTTATAGGGAATGCTACAGGATTTACCGCAGGAAATCTTGAAGGTTTTTTTTTTGTAAAGAAAACTCCTTTATTCAGGGTTTGTTACGTTCAACAAATTGATTACAGTTAGTTTTGTTTTCTTTCCCTTATACCTGTGTCTTAAAGGATTTCTCATAGTATTTCCTATCGCATTCTTTTACACGTGATGTTTCCGTGAAAAATGACGCTGTTCATTGAAATACATCAGATTATTGATCTGTTTTCTCAAAGCTACTATTCGCGGACTGCTATTTGGCCCTTGGACAACATCTCAATGCACCGATTGTGGGAATCACTTCCATGAAATTACCCGATTGGCTACTGGCATCCTTCGGTAATAATCTGAACCCTTCGTACATGCCAAGTGTCTTCTCAAGCTCGGGCCAACGTATGACATTCTGGGAGCGATTGCAGAATACTCTGCTCACCAATGCTCTCACTTATGAAGTCTATCGTTACATGGAGACAGAAGTGGAGCATGTGGAGAGATATTTTGGGCGAAAGCTGAACTCGATAAAAGATCTCTACAATGACGTCTCTATCATACTTGTCAATGAGCATTACAGTATTCATGGAATTAGACCTACGACCCCTGATATAATTGCAGTGGGGGGACTACATGTGGCCGATGATGATGAGATACTGAGACCGGTAAGTGCACACACAATGAATTTCATTGAAAAACTCAGCCAATTCAAAAGACAATTCCACTGGATATCTATTGAATTTCTATTGACAATTTCCTCAATTCTGATTTTGACCAATCACAGTGCAGTATTCGAAGTCACGTGACGCGTTTCACACGGATAATTTCCCTGTAGCTTGTCAATTGTTTTCTACGAATTTGACAGATATTCCTCACATTTTGGTGAAATGTGTCCCGTAACCCCGAACACTGCACCCTGATCGGCCAAAATCAGAATTGAAGAAATTGTCCTCCGAATACCCCTCGACCTTCAAAATTCATCGGATATTTTCCCTCAAGTTTTCCTGCATATCAACGATCGGGATCAGCGTTGCAGATTAAAATCCCGAACGCTATGCGCTCGGGATTTTACTGCAAAGCTGATCCCTCTCGTTGGTAGGCAACAAAACATTCGGGAAATATCCGATAATTTCGAAGGTCTTGGGGTATTATAGCTGAAAATTCTATTAGTTTTTGGTCGATTCTATTGAAGAATTCCGCAGTTTTACTGCGCATTTTTTAATAGTCAATTCAAAAGAGAAACTTTTATAGAAAAATCTGTAGCATTTCATCTCTCAATACAACTTTTTCGAGACATTTCCTATAGGAATTCCTTGAGAAGAATATTCCAAGTTTCTTTCACTCAAATTTTCTTCTCTCTTCATTTGAAATGGAATTTTCTAGTGAATTCGCTAGGTTTTTCTATAGAAATTTTTGGTACATGAGGTTGGGAATTGACCGTTTGGAGCTAATCTTTGGACGACTTCACGGAGAGAAATATTCAATAAAAATTACCAGAAAAAAGACGTAAAAATTACGTTTTGAAACGTAATCTGGGAGCGAAGTAAAATTCAATAAAAAGTGTCAATCGTCACGTAAATTCTACGATTTGTACCGTAAAAATTACTCATCCGTCCGACGCCTCACGGTTAGCCATGAGTCACCGTGAGGGGGAGATTTTAACAACCCGTTCCGTAATTTTGCTGGAACTTTTCGTAAAAATTCTTAAACAGCCAAGAATTTTCATGTTCTGAGGCATAATAAGTCTTGAAGTTTCTGTTAGATTTTACAACTTCCAGAAAAATTACGTGACTTTTTCGTATTTTTTCGGTGACAGACCCGAAAATTTACTGAACGTTTCAGATTTATTCTCTTATATTCCTATAGAAATTCATTGAAAACGATTCTCGCTTACGGATTACGTGAAATGTTCTGTAATTTTTCTTGAATATTTCTCTGCGTGTTCAGGACTTGAAAAAATGGTTGGATGAGAGTGCTGACGGCTGTGTGTACTTTACATTCGGATCGATGGTGAAAATCGAAACGTTCCCGGAAGCGATTGTCAAGATATTTTATGAAATGTTTGAGAGAATCGCACCAGTGAGAGGTCTTATCAAAATAGTTGATCCTACGTCTCTCCCTCCGGGTCTACCAAAGAACGTGAAGACATCATCGTGGCTGCCGCAATTGGCTATATTGAGTGAGTCATTAAATCACAGCTGTCAAGTATCCCAATGGCAGTTAGTTTACCGATCTGTGGGCTTTGTTTTCCTGCAGCGCACAAGAACGTGAAATTATTCATCACTCACGGAGGATTGATGGGAACTCAAGAAGCTATTGCATATAAAGTTCCGCTGGTCGGTCTTCCCCTCTTCGGTGACCAATATGCGAATATCGGAAACTATGCGAACAAGAAAGTTGCAATTGCACTGAGTCTTGAGGGTTTAACAGCGGACTCATTAACAAATGCCGTCAAGACTGCGCTCAATGATCCGAGTTATAGGTATTTGATTGAATCCTCATCCCTGCCCTCGTCTTTCTATACTCCATTTTCTATTAAATGTTTCTATGGAGTTTTTTTGTGCGCCTGCAATCATTGCTCTTCATTGCAGGAATAATATTGAAAAGATGTCGAAACTATTTTGGGATCGACCGATGAGTGCGATCGATACAGCTGTCTACTGGATTGAGTATACGGCGCGATATGGGAAAGAATTGAAATCACCAGCTGTTGAATTGGCTTGGTGGGAATTCTATCTGATAGACGTTTATGGATTTCTCTTAATGTGTCTTTTTGTTGCCCTCTACATCATCACGAAGATTGTAGCCTTCACATGGGCAAGTGTGATTTTTAATGATGACGGGAAGTATTCAAATAATGTATCGACTGGTAAGAAGAGCCAGTAGTTTGTTGACTCGACCGAATGTATCTACCCTTTCGAACAATAAAAGGGAGTCATTGAAAATAGATTCTGGAATGGAATGAAGACCGCTATAAATGAATCTATCATTCAATTATGCACAACACTATCACAATAGTATATTTCAGCACGTGTGGGGCAATTTCGTCTTTAACGTGTGTGGGGTTTACAGCATGAGCCGAAGGCGAGTGATGTAACCACACACGTTAAGGACGAAATTTCCCAACAAGTACTGAACAAAATTTTATGTCACGAAGACTCGACGCTTCGCGTCTCGTGTTTAATTCAGCCGGTTTCAGGCATGAGTGGCATAAAATACTTGAACTGATTAGTCAATGTGTTATCTATTCCAAATTCAAAAAGTTAACTACACCTTCAAGAGGTTATTCAATATCGATTTAAAAGTTAAATTAGCGTATTTAGTTTAGTTTAACCACTTTACTAATGAAATGTTTATAGCTAATAAAAATTGTCGATATCGAAAAGCTGAATATGGAAATGGTGAACGATATAAAGAGACAGCGCGTGAGTTAAGCTCAATAATCGTCATCACTCCGATACTTGGCCTTACTGTTAATAGTGTTGTGTGATCAAAGTGAAATATCCTATTCTTCAAGAGTTCTTGGTGTATCTTCAATGGCATTAAAAACTCATTTTCCTATATTAGAAGTACTGATGAACGAGTTGACAAGACGAGGGCATGACGTTCACGTGATCGGGATGTTTCCTCGCAATAACTCACTATCTAATTATAGAGATATCGATATTAGGTAATTATAGAGAAATCGATGTTGAAGCGCTGAATATGAAGGTGAGAGGTCAATCCATCTAATTTGTCAAATGTTCTGATGAAATATATGCTCTACTCTCTAATTAATCAAGAGGTATACGCGTCAAATTATTATACAGCCTTTGGACGACATCTTCATGGTATAATAACCCAGAAAATAACGGATTGGCTTGTATGATCTCATGGAAACTCACTGAACTCTTGGTACACAAAGTACCAATGGTTGGCATTCCCATGTTTGTGGGCAACCTAACAGCTGACTCACTCGCCAAGATTCTTAAAAATGTGGTCAATGATTTACTTTCTTAAAAAATTTTGTCTAAAATTTCTGATATACTTTTTGGAAATTTTTATCGAATTTAACTACCACTGAAATTTCAAGGAATTTCGTCATTGAAAATCCAGAATTTCGTGGAAAAATCAAAGAGGAGAGAGAACTGTAAATGTCAGTTCTATTTTGCTCTAAAAATGAATAGAAAACCAAAAAATTCCGGTAAATATATTGTTGAATTTTCAGAAGAGTGACACTGAACGCGATTTAGGGCGAAAAAATTACGAAATTTCAGATTTCACTGAAATTTCAATGTAATTTGACACTGAATATTCATATTACATTGGAAATTTGAATAAATTGAGGAATTCTCGTCTTGATGCTGCTTAAAATTCTGGGATTTTACTGAATTTTCAGTGAAACCTGAAATGTCATCATTTTTTCCCCCCAAATCGCATTCAGTGTCACTGTCCTGAAAATTAGTAGTCAACTGTCCATGAAATTTCATTTTTTTTCTAACAGTGTATGTTACAGATGTCTTATTGAAATCCTCCACTACCTAATCTCCATCCTCTGATCATTGATTACAATTTCCGGCAGAATGCAGAAAGAATGTTGAAGCTGTTCCTGGATCGACCAAACAAGTCCTGTAGACACCACTGTCTACTGGGCTGAATATATCCAGCTCGACGCAGAACAGCTGCTGAATCTCCAATCAATCATTCAACTTAGCAATAATTCTATCTGTTATACTGGATACTGAGAATAATTACGCATCATTTGATTGATTGATTAATTAAACACCTTAATTAACCACGGAGAGAAATGTTCAGTGAAAATTACAGGACTTATAGTTCGCTCACCGATTACGGAATCGACTCAGAAAATTTAAGTGACGGTATCGTAATTTTTCATAGGAGATTCAGGTAAACATTACGGGACGCTCTGGAAAAATTCCGTGACAGCTCCGTAAAATTTCCTACAACCACATGTCGCTCCGAAACTACGGAAAAGATACGTAATTTTTATTGAATATTTCTCTCCGTGTGGAGATCTGGGTGTAAGTGGAACCATAAGAGCAAATAGATTGGAGTAGACTGAAGTGGAGAATTTGGAACTCATAATTATGGAAAGCAGCTGATATAGCTTGTATTCCACTTAAGAATAAACCATTCCGATCCCTTCTTCTTCTAACGTGAAAACACTGTCAGTGATAATTATTTTCGAGTTCTAGTTGATAAGTTTCTAAGGTCTGTCTCATTGATGATTATATTTTTTTTAAACTCCGTTCAAAGTATCAACTTTTTTGGGGAGGGGGAGGGGGGAATGAATCCCTGTAGATAGTCAATCATCTGATGATTACTCATCAGTTTTCTATCCTTTCTCTCTCCTTTCTCTTCGTTCAAATTATTTCACTCCTCCTGGTCCTCGAATGAGAGCGTCGTCACGATGCATATCATTTTTATGATGATTTGAACCTCTTTGAGAGATCACACAGAATATTATGAATGCCTATTAAGACATGATGATTTTAAAAATCATGCAATTAAGTAGAGCACTAATATCAAACCCTTCCAACAGACAGTCCCAATATTATAAAAATTTTATAATTCAATATCGCATGATGACTTTATTCTGACACTTCCATTTTTCCTCGATGTCATTTATGTCAATATGATAATAAAGTTTAGGGTTTTATTTAATGTCGGTTTACTTAATTCATTGAAACTTATGAGAAACTTTTCGAAACTTTCAAAGTGAAATGAACTTATCTCGTATCCATTACCATTTTATCGGTTGTTGAGTATACAGACAATAATTACAAAATTTTGAGGCCTTATAATCCACCGGGAGCTCAGTACATTCGACAATTGATCAAAGTTAATCGCCAAGTGACGATGACGATAAAAATAACTGTGTGAAAATTCAGTTAATACTGCTTCCATAAAATCACTCGTCAGTGAACATATCGCGTGTCTAAAAGCAAAAGGTCGTAAACGCCAAAAAGCTACTTTCCGAATTTCTTAAAGTGAGAAGGTCGTATCTCCACTTATTCTTTCTACAATTCTGCGTGAAAATACTGGAGAAACGTATTATAATACCTACATTTTCAAATTGATGATGAGCTGCATATGCGACCTTTTGCCTTTAACTTATGTCACCAGAAATGAAAAATTCCTTGAAAGCAAAAAGTCGTACTGGCAAAATTTTCCAGTTTTTTAAATCATGTACGTCCTTTTGCCTGTAATTTCTATTCTTAGAAATCGAGACTGACCTAAAAGTAAAAGGTCGTAAAGACAAAATTTGGGATTTTTTAATTTCCAGTTCCGTGGACAAGTTATAACTTCAATATTCCAGTTGATGTCACTTGAAGTTATCGCTGTCTTTGATTATGGTCAAATAATTATATCGGCAACTTAATAACATTATTTGTGTGAACAGCGAATCTCAATTTTTAATCCAGATTTGTACATTTCGGAACATTGTAAAAACTCTCAAAATGTTTGTATTACGCTTGTGTATTACGTATTCGTAATGGAAGAACGTATCTCCAAAAAAAATCTAAATTAGGGAACTGAAGCGATCTTTATTTTTAAGGGTCCAACAGGGCAGTGATTGGAAGAATCCCGTGTACTCTCGAGTGTTACATGGGAGAGGCAGGTACAGCACAGAGAAACAAAAGGGGATTAGCTTTAGAAACTAGTTTCTCGATTTTCGAAACTCCAATTCTTAAGCTTCATCCTTGATGGGATCAAAAAAACTAACGATTTTGGAAGTTATTTTCGAGAACAAAAATTGTCTAAAACCAATGCTGAATTTTTATTAATTCAAATAAATTTTCAGATTGAACTAAAAAATTGCTGGCCGAGGTACTTAAAGGACGTAAGTACTCCATACAGAATTTAGAATTCACAACCAAAAAAATTGAGTCTGAGGTTTTCAAAAATATCTCTGAAACTAAGGGAGATAGCGAATTCTTATTGAAAATTTCGGGCGGGGAAGGGGGGGAGGTGTGCATTGAGAATTCACAACCAAAAAAATAGAATCGATGAGTTTTTCAAAGATATCTCCGAAACTAAGAGAGATAGTGAATTTTTACGGAAAAATTGCGGAAAGCTAAGGCGCGGGGGAGTTGTACATTGAGAATTCAATAAAACCTGCCTCTCCCCCAAATTTTCCGTAAAAATTCGCTCTCTTAGTTTCGGAGATATTTTTGAAAAACTCATCAACTCAATTTTTTTGGTTGTCAATTCTCAATTCACCCCTCCTCCCCCTCTCTGCAAAATGCCCCCTCCAAAAATGAAAAGAATTCTCTAGATGTTAGAAAATATTTTTTTTTTAAATTAAGTATATTGAGTAACGGAGCTGGAAAAAAATGGTTTAAAATTAATGATCAAAATGGGGATTCATTTTAAACCTTTTTTCTCGAAAACTTGGAAAAAAGTTCTAGATTTTAGAAAACTGAAGGTTAGAAACCGCGGTCTCTAAAATTTAGAAACTTTTTTCTAAAGCCAATCCACGTTTTCTCTCTGTGTATGCTGAACCATGTTTCGAGGGCATTTGAAACTTCTTCAGATTATGATGATTAACAATCGTGAATTCATGGGCGCATGATTATTCAACGCATAAAGGAATTATATTCTTCATTTTCTCAATGACTAGGAGGATATTCTAATTTCTGTAATGAAAAATGTGAGGAAACTTTTTCAAAAAGATGGAAATATCAAAGTGCAAACAAAATATAAAATTGGATATACGACCTTTTCGCTTTAGGTGAGACATTTTTCCAACTTCATCAAAAGTAACAGGTCGTTTCTCCATTGATAACTTAAACTCGAGACATTTTGATTTTTTTGGTTCACTTTGATAGGTTTCCCAAAAGCAAAAGGTCGTATATGCTGGCGGATACGACCTTTTGCCAGAGAAGGCCATTTTTGACATATACGACCTTTTGGTTTTAAACACGCGATATTAAGTCTTGTTTCCTCCCAAGTGTTTGAGAAATAATCGAAGAATCAATATGAAGAAATTACTCAATTATGTCGTGTTTCTACTCACGTTATGTTTCCTATGTGATCTGTACAATTCGCTTAGAATTCTCGGAGTATTCCCGTTGCTGACTAAAAGTCACTTCCAAATGTATGGATCACTTATGCGTGAATTGGCCCGACGAGAGCATCAGGTTGATGTGATTGGAGCGTTTCCTCTTAAAAAACCAATACTCAATTATCGGGATATTGTCATCAACTCCATTTCACCACAATCAATTATCAGTAATGTTAGCTACACTGATACACTTAAAATAGACAGTAGGTCAATGACGTATTTGGCGGTAATTCTGGGAATAGAAATTTGTGAGGTATTAAAAGATCCTAATATCCAAGAAGTGATACACACCAAAAAGGGAGCATATGATGTCATTATTGTGGAGGTAAGAGCATTTTTCGTCAGTTTCACTTGCTTGTCATCACATTTGTTCGATAGAAACTAGTGGTTAAAATAGTAGTTGTTCTTGAAATATTTTTTTACTTCCGAGTAAAAGCTTTGTAATCGTTCAAATTCAAGTTTTGGTTTTTGCTTGCGAATGGAAGCTTTGTAATCATAATTTTTTTCAGTTTCTTAATTTTGGGTGGAAATCCCTAGAAATGTCATGAACCGTAAAGAAATGACGTTTTTAAAAAATGTCTGTATGTGTGTGCACTGAGAGAAAAACGGTAAAGTTCTCAAACAAGTCTTACTTGTGCCAAGAAAATAGTTTTTTGAACATTATCAGAAAAAGATTTTTTTGTGCTAAACATGCAGAGAGTGCGCCGGAATGAAAAATTTTTGTCGCAAAAATAGATTTAGTAGTTCAAAAAAATTGCATTCTCTGTACACGCAAGAAATGTCATTTCTAGCACTACTCCTTCGTTATTCGATACTCCCATACGTATTTTGCTCCCGAAAAATTTTTGTTTGAAACCCTTGAATGAAACAATAATAATGATATGATAGGAATCTTGTAACTTAGGGATCAAATATTTGTTGATAAATTTTCCTCTATATGAGATATTTTTATCCTGAAAAGGCACCGTCTGGTGTGAATTATCCGCCTCTTGAGCCAAATATTTCGTTGCTGTTGAAAGCAGAGCAATTGTTCATGTTTGAGACTTTCACATTCGAACCAAACAAATTCTTTTTTGGCAATTTTCAACTAACGATTTTGTTGGCCCAAACAAGACAACGTGTTTATTTTTCTCTCGGTGTGTTCGCATGTCCAGAACTCTCCCCATAACTCGAGAATTATTGCGGCAAAAATGCTGAAATTCTGGCTGCTATTTGGTACCACTGAGACTCAAATGGGTGATGAATTTCAGCTCGATCGGTTGAGCGGTTCCTGGGATACAGCGATTCTAAGAAAATAGTTTTTTGCCAATATCTCCTAAACCATTCGACCGATTCGATTTTTTCTTTCAAAATACTCGTCATTATGATACCTATTTAATTGGATTGAAAAAAGACAATTAAACCCTGAGCAACGTAGTTTTGTTCTCGTTTTTTTATTTTTTCGCTGCAATTGCTTGTTCGCACGATAACATAAAAAATAATCGAGATAGAAACGTGAAACTTGGTATGATTTTAGGTCTTATGGTAACAAAGTTTGGGATTCTGGATGAACGAAACTGGACCAGTAGTTTCGGAGATGTTCAACTTTGTATGTGAAACTCTTTTGGTCAATGTTTCAAAAACTATTGGTCCCGGTTCAATTTTTTTTCAAAATATGCGTTTTGATGTCATCTATCTAGCGCCAACAAAATATGGGTACCATCTCATTGAAATTTTTCGAGATATCATCGTTTTTGTATTTTTCTGGTCGGAATTCACTTTTACGCACTATGACATGGACAAAAGTCAGGGCAGTGTCTATTCGCACGCTCCACGGTAAATTTTACCGTGGATCCACGGTAGATTCTCACTCACATCTTATTTGACATCTCGGCTATGAACTCTGGTTTTGAACTCTGGATCCAGAGTCCGCAGCCTCCCCCGTTTGGAAAATCACCCTTAAAATCATTTGCACTATATTTCGGCACCCACTCCTGCACTCGGACCCCATTAAACAAATATGAATATTGTTGAGAAAACGTCCACCTAAAATGTAAAAAACTATTGATTTCATCTTTTATTTGCATTTAGTCAACTATTTGTCAACTATTCATTTCATTTTTTATTTGCGTTAATCTAGCCTGATATTCGTATTCAATGAATTAATATTTTGAGAAAATTGTTTACTAGTCTACTATCTGCATATCACTTATCAATTGATTCGATATGTCTAATTTATTGTCTAGATTTAATTTGAGAAGTAAAAGTTGAGGGTCCACGATCTCCCATATATCCACGGTAGAAATTAGCTTGAATCTACGGGAAAACGCCCCGTATATTTCCACGGTCAAAGTTACCGTGGAGCGTGTGAATAGGCACTGCCAAAAGTCAGGGAAACCTTTTGAAACTTTGGATTCTAGTTAGGATTGTCAAGGAACATGGCAATATCAAATTTTAGATCGATATACTTGATAGTTCTTAAGATCAATTCACCCAATGGAACAATTCACCCAAAATTCTTGAGAAATAGTACATTACATGCCCGAGCCTTTGAAAATAGATCACCGTCCCCTTTGGCTCGGAGGGCAATCTTGCACGTGGGGGAGGGGGATATGTTTTCCATAGCGAGGGGTGTATATTAATTTTCAGGTCCCGTGACACGAAAAGAAAAATTAACGCGGCTATATTTCACCGTTCATTTTCACATCAGGGTAACTGAGATAGCCATATAACATGAATATATGGTTTTATTTTTTGAAAACATACATCGGGATCCATTGGAAAGCCTACTACCAATGGAATTGGTAGAAATGAAAATAAGAGAAAAAAATACATGGAGAGTAGCAGTCATATGTAATCTGTCAAATGGCTTCTGTCGCGCTGCTTGTTCTGTGTCGCACTCGCCTTTGCATTGTTCACATTCTTTCATACATGATGTTTTCTTGAAAGATGACACTGTCCATTCAAACACAGATTATTCTTCTGCTTCCTCAAAGTTACTATTCGCGGATTGCTTTTTGGCCCTTGGACAACATCTCAATGCGCCGATTGTGGCAACCAGTTCCTGCCAAATACCCGATTGGCTGCTGACATCATTTGGCAATTATCTGAACCCTTCGTACATGCCAAGCATCATCTCAAGCTCGGGTCAACGTATGACATTCTGGGAGCGATTGCAGAATACTCTGCTCACCAATGTTCTCACTTATGAAGTCTATAGTTACATAGAGACAGAAGTGGAGCATGTCGAGAGATATTTTGGGCGCAAGCTGAATTCGATAAAGGATCTCTACAATGACGTTTCTATCATTCTTGTCAATGAACATTACAGTATTAATGGAATTAAACCTATGACCCCTGATATAATTGCAGTCGGGGGACTACATGTGGGCAATGGTGATCAGGAGCTGAGACCGGTAAGTGTACATACAAAAAATTTCATCGAAAAACTCAGCCAATTCAATAGGCAATTCAACTGGATATCTATTGCATTTCTATAGAAAATTCTATTAGTTTTCGCCGATTCTATTGAAGAATTCCGCAGCTTTACTGTGCATTTTTTAATAAACAATTCAAAAGAGAAACTATTTTATTGAAAAATCTGTAGAATCTTATCTCTCAATACAAATTTTTCTTTCGAAACATTTCCTACAGAAATTCCTTGAGAAGAATTTTCCAATTTTCTTTCACTCAATTTTTCTTCTCTCTTCATTTGAAATGGAGTTTTCTAGTCAATTCGCTAGGTTTTTCTATAGAAATTTTTGGTACATGTGGTTGGGAATTGACCGTTTGGAGCTAATCTCTGGACGACTGCAGGACTTGAAAAAATGGTTGGATGAGAGTGCTGACGGCTGTGTGTACTTTACATTCGATTGTCAAGATATTTTATGAAATGGTTGAGAAAATCGCACCAGTGAGAGTTCTTGTCAAAATAGTTGATCCTATGGCTTTCCCTCCGGGCCTACCAAAGAACGTGAAGACATCATCGTAGCTGCCGCAAGTGGCTATATTGAGTGAGTCATTAAATCACAGCTGTTAAGAATCCCAATAGCAATTAGTTTACCGAGCTGTGAGCTTTGTTTTCCGGCAGAGCACAAGAACGTGAAATTATTCATCACTCACGGAGGATTGCTGGGAACTCAAGAAGCTATTGCATATAAAGTTCCGCTGGTCGGTCTTCCCCTCTTCGGTGACCAATACGCAAATATCAATGCTCAATGATCCAAGTTATAGGTATCTGATTGAATCCTCATCCCTGCCCTCGTCTTCCTATACTCCATTTTCTATGAAATGTTTCTATGAAGTTTTTTTGTGTGTCTCCAATCATTGCTCTTCATTGCAGGAATAATATTGAAAAGATATCAAAACTATTTTGGGATCGACCGATGAGTACTATCGATACAGCTGTTTACTGGATCGAGTATACGGCAAGATATGGGAAAGTATTGAAGTCCCCAGCTGTTGAATTGGCTTGGTGGGAATTCTATCTGATAGACGTTTATGGATTCCTCTTAATGTGTCTTGGTGTTGCCCTCTACATCATCACGAAGATTTTAGCCTTCACATGGGCGAGTGTGATTCGTAATGATGACGGGAAGTATTCAAATAATGTATCGACTGGTAAGAAGGCCCAGTAGTTTGTTGACTCGACCGAATGTATCTACCTTTTCAAACAAATAGAAGGCAGTCATTGAAAATAGATACACGGAAAAAAAAGACAACTTCTGTTCTGTAGAAAAAGTACTTGTGTATAGTACCGAGTGATCACTAGGGAAAAGACACATTTTTCACTTCCTCGAAGTCACAAAAGTACTGGACGCCAGTATCATGCGTCAAGTACCTGGGTACTTGTCACAAGTACTTTTGTTACTTGAGATCAGTACCGAAAGTACTTGAATTAAGTACCTGCTTAGTTCTTCCTAAACTGGTACTTGTCAAAAGTAACAAAGGTACTTGCTCCCAGTACTTTTTCTACTTGATCTGCAGATGTTCCACTTCACCCTAGGCCCCAAAAATACTTGGGACAAGTATTTTTCGAACTTCTCACAAGTAAACTTAGCACAAGTAGCGTTGGGTACTGGTGAGAAGTATCTTTTCTTTTCCGTGTAATTTCGGGAATGGAATGAAAATCTGAATCTATTATTCAATTATGCACAACACTATCACAAAATACTTGAACCGATTAGTCAATGTGTTATCTATTCCGAATTCAAAAAGTTATCTAACACCTTAAATTATTTAGTCTAACCACTGAACTAATGAATTGTTTATGGGTAATAAAAAATTGTCGATAACAAGAAGTTCAATATGGAAATAGTGAACGATATAAAATCCGTAAAGATCTCTGAAGAATCCATCTGTCCAAGATATCATTACTCCCATGTGACCCTTAAGGTACTTCCGCAGTAAGTATACTTGGTGAAAATTTCGAAATGGTATAAAGACGCAATATTTGGATCATATGTTGTTGACCACATTAAAAAGATATTCCCAAAATTTCAAGTCCCTGGTCCACCCCACTTTGGCGATATGCATCGCCAAACATTCAATTTTTGTGTTTTTTCCATTTTTGACGATGTATATCTCGAAAATAGGGTGGACAAGGTACTTGAAATTTTGGGAATAGTTTTTGAATGTGCTCAACAACATATGATCCAAATATTGCGTCTTTATACCATTTCGAAATTTTCACCAAGTATACTTACTGCGGAAGTTCTTTAAATATCGAGGTTCACTGCCATTCCACTTTTCCTCTAATTTCCCTAGCCACCAAGAATTACAGGGATCCATAGGAAGACACCTTAGCCCTTACACATCACATTATACCCCTTCATTAAATTAATAGGGGCGACCGGGGTAAAGTGGGGTAGCTTATATTGATTTTTAGCAATCACTATTCACATTCTAAAATTATCAAGTCGCGTCTCAAACGTATTCCAATTGTGGGCGCAGTGGAGTAGTGTTCAAAAACTTTAAAATAATTATAAATGTTGTTTCTTTGTTGTTCACCTTCGAATCTCCAAAAAACGACAGAAAAACTCTGAAATCGGTAGGGAGGGTCCCGATGAATCGATTTTTAATTTGGGGCACGATAGGGTACGCATAAGAGAATTCTTTTTCTTCAATTTCATAGAGGACGCATCTCGACCTTTACTCTAACTCCGGCTGTTGGAGACTAACTTTATAAAAATAAGGACCAGTGCATTGGATCACAGTTTATGTAGTGACTTGTTTCATACCATTTCCTTCCATGAAATCCAACATGAAGAAAAAGAAATATTCTGAGATCATCGATTTCCGTAGAAAGGATAAATGGCGACAATGATAATTGAAAAATTCAAATTTGATGGTGATGAAGATGATGAAATTTATCTACAAAAATTATGTAGCTCTTTAACTCGGCATTTGAAATTGATCGACTTATCTGTATTTGCCACTCCACTACTGCATGAATTATAGACGATAACAATTTCAAATGAACCAGAATTTTAGTTGAAATGTTGCACGCTGAACACTATAAAGAGAAAATCCGCGGGTGAGCCATGGCTAGTGTAAATATCAATCCGGGGGCGCGATCCGAATGATCTGACATCAACATGGTATCACTCCGTGCTTTAACATTATCCTTGATAATTTTATTATCTCAAAGTGAATTATACAGCGCTTTGAAGATCCTCGGAGTCTTTCCGCTCAGGGCAAAGAGTCACTTTGCAATGTTTGGCGCCCTGTCGAGAGAGTTGGCGCGACGAGGGCACCAGATTGACGTGGTAGGGATCTTTCCCCCTGAAAAACCACTACCCAATTACAGACACATTGACATCCGTTTGGACAAACAATTAAACCTCCCCCCCAATGTGAGTTACGATGCGGCTATGGCACTCAGAGGAGTGTCTATGACTCAGCTCGCGCAATTTTGCGGAGTTGATGCTTGTGAATCGTTGAGTCATCCTAATATGCAGGAAGTCTTGAGAACTAAGAAAGGAACGTACGATGTGATAATTATTGAGGTAAATATTCATCAACAGTTTCATCATTTATTCGTAATAGGGAACTCGCATGAACTTGCTTTTCAATTTTTCATCTAACACTCAAAAAAAAAATTACTGCTCACCAGTATAAACCGGTACTTGGGGGAAGTTCACTTTTGAAAAGTTCTAAAAATACTCGTCCCAAGTACATTTTGTTTCCTTGGGTGAAGTACCATGTCTGCCGATCGAGTAGAAATGGTACTGGGAGGAAGTAGTATCACTACTTACTGCCAGTACTTTTAGTACTTTTCACGAGTACCAAAGGTACTAACTTAAAAAGTACAACTTCTCTCAAGTACTTTTAGGACTTAATTTCAGTACTTCTAATTGATTACTTTATTGAAAAAAGTGAATATTATTACCGCATAGAATGGGCTTTCTTACGCATTTTTGTAAATAGAAATGTTCAGCAGAATATATTTTGTAGGAAAAAATCAATAGATTGCGATTTTTATGGATGCTTTCAAGAATTATTAGTATGCTTTCGAACATTTAAAAGGCTNTAATAAATCTTACTGGAATATCTCGCGATTTTGAAACTCATCGTAACCTCCCCTTGATGAAATTTGTTAATTGTCATCTGAGAATGATAATGATAATGAGAATGATAATTAATTATATGAAATTCCTCAACAAAATAACCAACCAAAAGTACTGGAATCAAGTCATAAAAGTACTCGCGAGAAGTAGAAAAATTACTTGCTCCAAGCATCAAAGGTACTTTTGAGAAGTAAGAAAAATACTGACAGGAAGTAATAAAAGTACTTCCTCCTAGTACTTTTCCTACTTGCTTAGCAAATATTGTACTTTACCCTAGGACATGAAAAGTACTTGGGACAAGTAGTTTCCCAACTTTTCACAAGAAAACTTCTCCCAAGTAGAATTCAGTATTAGTGAGTAGTAACTTTTTTTTAGAGTGTATGACATTATTTTTCAATTTCTTTTCAATTTTATTACTCACAAAACGGGAATTATTTGGATTTTGAATTTTTGACGAAATTCGGTTTTTAGAAGAGGTAGAAAAACATTTTTGAGTTCTTATACTCAACTTATATTGAGTTTATTTGGTACTTTTGAAAAGAACCAACCAGGTACTCAGTACAAGTAATTTTTTCACTTGTCCCGAGTAACAAAATACTTATGACAAGTGCTGAGGTGTTTCTCACTAGTACACAGGTACTTGACGCATGATACTTGCATCAAGTTGTTTTGTAACTTGGAGGAAGTACAAAAATGTGCCTTTTCTTCAGAAACCCCTTGGTACTGGGTACAAGTACTTTTTCTACTGATCAAAAGGATTTTTTTTTTGGGTGCAAGTTTCGATCTGCAATGATTATTTTTTCATTCATAAACACCAGAAATACCCGTTGATTAACAATTGTCGAAAGTTGAAGATTTCAAACGCCTTGAAATCGCTGATGACGTCACAAGGATGGTCGAACGCTGGACCAATGACAGAATGGCAATAGACAACCTAACTCGGTCTTCATATGCGCCTTATCCAATGGATGACGGAACCTCCCCTCTCTCCTCACATTCGTCCAATGGAGCGATACCCAGCATTAATCATGCCACTTTGCGACGTCATGAGCGAAATAAATAGGTTATGTACAATGGGTGAATGATAATGCAACGGGAGATTATACTGTTGCGTTATTCCTCACTCATACATAGATTATTCCGTTGTCTTTAAGGTAGTCCTAGCGGATTGCTACCTGCCTCTTGGACGGCATCTCAATGCACCTGTTGTGGGAATCATTTCATTGAAAGCACCGGATTGGGTGCTGGAACCTTTCGGGAATTCCGTGAACCCCTCGTACATGCCGAGTCTTTATGGAAAAGCTAGTCAATACATGACGTTTTGGCAGCGATTGATGAACACATTGATTACCCACTCTGTCATAGCACAGGCTAGGTACCACTTGGATGCTCAGACCAAGTATGTGGAGAAGTATTTTGGAAGAAGAGTGGGATCGATGAAGGAGCTATATGACGAGATTTCGTTGGTACTCGTTAATGAACATTTTAGCATGAATGATATCAGACCTACGACGCCGGATCTTATTGGAGTTGGAGGACTCCACGTGGTGGATGATGGTAAAAAACTGCCCCCGGTGAGTGCTTAGGAATTGATATTAAATATAAAGGGGTCGTGAGGGTCATTTCGATTGAAGGAGAAGTGTTAAACGGGAGAGACGAACGAAGAGATCACTCCACTCGTCTCTTCCATCCGGCCCTTGAGAACGTTTGACCTTTTCGATTACTAAAATTGGCTTTCCTATTTGACTGGCGATGTGAAAATAACTGTTCATGTTTTTTGACAGTCATGTTACGTCATATCCCTTTGGTCATAATTTGCGCACTTTGACATTGTTACTGTTATTTGGATGAAATATGACGTTCACACGAGATTTGTGTCCCAAAAAGGGGTAAAATTAAATAGTGACCATGATCTATTTAGTTGGAATGACGGTCATATGTTAATGCCGTCATAATTCGTCATGTTAATGACGCAATATTTTTTTTTGTCATAATTTTTTATAGTTTGACATTGTCACTGCTGTTTAGTTGGAATGACGGACATACGTTAACCCTCAATCACTCGCTCTATGAGCGCGGCGCCACTCCTTTCCGTTTTTTTACGTTTTAGCGTGTTTCTCGATGCTTAAAAATTATGAAAAAATTAGAGCTCCTAGTTCAATTTTTTTATTAAGCGTTAGCATTGTCCGTTTTTTTCTCGCGAAATATGTTCAGCCAAAAAAACAGAAACGGCGAACGGATAGAACAGCGGCGCCGCGCCGGCCGGTGCGGGTGCGTCCCTGTCGACCGCGTGAGCGAGTGTTGCTACATTCACTGTTTCACTGGAAATGCGCGTGTAGCAGTAAGCGCCAACGTGGCAACAGCGCTAACGGTGCGACGGATAATGGCTGGCGGCCGAGCGCGAGTGATCGAGGGTTAATGCCGTCATAATTAGGGCATGTCACAAAAATTGTCATAATTAGCATGTGTCAAGTGACGGCCACACGACGTGTTGCAAAAATTACTCTTGAATTTTTCGAGTAATAAAGACGGAGAAGAAAAATGCCTGAATTTTGCTCTGCTAAGACAGTCCATTTCAACTCACTCGGAAGCTTAGGGTCACAAGGTTAACAAGGATCATTGGTTATTACAGGACTTGCAAAAATGGTTAGACGAGAGTACCCACGGTTGCGTCTACTTCACATTCGGTTCGATGGTCCACATCGAAAGTTTCCCAGAGAAAACAATCAAAATATTTTACGAAATGTTTGAGAGAATAGCACCGGTGAGAGTTCTTGTCAAAATATATAATCCTGCGGCTCTTCTGCCTGGTCTACCGAAGAATGTAAAGACAGCAAAGTGGATGCCACAAGTGCCTATATTGAGTGAGTCGAGGAGTTCTTCTCTACCGAGTATCGTGACACAATGATTGCTGATTTCAAGTGATTTCACGTGATTTCAAGGAATAATTGATTACAAGTGATTTCATGGGATTTTGGCCCCGATTTCATGATTTCAAATGACTGCAACTGGTGTCAAATGATATCAAATGTATTATAAATGATATCATATACTTCAAAATGCGTGTTGAGTAGAAAGAAACGTATTTTATGATTTACTCATGCGTAATTGACGAAAAAAATCGTATTCTATCCCATCTATTGCGCATCAGGATAAAAATTAACTGAACTAGTTGTGAATTTCGTTTTGCTGCAGAACACAAGAACGTGAAATTATTCATCACTCACGGAGGATTGATGGGCACTCAAGAGGCCATTGTGTACAAAGTTCCGATGGTGGGTATTCCTCTCTTCGTAGATCAACCCGTGAATATGGCGACCTACGAGAGTAAGAAAATTGCGATTTCTTTGGAACTTGAGGATATCACTGCTGATTCACTGACGAATGCTGTGAAGACTGTGCTTAATGACCCGAGTTATAGGTAAGGAAGACCGGCCCAAAATAGAGTAGTTAAGAAAGTTTTTATGTTGAAATTAATGCAATTGACAGCATTTTATTGTACCGTCACGTACCATCTCCCCTCAGAACAAATCGTTACTGATAATTATTAATCTTTACTTGAAACTAAAATACATTTGTATTCGAAAATGAGCATCATTACACTTCAAATTAGTTGAAAACATTTTCATCTTATCTTATTTTTAGTTCTTACTAGTGCCACGATGCGAAGACACAACAAAGATCCTTTTATTGTTTTTTTTGTCCGAAAATGCAATTTTTGTAACTAAGTTTTTCTTGAATTGTTCGCTAATGAATGGTTGGAATTGAATCTTTTTTTTTCGAATGCAGGTATTATTGAGCCCGATCAATCGCCATTAATTAAAATTTAATTCTTGGATTATTTTTTTTAATTTTTGAAGTTTTTAGAAAATCGGTTGTCCCACCATAACTAAAAGAATTTTCTGAATTGATTGAATGATGGCTTAAAAAATTAGTTTGGATGTTTCTTTTGACCGAGTTCGAAGATGAAGGGGCTAGCAATAATCATTATGTTGATTTATTTGAAAATATGCCAAAATATTGTATTTTTTGGAAAATAGAATTCCGGGGATATGTTTGAATATCATGCTTCAAATGAATTCAATCATAACTTAAAATGTTTGTTTCAATGTCATTAAGTTGGAGTTAAAAGATAATTACGATAGCTATATTGATCGATTTGATTTTTATGATGATTGTTGAAAATTTCGAATTTTTCATGAATTTCCCTGAAAGTGAGCTTTCTGATGGTTTCTTCACATATGATGTTTTAAATTCATTCAAGTATGCATAAATAAAATTTTTCTCTTAACATTTTATCGAAGGCTGAGGGATGAGATAGAACCGTAAAAAAGACAATCGGTCGTATAGAAGGAAGAGATAATAAGAATAATGATGATATCATTTAACTAAGTTGAAAACCTGACGAAATTAGTTGAAATCTTATTCAATCTAATAAAATGAAATAAACAATGAATGATTCATGATTATGAATTACTCATGAGATTATCTGCAAACTTATTAGCAAAAATAACTGTACTATATGCAGTACAAGAGCAATTTCCCACTTGTTTTGCTTTTCCATCACTCAAAAAATTGTTATCAAAATGCAATTAGGGATTTATTTTCCTTTCAGGAGAAATATAGAGAAGATGTCTAAGCTATTCTTGGATCGACCGATGAGCGCTATGGACACCGCTATCTACTGGGTGGAATACACAGCTAGATACGGAACAATCCTGAAATCTCCGGCACTTGAGTTGACCTGGTGGCAATTTTATTTGTTGGACGTTTATGGATTCCTCATAATGTGTCTTCTCATTGCTCTGTACATCATCCGGAAGATTGGGGTGTTATTGGTGAGGATGGTGTTATCAGGGGAAAATCAAAAAGAATTTTCTACTTCGAAGAAGCGTAAATGATTTGAAAATGCGTTATCACATCGTTTCGTTCCAATTATTGTCATCTTAGATCATTGAAATTGTGCAGAACTGCCATCAATGTTCATTTGTACGATCATTTTGTTTAATAAAACTTGAGAAATTGTCTCAGAACTCGGAGAAGTTTTCTATTGTTTTCGGAATATAAGTTTTCCGGAATTAAATTCAACTAAATTGAGTGGACAGCATTTTATTATAAGCTGCGGTACCATTGTTGAAAATTATTATTCTTCACTCAATGATTTTATTATTTTAACTTTGTAGGTCTGAATTTTAATCTCGATATTGAACTGTCAGAAAACATAAAAAGTAAAATATAACATTACTTTTGAAGGAAGATTGATGAAATAATAAAATTAAAAAATTGCAATTTCTTAAAATTATGAGTATTTTCTATAAACAATTTATAAACAATCAATTTTCCACCATAAAAATCATTTTTTCCATATCGCAACAAATTTACTCATATTCAGTATGTTACTCGAAATCTATTTCATGCTTAAGGAACTTCCGCAGTAAATATACTTGGTGAAAATTTCGAAATGGTATAAAGACGCAATATTTGAATCATATGTTGTTGAGCACATTCAAAAACTATTCCCAAAATTTTAAGTACCTTGTCCACCCCATTTTCGAGATATACATCGTCAAAAATGGAAAAAACACAAAAATTGAATGTTTGGCGATGCATATCTCAAAAATGGGGTGGATCAGGGACTTGAAATTTTGGGAATATCTTTTTAATGTGGTCAACAACATATGATCCAAATATTGCGTCTTTATACCATTTCGAAATTTTCACCAAGTATACTTACTGCGGAAGTACCTTAAAAAAATTAGGTTTCCGAAAGTTTAAACAATTTCAATTATTTTATATAAACAACGAATATTTAAAAAATAATAATGCTGCGCAAAATGCAATTTTAATGACCCTAAATATTCATGATTTTTTTTCAATTTTTTCTCACACAATTTAATTGACAAATTTGATGATTGAAAATGGCTGAATCTATGGTATCATCTGAACCAAACTGTAAAAGATACTTTGATATCCTTAACGGGAGACTGCTATGAGTTTTAAAAGTCGCGGGCTATTGGAATGAGAATTCTCATACATTGAAAATCGAATAAATATCTCCAAAAACGAATTAGTTCAAAAAAACGAATTGTTTATTGTTCGTTTACTCCACATACGCTTAAAATGTTGAAAATAGTCCAGGTCCTCCAAATTTTGAGCTACAAAGTTTTTTTTTCAAAGCTTATGGGCAAATATGTACAGTTACAATTACGAATTAGTTTTTTGAAATTCAACTCCTACATTGCTAATTTTATAATTTTTTTAATTAAAAAATTGCACTATTCATGTAAAATGGCCCGAAAAATGATTCTGAAAGAATCAAGAATATATTTAAAATATTTTAAGGATAATTTTTCTGCCTATTTTATTTTTAAACTAAAGACGCAAATTTTTATATTAAACAAAACGAAATTAACTGCGGAGGAGTCGAATTTCAAGAAAAAAATTCGTAATTGTTATTGCACACATTTTTTCAAAAATTTAGAAAAAAAACCTCTGTAGCTCAATAATCCAGGGGAGGCCCTGGACAATTTTCAACCGTCTGCGGAGCAAACGAATAATAAACAATTATTTTTTTTTGCACTAGGGGAGGATGCGGCAAAACGGTCCCCCTTCAATCGTCAATATTTTCCGATTCAATAATCCGATTGGGATGAGTTAGAGCTCGTTTTGAAGAATGAAAAATTATCTTCAAAATGAAGTTGAAACTGGGAATTTTCACAATGTCATTCACAAGTTATTGACAATTGAAGGGGGGCCGTTTTGCGCCACCCTCCCCTAATTATTCGTCTTTAGACATATATAATCGATCTTGAATGCATGTGAGATCTCACTTCAATAGCCCGTGACTTTTAAAACTCAGTAGTCCCCCCTTAAGATCTTCATGACTACAATGATACAATGGGTAATAAATGCACTGAAAAATCATCACGAGCGTAATTTTCCTACTGCAATGGAGTCCCCAGTGCCGATACAAATTGCGCATAATCATCTCGGCCGTGACCGTCAATTGCAGTTTGGAATCTGTCGGATGCACGTGTCGGCTCAGGAATGAATTATTCAAAATTCAGTTAATCGTGCAGTCACATAGCGATCGATGTCAGATGAATCCATAAATCATTGTCGATACATTTAGTAAGTGATTGCGAAAGAGGTGAAACCGGCGATGTGGTCATTCAAAATGTTCGCATTATTCTTGATGGTCTTATCTTCTGAAAATGACATGTGCAATTGTCGAAAGATTCTCGGAGTTTTTCCGTCTGGCGCGAAGAGCCATTTCGTAATGACTGGAAAACTCATGAAGGCGTTGGCAGAACGAGGGCATCAAGTGGACGTGATTGGAATGTTTCCACTGGAGAAGCCGATGGCTAATTATCGAGATATCGTCCTCAAAACGGACAAAGTAGTTGTTTTCGTTGATAATGTTACTTATGGTGATATACAAGTGGCTAACGGTTTGCTTAAGAGTCGATTTGTGAGAACGGCTGGGCTTGAGCCTTGTGATTCTTTGGGTCTTCCGAGTATGCAAGAAGTGCTTGGAACTGAGAAGGGCATCTACGGCGTAATTATTGTGGAGGTAAAGATAAAACTGTAGCAAATGTCAGGAATGAGAGGAGTCTATTGGGCGTAAGAAGCCAAGGCACTTTTATGTATCACGCTTTTGTTCTCCTCAAGCTGTTCCTGGCTCACTGCTATCTGGCCCTCGGACAACACCTCGATGCTCCTATTGTGGGAGTTGTCACATCGAAGCTACCTGACTGGCTTCTGGGACCATTTGGGAATCATCTCAATCCTTCGTACATACCGAGTCTCTTTTCGAGTGCCAGTCAACGCATGACATTCTGGGAGCGATTGCAGAATACTCTCATGACGAATATCATCACGCCTCAGATTAATTATTACATGGAGGCTGAGGTGAAGCAGGTGGAGAAATATTTCGGGCGGAAATTGTCGTCGATGAATGATCTCTACAAGGATGTTGCACTCATACTTGTTAATGAGCATTATAGTCTCGATGATATTAAACCCCTGACGCCTGATATCATTGGAGTGGGGGGACTGCACGTGGTCGATGATGATCAACAGTTGACGCCGGTAAGTGGTTGCTAATGGATGTTAATTCATTGTTTGGGGCTAAATTCTGAATAATTTCAGGACTTGCAAAAATGGTTGGATGAGAGTACTCACGGCTGTGTGTACTTCACATTCGGCTCGATGGTGAAAATCGAAACTTTCCCCGAGGCGATTATCAAGATATTCTATGAAATGTTTGAGAGGATCGCACCAGTGAGAGTACTCATCAAAATAGTTGATCCTAAGGCTCTCCCTCCTGGTCTACCAAATAACGTGAAAACATCGTTGTGGCTGCCACAAGTGGCTATATTGAGTGAGTCCTTGAATCACACGTGTTGAATATCTCGATAGCAATTAGCTTAACGAGTTGTGAACTTTATTTTCCCGCAGAACACAAAAATGTGAAATTATTCATCACTCACGGAGGATTGATGGGAACTCAAGAAGCTATTGCATATAAAGTTCCAATGGTTGGGCTTCCTCTCTTCGGGGATCAACACACAAATATCCAAAGCTATGCGAACAAGAAAATTGC